CGGATACTTTTGCGCGTAGCTGTATTATAAGCTTAAATCGCAGGTCATAGGGGTTAGCGTGCTAATTAGATAAAGTGTCAGGGATGCCAAGCCTTATCACAGCAGCGCAGCATAATAGCGCCTGCCTGGCGTAACATCTACGCCTCACATACGTTAAAGTATAAACGTCAAGAGCCTTTTTCACGGTCCGCTGAAACCCGGGACAATTAATACGTCTCAGCTTTCTGTTTGAAATTGCTCGTCATATCATACTCGCATCTTGATAGCCCTTTTGATACACTAGAAGCCCCCTGCAAGCCGCGCTCTCATAGTATCATTATGACGATACCCTCCTTGGAAGGCGATCCTCTTTGCGCGGAAGTTCTCAGGGGCGTGGAACGCAGTATCTGAGGACTCTCTCCGGGATTCGCTCTTGTCACTTCCAGCGAGAACGGCAGCAGTGGTAGAGGCGGACGGGTGGTATACGAAGTATTAAGGAGTTGACATGGCCTATCGGCTTAATATTTAAATAGTCAATTTCGACGTTGCTGAAGATAGCAAATACAAGGCCATTACCTATATTTCTAGTGTTACGCTAACAATATTTCACAGAACAACCCCCCCATGGACTGTTTAGGATGTGGGGCCAAGTCGGCACATCAATGCCAAATAGTGATTGATAGCTTCCAGCAAGCTAGGCCGACAACTCCTCACATGGAATTCTTGACCAACTACAATTGCTCTCAGAGGTTTATACCAAGAAAAGCGCGCTATAGTAAGCTTGTAAAACGCCAAGATAGAACGCCACAAAATCGCTCAATTAGGACTAGTCTAGTTTTTTTCTCAATATTGAGTATGCCGTCCTTCTGCATCTTTAGATGGCGCAGAATTCGTAGATGGCGCAGAATGAGATAGAATCAGTAGAATAACGCGTAAAATCAACAAAATGCGCGTATAATGGCGACAGTGAGCATTCGTACAGAGCAATAGGGTATCTGTATAAGCACTGTTAATGACGTTACTTACTAGTGCGCAGGTGCGGAACATTATGCCTCCTACCGTAGTATGCACAGAGAGTCTTCAGCCTTAATTGCAAGTCGGTGAGGCTTCGTCCTTCAAAGCTCAATTCTTGACATCCATGCAGACTCATTAGTGCCGTAGTCATATTGGGGGCCGCAGTACCCAACGCAATCCTTGCCCCAACCAAAGGTAGTAGAGAAAATCTGACGTGCACCTCCCCAGTATCATCCGCAAACTTAAAGCTGACCGCCCAAATATTTAGCGAGAACAGCTCCATGAACAGAGACATATTAATTTGAACCTTGTATTTGGCAAAGGATTTAGACTAGATAGCATGGGAAATTGGGCGTATTGATGCCAGGGTTGAAGCAAGAGAGCAGCGCTTGGACAGCCCGGAGGTCCGAACTTCGTTTTCATGTCAGCTTTTCTTACCCAAGCTCCGCACGAATCCTCCAGCTTTCACGAGGCGTGTGCCAAGCTCTGAAGGTTGCAAAAGAGTACCACCACCTGAAGCGGAACGAGGGATGCGGAGGTTGTCCGCCTTGCTAGCCGACACAACCTCAGGATAGGTGCGAGCGTCATGGTCGGAAACAGGCAGGCTCTGGGGAAGTCTCGATGTTTTTCTACGTCTGGCAAGAATCCAACCAGACACGACCAAGAGAATGGCAACGATGGCAGCTCCAACTGCAATGCCAGCCGTCGCTCCAGCAGAGAGTGTTTCGGGCGCTGGTTCTTGGGCTATTGTAGTAGTAGTCGCCGTCGGACTTGCGCTTACACTGGAGACCTGAGTTTGGAGGCTTGTTGATGAAGAGATCGCTGAGCTGGTGCTACTCGCGCTTCTTGCCGCCGTAGAGTTGATAATTCGGAAACCTGGACTTGATATTGAAGCTGCTGTTTCAGAGAAAGTAGTCCGGGACGGCAGGAATCGAAAGACCCAATATTGCGAAGCTGTCAGTTCAACTTCAGGCACTTGGACACGCCAAATTGATTCTGTAGATTGATTGACTTGCACTCTTTCTATGAAGTTGTCAGCCAAGTTGGTACTAATAAATGGCATCGAAGAACGGGTTTCGCTGACCAGCAATCAGAACTGATGTTGGTAGAAGCCGGTGATCCAAAGGTCAACGTTAGACACATCGGCAGAAGGTGCGTATGTACTAAACCACTCCCAAAGTGAGGTTGTCCACCTTATATGGTATTCCTTGCCGAGCTCCAGACTTGTACTATTATCTGGTGGGGCCGGAGCGATCCAATCGCCTTGGACAGTCTGGCTAATCTGTCGTTTCTCTGAGATTGCAAAGAGGCTGTTCGCGAACAAGAAAAATAGAAGAATCCGAGACAGCATCGTCGTAGCGTGCAACGGTGATGGGGTGGTGATGGCATGAACTGAGGACAATGGTGTATTGGTAGAACTTGTCGAGGATGCCGCAGCATTTGCAGGCGGAAGCCTGAGAGCCTAATAGCCTCAGGGGCTGAACTTGTTTGATTGCACACGAGGCGCATTTCATGAATCGCTCGACCTATCAAACGACCAGATAGTCGTAACATACGTGGACCAACACTGCAAGAGGACCCACAATGCGATAGCAATTTCTTGGCATTGTTGGTCCTCTTATGTTACACAGGTTCCAGCCGTACACGTTGGGTAGAAGTTTTGAGGCAAGTGTGCGGCACAGCCAAATTCCAAATTGAACCTTATCCAATCTATTTTGCTCATAGCCTAGAGACTATTCACCTGGATCCCTGAGGCCATCTAGCCCAATCAACAATCGATGCAATAGTCCGAAGCACAAACTTCTTGCCAGACCAAAACTCAAGCAGGCATTTTCAAAGGATGTGCTTCGGTGTTCAGCACGTACTTATCCAGGCTGATTAGTTCCGGCTCGCTGAAAATCAGGTAGAAATACTTCAGGGTCTCCGCAAGCCAAAAGCTTTCCATGCGGTCGTCTTGTGGTGGTAGTCCATCAGCAGGACCTCCAGCAATGTCTGAGATGGCAGCATTCGCATATGATGTCTCAGTAGCCGCCTGGATAGCGTTGAACATCTCCCAGGCAGCATCAAGGTAGGACACTTCTCCGGTGATCCGATACATAATGAAAACGCTCTCAATAGCCTCTGGCCGTAAGATATACCGTCTATCATCCATTTCAACGAAGCCTTCTGGCAAGCGCTTTTCCTGAATGATTTCGTCTGCACTTATGACCTTTTCGCCCTCCTTCTGGCGCTCACGGATGGCGGCAGTCCATTGGTCTCGGCTCCAGGAGCAATCGCCATTGGACGCACACGGCACAAAGTGAGCGATTTCAGGCATGAGATGTCGAGGCCCGTTTTTGTACGCCCAGATGCACCCTTTGGTGATCTTATGAGCCATAGCCAAATGCTCATTATTTGAGAAGAGTCGGCCACCAAGAGCCAGCATGCCTCCTACAAAGCACGTCAAATGCTGGGCTTTCGGCTCTATGACGAGAGGCTTGTCGTCATCGCTTGCTCGCACGTCGCCAGACATTATAATGTCAGCATTGTCGGGGGTAAGTGGGCGGAAGAATAGTTTCTCGGTCGCAACGCTCATCGAGTCCTGGTACAGCTTTTGGTAGACTGGCGACAAGCCACCAAGTAGAGCGTACTCCTTTGGAAAATACTCATAAAGAGAATCTGACATGCCACCAAGGGTAAAGCCCGTATCACCGGTCAGGTCCTCGGCTTTCGGATCCACGACAACAGGCCACATTCCAGGCAGCTTCGTCCGATTCTGCTGGGAATCGAAGAGGTCGGTGATGCGTGAGATTGCGTCGTACCATCGCATATCACCGGTGAGTTGGCTGAGACGAGTGAATTCCAAAGACAAGGATCCGATTTTAGAAACCAGTCATCCACGAAGGTGCCTCCTGATGTTTTCCATCCGCAGCTTGCTTCCAGTCCCATCTGGTTACGGGCAGATGATTCGGCGTGTCGAACGCAATGAGAAGCATCTCTCCGACGTCCACTGCTTTCTCTAGTAGCTTTCTTTCCCCGCTAAGGTCGTAGGCAGCCAGAAATCCTCCCAGATAGCGAATGGTGGTTTCGAATATATTGACCGTTGCATCGGTCGATCTCGAAAAGTCAATCTTGACAGCGGCTTCAGCGGCCTCGTAGAACTCGTCTTTCAGCTCCATTACCCAAAGCGTGTCAAGGGCATCCACCAGTGTTGCCGCCCATCCCCCAAAAGCGTCCCTCCCGTTGCCAGAGAGAAGCGAAAGCTCGTCCCGCATCCATGCATGAGTCCGGTAGGACCGCCAGCACTTGATGAATGTATCTTTCACGACTTGTTGTCGTTCTAGCCTAGTCTTCTTGTCTTGGGCAGACTCGGAGGGAAATTGGTGCTGAATGGAGGGTAGACGCTTCGGTTTCCCATGGGGAAGAGACACAAGATGTGTGAGCGGGTAGTTGATAGGTCGATTATTCCAGGGGGAGCGTCCAGTGTCAACCTTTGGTGGTAAAGTGTATTCGACGACAGGTGCAGCCTGTCGGTTGAAAGGGTAGTGGGAGAGGTGGTAGAGCAGCCATATTGAAGCGACTGCAGCCAAAGGAAGGAATATCCAGCGACGGGTTAACATCAGCATCATCCTGCCAACATCGAGACTTTAGAGGTGGTTGTGAATTTGTGAATTGCCACGGAAGTGCAGTCAGTTGAAGTAAGTTACTGGGAGGATTGTCGAGCCACCGTCGGTTGCGGCACCCACATAGGCGCTTGGCGCCGAAATTTATGAGACTTCTCAGATCCTCTTCCTCTCCCCCCTTCTTCATTCCTCTATTTCTCTACTAATACTCACTCAAATTCAGTGAACAATGGATTCTGAACAAGGAAATAAACGCCGCGTCTGCCGAAAGTCAAATTCAATAGATCCTCCTTCTCCTGCGGCCTTGCAAACGCCAAAAACGATGCTTCATACGCCGCACTGTGCGCCCCTTCTTGCTAACGCACGCTATACAGCTGGCAAATTGTCTTGTATATAGCTATTTAAGATACATAATGTATCTAAAGCAACTAGCTATCAAATCCTTAAAGAAGAAACTACACGTTACAGCGCAAAGGTCTATAAGTAAGATCACAAAACGATACTTATTTTACATAAGTACAAAGTAATTAAAGTAATCAAAGATATAAATTTTGGCTTTACTTTATTAGGTTGTTACAAGATAGCAAAGATATGTGGTATCCCTTGTGAGTCCGATTAAATCCCTGTCGGGATTTAATCGGACTCACAAGGGATAATACGTAGCTCTAAATATATAATTTAAAGAAATATAAAGAAGTTTGATATAAGAATCTATATAATTACTTTAAAAAAAGCTTTTATAATTATATAGAGATGATTATTATTCTTATTATTATTATTATTGAGCTGTTGAGCTCATGAGGGGGGTACTAATAACAATCTATAGGAGAAACCCTCTGGGGGAGAAAACCAGCTGCTCCCCGCTCTGCTTCCGGACACCGCAGGAAAGAATAACGATGCAAAGCGTAACTGACAGCTTGGGGAACCTTCGAAACCGCGTCCTTTGCGTGTACGATCGTACTCAAGACAGATATCGTACCCGTGCAGTTGAAGGGCCACACATCCTCTTCGCGGATCTTTGGCTCCGAAAGTGATTTTCGATGGTGTTGCTACGATGGTCTTTTCTTTACAGCAGTACTGCGTGTAGATACAAGAGAATGCATAGGGAAAACCATGCGAGTGGTTATGTGGCTAAAAATGCTGTCTGGCTCGGAGGCGCATCGCCAATGAATGGGGGCTCAGGCCGAGTCTCATGGAAAGATCAAAATTTTGATCCCCTTGTTGAAGAAAGGCTTTTCGGCAGCTTCAAAGTTTCGGCCAGGCCACGGATCTTTCAAGAAGATCTTGCATCAATGATGATGCTGTGCAACACGTACAGCAATACAGATCAAAGTCACTTATTATGGTATAGCTATTAGTTAGTATGAGAATATTAAGCACGCCCCAAACGCCCATCTCCGTCCTGATGGACTAATCCGTGATGCTTCCCCATATAAACCTTCCTGTACCTCACCGTCTCACTCCCATCAATCTCACTCACACATCTCTCCGCCTCAAGCCTGTAACCTCCAATTCTAGGCCAGACCCTGGTCCAAAGCCACCAATACACCGCTCCAGCAATCAACACAGCGACACCGACGACCGGGAAAACGTAGTACGGATAACCCTCGGCGTTGTTTCCAGCCTCAGGTGGTATGAACGGGACGATTGCCAGGAATATGTTGGCGAGGAGATAGAGAACGATGACTGGGAAGTAGGTGTGGAATGGCGATGACCAGTTTTCGGATTTGCGGAAGTGAAGGTACAGAAGGCCGGCGCAGACGGCGCCGTTGATCCAGGCGCCGGGGTAGGTGTACCTACGGCTTATCAGCATGGAAGAGCCCAAAGGGATTGGGATCTTACAGATCGACGATGAAGTTGTATGCAGGTCCAGCCGGAGGGGCAAGGAGGATAATGACAGTGACGAGCCAGTGCAGAAAGAGCTAAAGCAAAATGTCAGTAACGCCACATGACCATCAACATGAGTGGCAAGACTTGCCGCAGAAGCTGGGGCATTGAAGGGTTTATTGGAAGCCCAGAACCGACTCCAAGGCAACAGCCCTTCCTTTGCAAACTCTTGATTCAACCTCGAATGCGCAAAGCTCACAGCCAACACGTTGCCCAGGTTACTCAGTGCGATGAACGCAGGCAAACTTCTTGCACTGGCACTGTCACCGAATATGTTCCGGAAGAACAATCCTGCGATGAGAACGTCCGAGGTCGCAATCTCTTCCTTGGTGACGGCGGCGAAGTATGCAACATTCGCGAGGACGTAGAGTACTGCGGTCGACGCTACAGCAAGTGGTGCAGCTATCAGGAGAGTTTTGCGCGGATTCTTGACCTCGCCTAGGACGTAATTGGCATTTTCCCAGCCTTTGTAGCTGTAGATGATTCTAAGTAGGGCTGTGGCATATGCGTAAGCTCCTCCGCCGCCATATCCTGGTCCTTTTTCGAGGTGAAATGCGTTGTCGAAGTTGTGTGGGTTTGGGATGCGCCGATGACCTGCTAGCGCCGCGAATCCGGCAATGACAATGAAGAGTAGGATGACAACTTTGAAAACACCGAGAACGTTGAATAGTCTGATACCCCATTTTGGGAAGGTTGAATGCAAGAGGACGGCGAATGTGATGCAGCCGACGGCAATTCCGCGGGCCTTCCAGCCATCAGCTACGTCTGAGCCAGAGGCAAAGAGGATGTATCGACCAAACGCAAGAGAATTGCCGGAGGAGAAACCGAGGAGAACCATTTGGGCCAGCAGGACACATGTCGCCAGGAGTTTTGGTCGCCGATAGACTCGTTCGAGGTAGTTCTTCTCGCCGCCTGAGCGTGGAATGGCAAGACCAAATTCGAGGAAGACGCTGAGACCGCAGAATGTGATGATGCCGCCTGTATGATAAGCCAGGGGTCATGGAGGTTTTAGTGGGAATGGAGCCTCACCAATGATCCAGAGAAACAGGCATACACCCACGGAGCCCGTGGCGGCGAATACACCTGACGGTGTCGAGAAGATACCGGTACCTATCATCTTGTTGATGATGAGAAAAACACAAGCGGTGACCCCTAGCTTTCTCGATTCTCCAAATCGAAATACCTGCTCATCCTGCAAACTTGACGGGGAGTCATTTTCGCTGCCATCTGAAGGAAGCTTGACGTCTACTGCGTCTCTTTTCAACACGGGATCTGGAGTCGCGCCGGACATTGTGTCTCGAGCCACTTGATCTTGAGAGGAAGGCCCAAGGCAGCGCAGATTGATCCCATACTTTATTCAGAGCCTACCCTGGAAAGCTCAGCTTGACAATCAGTCAAATGCTAGCTCCGCAGGTCGGTGTCGTCATTGTTACCAGATCTTCCGCAAAAGCTCGGATCTCTTGTGCTGTGTGGATACAATGGTACAAAGCCATGAGCAGTGGATGCGGTTGGTCAGATGTTGAAACAAGAACTCGAGCATCATAGAAAGTGGAATGGCGTGCTCAATGACTGCACCACGGTACCACCACGGAAGCTTCGCCAAGCGACCACCAGCTGCAGTGGGCCAAAACTCCTCACCACTTGCAACCAGTAACTTCGTCGCTCACGCTATCAGAAACAGCCAAAGATATCGTGGCCTTTCGCAGGGTGGGGACCGGTTTAAGGCCTCAGGTTCCTGAAAGGGCACCTTGAGCATCACCGCCTAAATTTGACCAAAAAGACACGACACGAAAGCTAGGTCAATTGGATTGTACGAGTGGGAGCAAATTGGGGCTGAGCAACACGTGAGCAACCTGTTGAACGATACACTCAGAGGACCAGAAACTGTACGTTATTCCATGTGAACTATCAAGGAGATGAGTATATACATACGTAGTATACTCCGTATAGTTTCCCTAAACGGACGGAACACGTGATCTTCTTCTGACTAAGGTGCTCCCAGATCTCAAAACGAGGCTGTCACCAGAATATTCCTCGACAGCACGCAAACAGCCCTCAGGCAGCTTCGAAAATAGTTGAAGGCCACGAAAGCGGCCTATCACCAATACCAGATGCCGGCCACGCGTCTAACCTCGAGTCAATTTTCGCGAACCCGAGACCGGCTGTAGAGAAGCCTACGTCTCAACTCTAGATTCCAGGACATAGGACATTGTTTTAGGCAGTCTTTGACAATGCTTTCTGCGTCTGTTGCATCACGGGTCATGTGACGTGTTACCGCTTTTTTTGTCACTCAATCTAGTTTTACCAACTTCATATAACTATCACTTGTTTCACTAAATGGGTGCCCCTGCCTTATGGGGATTGGCGTTCCCGCGATTTAGTGTCAAAATTTTGCTGCAGCCTTGGCACAAGGAACACCAAAATATTTTGAGTACAATTGTTACACCGCGCCAAGGCTGCCAAGCACGCTACGCACGCTTAGCGCCGCACATACACCAAAGGAGAACTCTGCACTCTAGAAGTCAGAGTTTGTCCATCGTTCGACTTATTGAAGTCGGGAGCCCATCCTTCGTTGCCACTGCTGATAGTGCTTTACGACTGCGAGGCGCATGTTATTTGTACGCTAGAATGTCACGTCGCTCAAGACCCTAGGCGTTCCTGACAACAATTTTGATACAAAGTCTTCTCTATTAAATAAGAAGATTTTTGAAATGTTCAAAGTTTTAAAATAATCAATGTCTTACGGGTTATCCCTTGTGAGTCCGAATAGACCCCTGGGTGAGTATCCTTCCTTATAAAGTTTAACGTTAAGAGGTACCTGCGTTTAGCGGTAAGGTTATTTCTGCAGCCTTAGCATTAGGAACATCCAAGTTATAGAAAAATGCTACAGCCTTAGTGTTAAGAATATTAAAATTCATTAAGATCTTGTTGTAGCCTTAGCTCCTCTTCGTTCCTCTCGATAAGTCTTTTAATCTGTGATCCTTGTGTGTGTTCAAAAATATCAAGGTACTGCCCGGTCATGCCCAGGAGACTGTTTCGAAGGCCGTTTCGACAATCTGGGTCAAGTTTGACGCCCTTTTTCTCGAGTATGTCGTAGGCAGCATCGTAACTGGGTATTTGGACTTTAAGAAAGATATAATTGGCTTTGCAATCTGGGATGAGATAGTTGGTCGCTCTTGCTGCTTCCGTCCCAATCGACGACATGCAGTAGAAGACGGAGTCGTCCTCACGGAAGGTTTTCATCACTGCGAATCGGTCGGCTGGGAACACCCAGTTGAGATGGTGCGTCATCCTGGCCAAAGTAAATAATGGGCTTATATACTGTATTTGTTGGTGTTGCCCAATTTCGCGTAGACTGCGTGGGGAGTACCGAAAGAGCAAGTGAAAATTGGTGAGTTAATCGCAGTACAGTTGGAGTTGGAGTCGGAGCGGCTAATGTCCGCACGGGACTGCTATCACAAACAATTCGAAAGTATGAGGCTTTTCTGGCTCGTGGGAGGGCTGAAATGACTGAGAGATTTTCGAGCCTGAAGGCATTGGCGTACCTGGCCACCCCCATATATGCAAGCAGTCTCGTCGGAAGAACTACTCACATGACGAGTTCACCACAAGTCAGTGCATTAATCACACCACTACAGTATCAGCGAATCGATAGGAATTCCCAAAAGCCACAAGCACAGAAGGCGTTAATGGATGATGTTCTCTACGAATGAGTTGTGGACGTTCAATTGACAGCCAAGTCGGGGAAGGTCGGCTAAAATTCAAAAAATACGGCTAAGCCATCAAGCGGGGCGCCAATTGTCTTCTCCCTTCGCTCTCGGCCCTGTCATCCTACGTAGTAGATTCTTTATTGCACCATGAAGCTGCAGCAGCAAGAGGCGAGTCTCAATCGCAGTCTCTTCTTCCTCTCCGAACCATATCATCACTTCTTTCGCATGCTGTCACGTTTTATGGGTCTGAATGAGCGCACGAACCTGCAGGATCTTTGCAGTAGCTATCTGTGGCTATAAGTGAGCCCAGCATTACTGGTTTGCCAAATAGGGTGGCCCGCCAAGTGGTCCTGCTAGTTGGTTCAGGTGTCCTGCCGTTTCGGATTTAGATAACTAGGCCCGATGGGACAACACCATAAAGAGCCCCTTACAAGGCTGCTCCTTAACCTCCTTCATCGTCTCTCTCTTTTGTCTTTCACTCCTTCCCTCTTCCCTTTTGGTGGTGTCTGGCATTAGACAATCTACCTAATACATAATTTCCGATCTGAAGAATACAAAATTGTCATAAGTACCGGCGCCAATCAATAATGCTTACTATGTCCTTTGTAAGAGAATACAGATACTTGACCTAATCAAATGAAGCTGTATACTATCAGCTGAAAGTGTACCAAGACATCGCCCAACCCCTATCACTAGGTTCAAACGCTTAGTTTGGTGTGGACAACTGTTTACGTAATAGGGATTGCCTAAAACCTATGTTGATTGCCTCTCTCGGCTGCACCAAGTACGGAGCACTCAGTCAATACTTTTAACACGAGGAGTCTTGAGAAAAAATAGACTGAGGCTGAGCAATCAGACAGCAGATCGAAGTGCTTAGCACCAAATACTCCATATTACTCATAGATCAGGCTAAATAGCATCCTCCCCACACTCCATGATGACTCGCTGCGTCCCCCGACCTGAGCCTTATCAACGTTGCCTCCTTGTAGCGGGCTTGGGTCTCTCGGTGATGGTTCCTTGACAAGCAATTTCCACGAGGTGGAGGAAATATTCCTCCATGTTTGTTGTCTTTGGTAAATCAGACTGCGTTGAATCCATTTCTGCATCGCTCGTGACACTTCCCTCATCCTTCTGCTCAAAATTGAAAACAGAACTTGAAAACCCAAAGCATGATTATAATAGAGTTGATCTCATTCTTGATACTCCTCGCATCAGCTACAAAGGCCGGTGCTATGGTGGGAGCACCGGTACTCACAACTCCAGCACCAGAAATCGCGAAGCGGCAAGACGCTGACACTGGAAGAACGTGCGGATATTACTCACTCGATGGTTCAGGTATGGTCTCTCAAAGCGTCCCTCGATTTAAACCGCAGAAGCTGACGCAAGACATATCATAGTCCAGACCATCACCTGCCTGGGCAACGTGCCTTGCACTGTAGCCCCCGATTTTCTCACCTCATTCGCGTATTGCTCCGGTACTGGCGACATACCAATCACCACAGTTTATGAATACGGTTACTACCCTTATGGAGGATGTGGGCCGGGGGAACTCTGCTGGTAAGTAAAGTCCCCTCCTTCGCGACTTTTTCTCCTTGAATAATATCATTTCCAAAAGAGAACGAGCCTGACAAACTTGTTTACCCTTACAAGCCCCCTTTGGCGGCCATCATCTGGGGAATATCTCTTCAACGATGGTAGTACGGTCCTACTCGACTGTGGAACGACTGCTTTCACCATTGAAGCCTTCACATCAGCTCAAAATGAAATCTCGACCCTAGCCTCGTCAAGCCACATTGTCACTCCAACATCCGTACCATTAATTACCGGGTCTTCGTCGTCCTCATCGTCCGTGCCGTTCCCGACGTCCCAGTCGTCGGTTTCCAATCCGACGGCCATCATTGTCGTCATTGTTAGTGCCGTCGCATGCCTGATCGGCTTTTGTGCAGTCCTCTGGGTTGTATACAAGATATGGAGCAGACGTCATCAAGCGAAATATCCACAAAATCTAGACAACAACGCTAGAAATTCCATCCCAGCTTCGCCAGGGAAAGATAACATACTGACAAAATGGCAATTGGTTGTTGCAGTCGTCTCTATGACCATAGCGCTCGGGGGCTTGATTGTTGCGATTGTTTTTGGGGTAAATCGAGGGAAGTGAATCAAGGATGATAAGCATTTGAATGTAATTAAGTTTTTGTACACAAATACACCCATATTCACACAATTATGGATCATTTTAGCAGGGCATAAGTACGTTGAGCCGTTTGTGGACACATCTTTCTATCCGCCAATTCTCTCAACCTCCATCTCCATCCCTTACAACCCCTCTCCCCTTCCCCTTTCCTCCTGAGCAATCTCTCCAAGCTGCCTCCTCGTCCTATTCACCCATTTAGGCCTTCCGTTCTGTCGCCCAATTGCGTCAATCATTTGACTCTTTCTCAGGCCACGACTTTGTTCTCGTCCTGCTTTCCCGTACTCCGAAGATACATCACTGCACGCCTTGATTGAGTCCAGGGCTTTGTCAAATCTGAACTCGAAGCTCTTTTTTTAAATCATCGCGGGTAACGAGTGCGTGTGCTGTTCGTTACCGCCTCTACCATTGCGTCTTTGCAGACTGAGTCAACAAAATTCCTCTCCCACTCGATATCAAAGACTGGCTGGGTCAGCATTTGACGGCCATGCACTCTGTACGATAGTATGCAGCGTATACTGCGGATGTCACCATCTAGAGAAGGGGATCTCACAACTTGGTAACCATCTGTTAGGACGTGACCAGGTTGCTTTCACCAGGGTTACATCTATTTTCCCCCCTGACTTGGAGACAATAAGTAATGTGATGGGAGGACTTTGTTAGGCAATCTTCCCCCCCGAAGGAACCCATTCCAGGAAGAAAACAAGTCAGACCGCCTGTACCTCGTTCATAAGTCCTTCAGGATAATAATTCATACCTCTTCTCTTTTCTTCTTTTTTCTTCTCACCCCAGTATATCTGTGACTTTTTGCTTCACACTCCATCAACTCCGCACCCCTAAGTTTATCTACCATCTCTCGTCTTTGTCGCGACCAACCTGCCCGGAAAATGGGGAGAAAGAAAAGACGACAAGATCAATGCAGAGGCTGATCTCCTAGCAACTTATAGCGAAGCTTTACTTAGGAGCGGACAGGACCGACTCGTACCTTGGCAGGGAATAATTGGATCTTGCATGCACAGACAACTCTTTGGATCGTTTCAGAACAATTTTCTGGTATAGTGCCGAATGAGAATATTAATATTATCACATTATAATTACTAGCTGCAAGCAGACAACACCAAAATGATATGTACTTGTCCAGGCTGAATAAGTAGTCCTCCCTTTTTGGTAGTGTTAACACAATTGGCTCTCTACCAATCTCTGTGCAAAGTAGGCCCTCCCATGAGCGTCTTCTGATGCATACTCGTACAGCCATGTCTATCGCTCAATCAACTCCCCACCATGGACTGCAGTCCAGGCCATCGTTCTTCTCAAGCTTCAATATTGAGGGCAGCAAAGTAACCCGCGCAGCCATATTCCCATGCGCCACTTTGGTTTCGAGTTTTCTAGCTTGTAGCCTTCCTAAGCGCAGAGGACAGAAAGCTTGAAGAGCGATGCTGGTCTTGTCTCTTCGAAGGGCTGCTCGTGATCATGCTTTTGTGTGTGATGAGAGGGGACGCCTCTTCTTTTGGTGCCATTGACTTGAGTCAATGGGTCGCGCCAACTGCTGGACCTTGATAGTTAAGAATGTGGAAGATTCGCAGTATCTTGTGATGCAACCTTGGATGGTGAGGCATCTCTTGACTCTCTTTGGTGAAAGAATGCCTGAGTAAGTGTGATGGCGCTCTTCACTTCGGGTTTCAGCGACATCTGCCCTTGGTAGATAGCAGGTCTTGGAGACTGGACTCCGCCATGTGCTTCCGCGGATGAGATTTGGAAGGTCATTGATGATCTCTGGGTAAAATGCCTCAGATATGGTCATCTCTTCGTTCCTTCTGTTTCTGTGCTGTAGTCTTCTGCTTTTCGTGCCTGGCCTGCGGTAACCGAGCAGAATATCTTGTAGGAACCTCCGGACCTGTGCCGCAGATATGGCTTCGGAGGCATCCATATAGTATATCCGATAACGTTGGTTTCTTCCCTTCAGGGGCCCAGGACGTAATACCCTCCTCTCACCCTCCTCTTCTCACACCCCATAACCATCCAAATCACCAACACCGTTGTCAATATCCCCAGCAAAAACGACAACAGATTCCACGCCAGACAGGCCGGCATCGACATAGACACATAATGAACATTTCCAACACGTTGTGATTCCACATCCGACCGATCGTGGGGGAAGAGTGGTATCTTCTCGAGGTCTTGTGAGAAGGCCATAATGTTCATGGAAAATCGATCCTAGCATAGGAACGGACACACACCGAGGAAGGCTCAAGGTGGAGAAAAGAGGTGAGAGCGTAGCGTCATGAAAATGGTAGTTTTTGGATGAGAGAGGGGAGTGGTGATGCAAGGGAAACGGAGATCAAAGTGCAGATCAGCAGGGGGGGCAAAAGGGGTGATATGCAGATTGGATGTGTACCACGAGGTTTCTAAAGAAAGAAAGGTTTTGCAGCTAGTTAGGGGGAATAGACGCTAGGTAAGGAACTTGTGCACGGCATAGCACTGCCTTATCTCTGCCAAGCAGGTATGATGTGGTCTGGCATGCAGGTGTAGGTCTCTAATGTAGGCTCTAGTTCCTGATCTGCAGCACTGGTTGGTTGGAGAGGGGAGGAGGGGAGGAGGGGTTCGGATTGGGGGTGTGCCCTCCCATCTTTGTGCCCAAAGGCCCCAGGCAAGTGGAAAAGGCTCCAGGCATTAGGGCTGGTGAATTACCCAACAGATCTTGTTCCGAACGAATTAATAGATTAGGCATAGCACACCTTTTCGGCCATCCAAATTTCCGCGATCAATAGGCATTAAGATGGAACACACCTTGCCGGTCTGGTATCGATGATTTGAGACGGGTGTCTTGCTGGGAGGGCAAGGTTTGAGTTTGCATGTCCAACAAAGCCTTTCCTGTAACAGTTGAATGGTCTGTGCTTAGCCCCTATTATGATGAAGCTAATGCAGCACGCACCTAATGCTGCGCCCGATAGCTCGACCATGTACTAGTAGTTCTTGAGTGGTTTTCGCTGTGTTTCAGATTTATCGAGTCGGAAAGATTGGATAACTCACCCACAGAGCACAGCACTACTTGAGCCCCATACATTTACTAGGGTACACCACAACAAAGTGCAGCCCCAAAGTCCTGGCGGCTCCGGGTAACTTACCCGGTGATAGTAATGGTGACAGCCTTTTACTTCCCCCCCCAACCTGCCAAAAAGTCTCTCATCTTTTGTGTTGGTCTTGATCGAAATTCCGAGACAAGAGGATCGCATCACTGCAGCAGCTCGCGTTGGTCCACACCCCTTCATTCCCAGAAAGAAGCATATTGATCAGGGTGGCAAGGCTATTTACTGCCTTGCAGGGCTTCGAATACAGACGACTCGTAAGGTGATGATCGCCAGCGACATCACAAACCATCCTGACATACTTATGACTATGGGGAGGTAGAACATTCAGAGTAAAACAGGCTGCCTTTTGGTGTATTATCTGTCTTGAATATGTAGCTAATTGAGAAACGAGTACGGAGTAGTCCCTGCAAAATCAAAGAATGCATGCAGAGGCATGCTTCGGCTTCCATCTTTCAACCCAAACTCTACAATAGAACACAATAACCTACCCGATACACCTACTGCACAAAGAGAAAGCTTCATGGCCGTGGCCATGCATCCCAAACCTAATCATACCCCGGTAAGGTACTTGACCAGTCCCTCCCTTTCGCTCGTCGGCACCAGACTCAATGCCTCCCTCACTCCCTTAAGTCCACCCTCCTTGTTGCTCATCAACAACTCGGCGACTTTCTGGCTGATGCTTTCGGTCTTGACCGCGTCGATTTTGCTATAGACATCCTTACGGTGGCTTTCATACCATTCGGCTACCTTGCGGTCGTCCTTGTCAAATTCCGTGTCTAGCATGCCTGTCCACGACTTGAGGAGGTTGAGGTTGCTTTCTTTGTTCGCCGCTGACGTGACATTGGTTGAAGCATTGACAGCAGTACCGGCAAGTCTCTTGAGCAGCACTTCCTCGGACAGTCTACGACGTAGACGCCAATAGAAGAACCGTCGGGCATTCTGCCATCTTAGTGGCATGCGGATTGTCCCTTTGGCTTCCATGCGGCCAGCGCGATCATGAAGATCGGCGAACTGGAGAGCAATCTGCATGTAGATTGGACCAAGAGTCTTTTCACGCTCGGTCATCTTGAGCTTGATTTCGCTGGTCCGCTCTGGCGACAGGTCCTTGTCGGCCAACTGAGCGCGGAGTTGAGCGTAGGTGGGATCGAGCCTCGCCATGGTTTCGAGTTGCTTGTCGCGGCGATACTTGATATTGACAATACCTTCGGGCTCGAGGACACCACCACGAGAGTCTTCGTCAGCATACATTTCCATCTGCTCAGGATTGATTGTAGGATCGACCACAACCTAAGATGATGTTAGCTATACGGTTCAAAGGGTCCTTAGTAGAGGTACTTACCCATGAGCCACCACGGAGCTCACCAAAGGGTGGAATGTAGACAAATATCGGCTGCTCGTACTTGACAAGCGCGTCGACAATGTAGGATCCATACTTCAACACCTCGTTGTACATGTCCTTCTGACCACCAGAGAAGCCACGCCAGTTGGCAAGGATCATCACCGGCAGCTGCTCGCCATGGTTGAAGTCCTTCAGGGCTTGCGCAGTCTTGAACGCGGAATTGGGGTACCAGACTCCACCAGCCTCGTTGGTGATCTGCTCCATCGAGTCCGGGTTGGCAGGATCAGCGGGTGTGACATTCTCGACAGATCGAGTCTCAACGGCGATGACACCCATGGGAATACCACCGAGACGAGCGCGACCGACCACAACAGTGCGAGCCCAACCACCAAGCGACTCGCGGAAGGAGTCCTTGTCGAAGAGGCCGGACAGGAAGCCTTCTTCGTCTTCTTTACCAGCAATAAGGTGTCTGACATCGTACGCTTGTCGGTTGGGTGGGAAGAACTGGATGTCGCGATCCCAAGAATCGGCGGATGGACTGACAGGAACGGGCTGATTCTTCTTGTCTGGGATGAAAGACATCCACTCAACGATCTTCTCCACGCCTTGGAAATCATCGTTTGCAGTCATGTGGCTGACGCCATTCTTGTACATGATCTGGGTACCACCCAACTGCAAATTCGAAGTGTAAACTTCACGGCCAAGAAGTTTGTTGATAGCAGGTGCACCAGTAAGGATGATCGGTTGGCCTTCGATTTGGATGGCTCTTTGCCCGAGACGGACCAGATAAGCACCAATACCGACCGATCTGCAAGTGACGAGCGTGATCGTGAAGATGTCTTCGTAGGCTTTAGAGGTAGCACCAGCAATAAGACCAGATCCTCGTAGACACTCGACTCCGAGTCCATCTTTTGCACCCACAATCGTCGTGATCTTATACCGCTCCTCCCCCTCGTCCATGACCTTTTCGGTGAGCACTTCTTTGGTCTTGCCAAATTGCTTCATCTTCTCCGGTGTAAGATAGAGATACTTGAAACCAGCTTCAGGATGGGCAGCGTCGTTCCAGGCGACAGAGAAATGGGGGATCAGCTCATCAGCCATACCAATACGAGCGCCAGAATTGGCAGACAAGTAGATTCGAGGGATGCCAAGTTTTCTCGCAAGCTCGGTGCACTTGTGGAAGAACTTGTCTTCCTGTGGACCGAAGGAGCCAATCTGATAGGTGATGTCGTTCGCAACAATGATAAAGCGTCGCCCCCGTGGATACTCGGGAGTTTTGGCGGTGATCAGCCAGCCAACCATACCACAGCTGTTGGTACCAGGCTCGCGCGCAACCTCGGCCAGACTGTCAGAGTCATCCAAAACCAATTCACTATACTCGATGCATTCTCCAAGTGCTGGCTGTGATTCGGCCAGTGGCTGGTATTTGGCGACAGCTTTGGTCCAGCTATATTGAATGGCTTGCCTGAACAGCTCGGGGAAGTCGTATACGTACTGGGTCCCCATCAAATGAGCCTTGTATCGCTTTGGCTGCAGCCACTCTTTGGTTGGGTAAGGTGTAGAAACCGGACGCAAATGCATTGAGCCAACCTTGGTCGTCCCACCAATGCTCTCGAACACCCATTCTCCAGTCTTTGACTTCTTCTCAATGTATAATTCTACCTGGATAACATATCCAGAAGTATTAGTGATGACCACACGCAGCGGGTACGGCATGCCAGACACGGGATCGGTACAAAGAATGCGGATTTCGGCACCAGTGACGCGCAAACGCCAGAGACGACGGCCGAAGCGCTCCAGGAAACCTGCTAAGGCCTCCTCAACGTCCTTCGGCTGGAGGGGGAAGACGGGAGAGAAGTTGATGAAGATGTGGTTCAGATCCGAGTTGTTGTTGCCAATGATTTCAAGAGCATCCAGGATATCGTTCATCAGTCGATGAGCTTCCGAGATCAAGTACTCGACTGTCGGAATATCATCCCTTAGACGTCCAGGTCGTACAACAGCACGAGTAAAGTATCTCTTGTCAACAACTTTATCACTTTCGGGACCTTTGCCAATGGCTTCATATACGTGAATATTGCGATTTTCGGTAAAGACTGGCTTGATCTTGAATTTTGACAGCCTGCCAAGTTCAAGTTGAAATGCCAGTGCAGGTTCGCTGTGACGAATGCTGGAATCTTCTTCGTATGAAGGTCCGCGGAAAGTGTAGTATCCCGGGTACGTACCATCTCGGTGACCGCAAATAAAGGTTAACCGACGCACACGACGCGCAAGAAGCTCCCCCTTGTTCTCGGCAACAATTTTGGCGACGCGGGAAATAATCTCGTTGTCATCGAGCGCTTCAACATCACGGATGGCAACATTGCATACACCGGTAAGCTCGTCCTCATTCTCGAGACGCGGGGCGGCTGGTCTCCGCTTGCCATTGAGTTCGGGCATAAGGCTGCTTGCGCTTGGTCTTTGACCCTTAGCACCAGCTCGAGGAAATGCTTCCAATGCACGTGCAAGCGATTCATCGGCTTCGTCAAGATATTGAACAGGGACGATGACACCCTTTCGAGACGGCCCATCTGTTTCTTTGTTGACGAGATAGGACATATCGCTGATTGAGCTGATCTTCTTGAACGGGTTGCCTCCTGAAGTTGGCGTGCTTGGCGCAGATGGATAGGCCGAGCCAAGAGGCATACCAAACTCCGATTGACCCACCTTTCCTAGGATGAAGTCCCATGAGATGAAGAACGGAGGATCAACGTCGTTGTGGTATTGGACCTCCTTCACGGTGTAGGCTCGGTAGGCTCGGCGAACGTACACTTCGAGAGCGGCAAGCGACACCCATGGATCTGCATGGCTGAAGAATAGTGGCAGAACATCGAACACGGTGTATTTGGAGTCAACCACTTCCTTGAGCACATCAAGATCCGGTTCACGATGATCCCAGCCAGTCTCGCCATATCTCGACTCGACAACTGAAGACCGTAGAATATGCTCCATTTGTGCAGCACGCTCTTCCAGTGAGGGTAAAGCGCATTGAATCAAGAGCTCGCGTGCCTTGAGCGCAACCTTCGCGGTTGCCCTTGACTCGAGTTCGGTCAAGCTGCGGAGAGACGGACGGAAATATTTGGCGACATTACCGACGTCAGGCTGGTTTGGTCTGTACATATCCAGGATTGCGAGGATGAGATTGTTCTTGGCGCCAATCTTGCTGTGGGACAGTACGGTATGCACAACGGCCTGGATGTCATCCTTGTGCTCTTCTCTGAGCTTGAGTATGACGTCTTCATCTCGCAGAGTACTGCTCGAAAACAATTTTTCTACTTGCCAATACTGGTCCAGCAGACCAGTGAAGACGTCGAACTCATGCGCCTTAAGACCATCAGCATATCTATCCATAACCGCCGACAAAGGAGCCAAAGATGATCTCAGCATTTCAGCGTCGGCACCGCTCAAATTGTCCTCGATGAATCGATTCAGAGCCTTTTGAAGTTGCTTGGCAGGGAACTCGGCATGTCTGGAATGAGCACGCTCAACGATCTGGTCAAATTGAGTATCCAGCTTTTGGGGCATGCGAGAGTGCAGAGCGGATGACTGAGCATTCCATTCGCCGTACGGCAATTCTGGATCTCGGAGAACCTCCACTAACTCCTTCAAGGTTGAGGCCATAATAACCTGATTGTCAAATCCAAGGAGAATATTGAGAAGAATGTTGTGCAGAAGAGTAAACCGCTGAGGAGGTTTAGTGCCGACAACTTGGGGAGGTCCAAGATCTGGAAGCTGACCCGAGAATGGCTGAGCGTGCTTGACTCTTGACGGATCATCAAGAGCGAGTATCCCTAGAATGTCACCAGCTTCAAGGGTCGCTCCAGGCTGTTTGATGAGCTGGACCACGCCATCCTCCTGTGTAATTAGGGGCATGTACATTTTCATAACCTCGACCTCGGCAAAAGCCTGCCCAGCTCGAACATGTTCACCATTCTCGACAGTAAACTTGACAAGCTTACCAGGAGAAGGAGTGCGGAGTTGGGTTGGGTCGTTTTCCTGTTCAAGCAGACAGGTCTTACCGTCCACGCTGAGACGTGTAGCGGCAGTCTCTTCCTTCCAGTAGACATTGTGTGACCGTCCCGCCAGCAAGACCAGTAGTCCACCATCCGCCAGTGCTCGGACGCCAACGGAGCACTTCGAGCCATTGATGAAAAGGAGGTAGCTGTCAAGACTTGACCTTGTAGCCGTAAATTTGTAGCGGTAGCCTTCATAGATGAAATCCACAGGGAAGACGGTCTTCAAAACTTCCTTTGGCGGGACCTGGCCCTTTTCGAGACCTTTCCGGTACTCGGCGATACAGGCTTCGCTTGCGATGTGTGCCCTGGTTACCGCACCACAAACTACAGCCAACATTGGGTCTGGTCGCTCTGCTGTAAGCTTGTTGGAGATGAGCTCATCTAGCCAGCCAGTAGTGATGGTATTCTCTTCGAAAGCCGGAGTCTCAAGCAGCTTGATAAGATATTCAACGGTCGTTCTGAAATCACCGCGAATGCTTAGCTCTTTCAGTGCCACGATCATGTGTTTCCTCGATGCCGATCGGTTTTCGCCATAGGCGAATATATGGCCGAATTGACTGTCCGAGAAGCTGTGAATACCACCAGAACTGCCAACGGAGAAGTAGCCCCAGACGTTGGAGCTGGACCTAAAGTTCAAGTCATGCAAGGTACCACCAGAAGGTTTGAAGCCTTCGCCTGGGTCTTCGGAGGTGATACGGCAAGCAGTGGTGTGACCTTGTGGCTGCGGTCGTCTTTGTGTCTTGAGACTGCCCTCGGATGTGAAATGGAAATCGATTTCGGTGGAAGTATGCGGGTCCACGCCGTACAACAAGCGAATGTCACGGATGCGATGGAGAGGGATGCCCATAGCAATCTGGAGTTGAGCGGCCGGCAAGTTGACACCGCTCACCATTTCGGTGGTAGGATGCTCGACTTGCAATCTAGGGTTCAGTTCCAGAAAGTAGAACTTGTCGTCGGCGTGGGAGTAGAGGTACTCAACAGTTCCAGCCGACACGTAACCGACGAGCTTTCCGAGACTCACGGCCGCCTTCTCCATGGCCTTGAAGGTCTCCGGCTTGGCGACCGTGACTGGAGCTTCTTCGATGATCTTTTGATGTCTTCTTTGGACAGAGCAATCTCTGCCGAAGAGTGAAATATTGTTACCATACTGGTCAGCAAGGAGCTGCACTTCTAAATGTCTGGCATTTCCAGCCAGCTTCATTATGAAGATAGGCGAGCCCGGAATTTCACTGGCCGCGGCGTTGTAGAGATTGACGAAGTTCTCCTCGGACTCGACTTTTCGAATGCCTTTTCCACCACCACCTTCTGAGGCCTTCACCATGACTGGAAAGCCAATCTTTCGAGCCGCTTCCAAGCCTTCTTGTGGCGAGTGTGTACATCCTTTGTCGTAGATATCATCTTCCACAGCGACAATCCCGTCCTTGTCAATCTTCACCTGATCCACGCCTTCCCCTGACCACGGAATGCAGGGGACTTTCGCATGCTGAGCAACGATTGTAGACGAGATTTTATCACCCAACGATCTCATGGCAGAGCCTGGAGGGCCGATGAAGATAATCTTTTTCTGGGAAGCGGCCAGAGACTCCGGAAGCTTTGGGTTCTCTGAGGCATGTCCCCAGCCAGCCCATACGGCATGGACATCCATGCGCTCGGCAATATCGACTATCAGCTCGACGTTGGCATAGTTGTTGTTATTTGTCCCGCCTGGGACCTCAACATATTTGTCTGCCATTCGAATGTAGTCCGCATTCGCTTGTAGATCTTCGGGCGTCGCCATCACAGTGAACTGAATGGCTCGCTCGTCGCCAAACATCTGGTATGCCCATTTGCGTACAGATCTGATTTCTTTAACGGCTGCAATGCCATTATTGGCGATGAGCACCTGAAGTTGACAATGTCAGCAAAGATACAGACAGATTTCCCAGCCTTGCATTGCCTACCGATGTTATAACTGAGTGACCATCATACTCTTGTACAAAGTCTTTGACGGCGCTCGCTGGAGCTGCATCAAGGTGATTACCGCCGATAAAGTGGGATGGGAGGTTGTGCTTAGCCTGCCAGGAGCTCGGGTGCCCATTTGTGAGGGCACCATTGGTACCGTTGGACAGCTTTGACATTTTGGTATGGGTCACGCAGTTGAGGAGGGAAAAAAGGGTGGGCAGGCTCGTCGAAGTGTAGAGGTTTGAAAAGTTCAGCTGAAGACCAGACGCCAGCCAAATCCCAATGCCCAGAACCTCACATGCAGCCGTAAAGACCAAATCAAAGATTCAGGACTTGCTGAGAGGAGATGGTGTAAAGGAAGACCGAAGTGGAGGAGTGATCGAAGCTGAAGAGAATGGTACGTACGGAACGGAAATGGATCCGGAGGTATATGCCGAAAGGTTCGAAGTAAAGTTAGAAGTAGCTGATCGGAAATCTGGTGGGTGCCCAATGAGCAGGTGGATTGAGTTGAGGCCCGCCCTCCGTCAATTGTTGGAGCTACCAGCCCTGAAGTTTACCCCAACTTCGATTTCTTTTCGCCGTTGAGTCCATGATGTTGAACTTTTCCCTCAATCCTTTTCCACTTATTTCAATGTCTACACTTGGCACTTACCCGGTCAATCTACTCACAACGTTCTTAGAATGTACTTTCCGGAAGTCACGGGGTCATGAATGGTTATATCGTTGTCATTGATGGCTCGTTTCTACCTCAGCCCTTCCCCTTCAGGCCTAAGAATAACAATCTCAAAGCGGACATCTCGGACTACTTGGACGGACTCCGACTACCTATATTTGGCGGGATCTAGTTCGGGGCCAGAGCACTAGGGAGGTCTGTTGGACGAATGAGAATGATACGTTGGGGCTCTGTGCGGCGCCACTTTCGCTCCGGAATTTCTCATCTTCACATCACGGAGAAACTCTACGACTCTTTCTTAGAGTGTCCATAAAGAATTTAAACTTTTTCATAGACTATCAGAGTACACTTGAATATCAAAAAATTAGTTGAGATAAAAGATTATTGTTTTATTCTTATACTTCTTATCATACAATAAAGAACGTCCGCTTATCATAATTTATATGCTATTTTTAAGAGAAAATAGAAAAGAACTTCAAAATCCCTGACTCAAATTTATTTTTAAATATATTATAGTGAACACTGAATACTTTTGAACTCACTTTAAATTTCTACAAACATCTCAGGTAAAAGTCCTATTGGCTTTGCGTTCTGCAAATCTTATTATGTTCTATGTCACGGAGTTGACATGGAGGCCTCCTGGGGCCTAGATGGAGTCGTGGTCCGACTCTCTCTAGGGCATCTGGATTAAGGATTAATATACTATTCCAACTGCATTCAAGTAACTTTGGTTACTTGGGCGTAACTCTTTTGTGAAGTTGGATCACTATCTCATTCTAGAGAACATCTACTATACAGCCCTTTAGAATGTAATTTTCTATAGTTTTTATATTTTCAACCCTTTTTTCATGTTTTAGAGGGCACCCGGAATATACGAAATAAGAAGATAAAATTCTCCAAAAAAAATTGAAAAATTTTGAACCAGAATTTTGTTGGTAGACTACTTTGAAGGCCACCAAGGATCTAGAAACTGTCACGTGAGAACCCGATCAAGGTTTCAGGGAAGCGAGGATTTCTTATTAAAGTAGCTTCTATTCTAAGCTACTGCCTAATCAGGCTTATTCCTCGTTCTCATCCTCCTCCCCATCCTCCCCAGCCCCGCAAACAGCCCCCAAAAAGGGCAACCCACCAAATTCGCCTTGGTGGCCGGCCTCTTTTGGCTCGGCCAAGACGCACCCCCCCTCCCTCTCCACCACAATCCTCCCCGTCCTCCCCTCCAGGATGTTCACATCTATCGTTTTCTCAGCGAGAAAATGATAGATGTGAACATCCTTCTCCTGCCCCAACCGGAACGCACGTCCAATTGCCTGCGTCATGCTTGAGTTGTATTCGTGCTTCGTCTTGGAAGCAAATGACGAGACAAAAACGACGTGGTTCGCGGCCTGCAGGTTCCTACAGAGTACCTTGGTTAGCAACATGCATGGGAAGGTCTTGCAAAGGCATTGACTCACCAGCCCGCCGCGTTCACACTGTCTAATTGAAGAACGCACACATTGCAAGTCGATTCCTTCTTGAACGTGTCCACTCTGGCAGCAGCCCCCTTCCCATGGGTTGTGTCTGCAAACTCGATTCTTTGTGCGGTCAGAATCGCTCTCAAAGCCAAAATGACACGAGGGAACTGGACAAAAACCAGCGTTTTGTCGCCTTTGGGGATCTGCGACAACAGATTGGTGATTGCCACCATCTTACTGCCGTGTTGTCGTACCAGATCCGAAGGAATAGTGACAGTTAGATCCGATGCCTCAACAGTGGATAATTGGGACGTATTTGAGTCACATCCTTGGTCAGGGCAATGGCTCAGAGCCCAGAGCGAGCCGTTCTGACCTGCACAGCAATGCTTGTGACCAGCATGACCACACCGACCCATAATAAGCATGTCCGAATATTTCTTGGATGGCTTTTCACAAGAAGAGCATTTGATCTCTTCACCAGTTTGGCAGCTTCTGGTCTGGAGGAAGAACCGTCTCTCTCGGACATGATTGATCAAGGAAATTGTCCAATGAGTTAGCGAGTCTGCGCGCAGCTTCATGTCTCCAATTCGGGTTTCTTTGTTGAGTGTTGAAGCCTGCTCAGCTGAGCCAATCCTCATGTCGTACTGTGCAAGTGCGGTATCACTAGCGTTTGCTGTCGGCTTCTTGTCTTTGGATGACTTTGCTACTGTCCATGCTTTGGTCTCGTTCGCATGTGCGATTATAAGGTCCAGCAAAGTGCATACTATGGCGTCTCCAAAGCGATTCTCCTGTACAGAGCGGAGATATTGATGAAAGTCCGGGATGTCTTCGACTGAGTCACCAAACTTATCGATAAGCCAGAAAGCACCACGAAGCTCTGACAATATGTCCCGCACACCCGCAAGGACGAGCCTCTCTTTCTCTGAGATCGCACTCTGGTAAGGCATAACGGATGAAGGCTCTATAGCAAACTCCGGCATTGTAGAGCACAGAGTGATCAGAGCGTCTTCTGGAGATTGACTGGAATTGATGAGCTTGACGATCTGCCCTGTACGAGTAAGATCTTCTTTCTTTTCCTGCTGTGGCGGGGCGTTCTCTTCTTGGGTTGAATCATTTGGCTTGGTTTCTGTATTTTTTCGCCTGGACGCTGTGGCCCTTGGTGGGGCGGCTGTAGTCTTTGAAGTCATCTTGTGGCCCTGATTCACCAATAAAAGGTAACCTTCATGGTATTGTGCTCGCTCTGGTGCTGGCAGACTGATCTTTTCGTAGTGATAGTGCTTCTGGACTCCTTGGACAAAGGTTGTGTTCTGCTATTGTTAGCTGGCTCTCAAGCAGAGAGATATCACACAAACCTGTCTCACAAACATATCGAGAAACGCTATTGCTCGATCGTTGCGGGCTTTATGCCAATGAGGCGTATGGCAGGTTGCGTAGGACCGAAGCGCTTCTCCGCCTAACTTCCAGTTAGCAATGTCACCCCGTTTCAATGAATGTAGAGCTGACTCACCTGAGATCTCCTCAGTCGCATCCTTCACCTTTTGATATCTCACCTCAGCATCATCAGGCACTCCGATAGTGGTACCGATGAGCTTCGCCATACTGCTCACCCCTGCAAATGTGTTATGTGGTGGTGTTCCGGATAAAATCCACCGCCGGTGGGCCTGGAAAGCCGTGACCGCAGGTAGTTGCTTCGCTTTAATGTAGCTAAATTCGTCGACCACAATTCGATTGAAGTAAAAGATATGCAATGCTGCGTAAAGATCTCTTGGCGCCTGGCTTTCGTTGTTACTAACGCCCTGGTCTTGGATCTTCGTTCTCTTAGGATCAGGTTCCTCATTGGTGTTTGCAGCAGTCTTCCTGCCTTTTCTGTTGCGTGTTGACAGTGGGATGAATTTCCTATATTTTTGGGGTTTGAGTTTGTCCCATGCCTTGCCTAAAGATCCAGGCTGGAGACCGTCTGACTCCTTTACGAGTTCCTTGAGGTCTTTCTGCGCCATCTTGAACCACTCTTCAAATCCTCGTCCAGCCGAGACTGGCGTATGAGGAGCTCTGCTCATGCGTGCTAGTTCCATGAAATAGTCATCATCAAATAGGTCCCAAGCGGCTATGATGATATGGGCTCTCCGCAATCCCGAAACGTTTGACTCCTGCACAAAGTTGTCTTTTGTGAGCGTGAGTACCTCGTAGGTCGTCCCAACAAATTTGGTGATCTCCTTTTCCCACTGCCCCACCAGGTTTTTAGGAACAAGAATCAGCGTAGCTTTGAGAGGGATCATCTCATCGAAACCTGCTCTAAAACATGGTGGAGGTTCGCTCTTCGTTTTCTGAAAATGATGGTCGATAAGTGCTACCACAAGGGCTGTCTTTCCATACCCAACATCATCACCAAGGACTCCTCCCAATACTCTGCGTTGTGCTGTAACTTTTGCCTCAAGACGAATATCCATTGCAGCGGCACGTGCTTCGACAATCTCTTGCTCGTCCCACATATTTTTCTCATTTTCTTCACGTTGAATCATCCAATCAAGGGACTTAAGTTGGTAATCATATAGTAGGGGATGGCGCTTCTTGGTTCTCCTCATTTCAACGAAAGACGGTGGCTGAGATGCTGGATTATGCCCCTGACAGTTCTTGAGCTGGACGTGAGGGAAAGACACAGGGTAATCGTGGCCATAATCAACGACTGCACGCCACTGCATGGTTGAAGGCATGACGAGAGATCCTCGTGACTCGGACAGAGCTGCAACCGCTTTATGAAAAAGCGTCAGAACGTTGAAATCGACTCTCAAGGCCACAAGTGCTGAATGCTCATCATAGGAGAGCTCGGCTGTGGCAGCTTCTGGCGCATCTTTCACGTTGCGCTCGTATTTGCATGCCTCTTCAACGTCCTCGAACGGCTTCAGTTGTTCACCCTTCTTGAGCTTTACAGACTTCCAGGACACGGGTGGAGGTTGTGGGGCACATTTTTCACATCGGTCTACAATGCCGCCAGTAGGAGCAATGTATTGCCACTTCTCAGATCTTAACGCATAACCAGCGGTTTTGAGGAGCCAACTGAGGCGTTCCAATGAGAATGGATCTTTGACTAGGCCGAAGCGCTTTCGAGTCTTCAGATCTAACTTCTTTAGAAGCTGGCTAGTCATTGGGAATTCGGACCACAGCACAGGTAGACCAGAACCGTCACATGCGGTGTTGTCCACTTGTAATGGTGTCTCCGCTGTAGCCAAGTAGACATTGCGAAGATCACCTGGGGCATGCTCTTCCAATCGGAGATGGCCCACAGGAATCCATTGGCTGGGGATCTTACAATTCACCGTAGAAACTGGGTCGGCAGCCGATGGTCGCCAAGAGCTGCTGACTTTCAACAAGACCTCCCGAACTTCCTTCAGCCCAATTCTGTGGTGCTGATTGGCAAAAACGAAAGAGTCATGAGATGCATTGTCAATGGGGGCCTGGTCGAGGAAGAGGAACATGGGTTCCTCAGTGCTCGGAGACTTCGGGTTGAGCTTAACGTGGAGGCTCCCACAAGCAGTGCCGCACTTTGGTAGCCACTCGTATGTTCCAAGCAGCTCATCGAGAATGGTCGAGGTTGAAAGAGGGCTGCCAGCACGAAGTCGGATCTCAATACATGGCCATACAAGGCGATTCTTGAACAATGGGTCTTCAAGGCCTTGGTTCTTCTCCCAGGAAGGTATCGCCGTACCTTTTCCGACAACTTCCAACGTGAGAGATTGGTCTTGGATAAGTCGAATCTCCCATTGACCATCGAACAATGACTCGGAACATGTGAGTCGAGCGATAGGATAGAGCAATTCCTCCCTGATACGACTGTTTGCTGGTAGTTCAGGCTTCGGCTTAGCGTAGAGTTGCCATTGTACACGGACTGCAGATGCCAGATCCTTTATTTTTTCGTTGCCTAGAATGCGTCCGTCCCATCTGCGTTCACACACCAATAGAAGACGAGATCGCTGATTCTCATAGATTATGCTCCAGCCTCTATCACGTTTAATGGATATGAGACAAAATTCCCCAGCAATTGCATCTATTGCCTCAGTATAGTCGGCACCAAAATGGCGATGACTTTCAGAAGCGACCTCCTTGTGAATGGAAATCAAGTCACAAATTGCGAGCCGAGGGGGAAGAGCCTTGCGGATGAGTTGCTCAAACTCTATCGCAGATGTGTCTTGTCTGCCATCTATTGGTCCAATTTTGACGTAGTGGTGCTCGGGCTTCTTGCCACAGCTGTCACAGCTTGTGTGCCCGCATCTTGAGCATTGTCTAAATATTTGGCTAACGTTGAGGATCAAATTTTCGCAGGAGCAAAGTCTAATGCTTGCAAAGGCCAACCAACGTATTTCGTCCATTGTGACTGGAAGCCGTCGATCTGTTGTCAGATCCACCTGAGTAAGGCACCACTTTGATTCATATTTGAGGGGAGATATTGGTGGGGCCACCCCTCTCGGCGATTCCAAGGGCTCGTTTTGTCGCTTGGATTGTTTGACGAGGGCTTCCGAACAACTTATGAACGCGGCAAGGATAGCTGCTCCAACCACGGTCGTCGTCATTGCATTGCCAGAGAGATCTATCAGTTGCCTGCTTGATTCGCGGTTGAGTATTAATCTTTCTCTCGGTATGCCCTGGAGAGAGAGTGCCTCTGCACCAACCATTGGACCCCCTCTAGAGGTAAGGTAGGGGTTGGCGGAAGCCGTAATGCAGCCGACAATACCCCACGGTTTCTTATCATTCTCTCGTACGCAGCTCTGGGAAAGATCGATGCATCGGCTAAGACACAGTCAGTATTATCGTCATGTCAATCCACTTAGAGAAACTAGAAGGAGGCAGGCTCACGATTTGTAGCCGAAGTCGTAGAACCGACGAATAGACCGCAGATGATTTATGTCGATCGTGTCCCAAACTCGTTCGACCTGTTTCTTGAACCACTCCTTATTGTAAGAGTCCGGCACAACACATGAGCCATTGTTCTCCCAATCGGTAACAGGCTTCTTGAATCCCAAGAAATTGGCTGAACGACAGCTCAAACATTCTGTCCTACACCTTTCCCAAGTAACGTTCTTGTTAGTCATTATCAGCGCTGCTGCTTGTAGGCAATACTTTCGAAGCTCCGCATCGTCATCCGCAAGGATGAAATCAGTGAAAGGGGAGCTTGCTCTTCTCTGCAGGTTCCCCAAAACTTCGAACCATTTCTTGACTGCGTCTTCTGCCGCCTTGCGTGCTGCGATGTCTGCTGCACTTTCTGCTGCGTCGTCTGCTGCGTCGTCTACCATTTCGTCTGCTTCAAGTCCGACCTGCGATTCAGTACGCGCTTCCCAACGAAGCCCGATCATATAGCCACGTTGACGTGTTTGCGGCAGGTAGAAGTCCTTGCTGTCCAAGTACGCTACCTGCGTCGCATAACCTGCGTCTCGCCACCACTCCTCCACTTGAGACCATGGAAATGACAAAACGTTCTCAAGGATCACAACGAGCGGTTTGTGCACCTTCGCGTACTCCAGAGTGGCCTTCAGTGTATCATACGACTCGCCACTTGCTCCAAAGTCTTTAGGCTTATTGTTGAGTAATGAATAATCAATGCAGGAAGAGCCAGCAATCATGATATCTGCTCCCTTGGGTACCACCGCTTCTCCCCCAAAAGCTGTATGGCTAGACAATCATCAGTCAATAAGCGCGGCCCCTCGAAATGTAGACTTACGCTGTGGGGTTATTAAGCTCAAGAACATCTCGAAAGAGAATAGCAGGTTTGAAGTTCCGCTCAATATATGCTTGCTTGAAAGGCTCGATCTCGCAGCTGAATTGGTGCTCGATCCGCAGATTGTGGTTCGTCTGGTCTCTCACACCTCAAGAATTGTTAGCAAGCGCACCAGGGAATTTGGAAGGCTGTACACTCACTATCTCCTATCATCTGCAGCGCTAGCAGTGGGCTTTCCGTCCCCGAGCAAAGAGTGGCAACTTTGAGCTGTCCTGATCCTAAAGCTTCTAGAAATTCACCAAGTCCTCTACCCAATGCATTCTTGGTGAGGTCAGCGAAGATATCATGGATGTTGCTCATTGGCGGAAGGTTGACGTTCAGCCCATTATACGGCACAAGTTCGTTCATATTTGCACCGTCTTCCGGCTGTTGTACAGGCTCTTGCTCTTCGTTATCCTCGGCATCGTCATTATCCGCATCATCCTCCTTTTTGCTTAGCTTCAGTCCAAGAGTAATCTTTCTATCAATGGAAGCGGTGTTCCCCATGGATTCCAGATACGTCTTGTTGGGATGAGGGGTCAGGTCGCCTAGGAGCCTAACCAGAGCTTTGAGTTCTGGATCTCCCAATGTTGTACGTTTAGATTCCTGGGTCGCCGTTCCGGAGTGATTATTCGATTCTGCAAGCTTGATAGGTTGCTTTATAGGGAGAAGGCCTTTAGAATCTCTGTATTCCTTAGTCGCAAAAAGTTTACTTTCAAGCCGTAGTGCTGATCTAGATGGTTTTGATGATTTCTCTTTTCCAGCAGCCACTTTCCTAGGAGCAATTCTCCTCGACCCAGGGGCAGCTTGCCTAGGCTTATTGGTGGCTCTTTTAGACGAGGGGACAGTGGTACGTTTTCGCTTCCTACCTGGCAATTCTGCGCTGCTGATGCTTTCAGTGTCGTCCTCTCTTCTAGTATTGTCTTCGCCCAGATCAGAGTCTGAAGCTTCGATCGTTCTCCTTGTATGGGGGATGTCATGGTCTCCATGGAAATCTGCAGTATCTTCTATGTTCAAGTTCGACAAGGTATTGATGTGATTCGTAGTGCCATTTGCTTCGGAGGTTGTAGCCGCCTGCGTATGGCCGGATCCTGCTGCAGCACCAACGCCAGTTTGGTTACTTTGCTGTGACCCATGATAGGTACTTGTTACAGAAGCTGTATGGGTAGAGTTTGTGGTGCGCTGGTTTGTAGAAGAGCGGGCAGTAGCAATAGCTGGAATGTGAAATTGAAAACCACCAGGTTGGTTGGCGTTTGGGTACAGACCACTTTGTGCTACTTGTGCTGAGTCCCGGGCACGAAAATCTGTACTGCTTGAGGTGGGACTCATTTCTTCTAAGGAAGATTGTGGAAGGAAGGAGACCCGCTCAACACGAATCCAGAAGGGTCAAATGCTAGCGCAGCTCATGTCCCTGCGGCATGTCAGAGAAATATAGTGCACTGAAACAATCACTCCAATTTCACAAAAGTGAGGTTGGCAAATCGCAGATACCACAGGCGGTGTGTTGTGATAATTCCATGCGAGTAGTTTGAAATCCTGGGGTGCAGGACTCGGTGTTTCGTGAATCAGCAAGGTTGACTCGACTCTGTGGTGATGAGGAAGTTCTAACCCCGAACCTGCAAAGGGATAGAATAAGTTCGAAAGGTAGACTTACTCGAGATAGGCTATCAGCATTCGCGGCAAAGGGTTGTACCTTGCAGCAATGTAGGCTTTTGATCTGGCTCCAGCTGATAGTTTAGACTCTAGAACCATCCTTTGAGGGTGGTGGCACGTAGAGAGATAGCTTGTATGCTGATCATGAACAGGCTTGGACGTTTGTTGAGGTTAAGAAAGAGAGTAGAGGATGACTGAAAGCTGCAGGCTACAGGCTGTGAGATTACGAGTTCGGGAAGGTGATGTATTGGGTGGTCTCAAAGGCTACCATATTTTGAGGGCGAACAGAAATTCCTGTTTGTCTTGGCATCAGTAAGGTAAGACTGCCTTACAGAATAGTCTTGTCCTTCCGTGAGATTCCGCAGGATACTTCGTTTGGTTGATGGTAGAATCGCCAAGGGCAACGACCCTTAGGGCATACCACAGGCCTTTACCAGACTCCACGGGTGCAACACTATCCCGAAGCTTTCAAGCAATGCTCAGCATTTCGTGATCCAGATCTCCTTTGAAATTGTTCCACATATTGAAGCAAGTTCTGCATATGGACGACTCCCTCTAGAACGAATCATCGTACGATGATGATCAGAGAAAACCTGTCTCACAAAGCATGTGACACTGACCAACGATGACGGGGTGCCAGATATCCAAACGACACATTGACCGTTGGCGCATCATCTCTTCTTTCATACTCTCAGGGTCCTTGAGAGCTGAACAGATACTCAGCTTATGAAGAACCAAAGCACGCACCCATGTATATGGTCTCCACTGGGGGGATATTCCGTTGCCTGCAGATCAACAGAGCACCCTGCACCACCATGTTCTGCTCAGGCCAGAACTGGGGCGGCTGAAGCAGGCACTGGACCAGTTTCCTAGACGGAATTATGAGTCGCCTCTGACTGCTTTCCAGGACAGAGATCGTTTCCCATCCACATTGCAGCCTCCGAAGAGCAATCGCCTGAGCACCATATTGGCACAATCGATGGGTGGTCCAGGTACATAGAGGCAGCCAAATAGCTCAAGCCAGGCGCCTATGGTGAACGCGGGCAATATTCTCCAGGTCATGAGGGATGGCCATTCTTATCCAAGGATTTGGTACACATGAAGAACATTCAGACAAATGAAGCAGAGCCTATAAACAAAGACAACATCAGGAAATCAGAGCATCAACCTCATACCTTGCGAAGAGGGTTGACAGGCATATGCCATAAAAGGGAAGTGATGGAGCTCTTTCGCAGCTTTTGCACCGCGTATACATGGTATGTCGTCTTGTGAGAAGGAGTTCCATGGTAATCACCCATCTTGCAGGCCATTCCACTCGCACTATTTGCTGCCATGATGGGCAGAAACAGGAAGATAGTTCTCATGTATCCAGAGGCCTTCTTTGATGCTTGGAGCTGAAAGCTCTTCACTATCGCGTCAGAAACTGTCTGGTGGGCAGACGGGTATGGACGCGGTGCTTCCGCAACAACGTGTAGGTCGACAGCATGATCACTGAGCAACAACAAGGCAATAGCTAGCCTTCCAAGACTGCTCCAAGTTGGTTTGTTGCAACAGGAATGTGGATGCACAGTTGTTGACAGAGAGAGAAGATGAGGAAATTCTCAAGCCAGGTGAAGATAGCACTGTTGGTCCGTGCGCTCCTATCTCAAGCCGAGGTTCTTCCGTCTGGCCCTGGTGTCATTGGACAGCACCAAGAAACAAGCACCACTACGCCTTACGATATCTGGTTAAACCCCTCTCGGGAGATACCGCACCCAGATATCTCAGCCAGCTTCAAGTTGCTGACACTGGCACTGCATTCCAACACGCCATGATCCCATGAACTTTGGTTGATGGCAGCACAGCGACGGCAACATCAGTCCAGCCTACACATCCTATCCCACAATCCGAATGAATCTGGGAACTAGAGCTGGAGACTACACTGGGAAAGGAAGCACCGTTTTAGGCACCGTCTGTCAATGCTCAAGTCTTCGTAGGTACAAAGTCATGACCATTCTTATACGTGTAGGACACCATATCTTTATGTCTGCCCATCATTCGACAAGCACCCGCCAATTACCAAGCATGTTCTTGCTCCATGGTTCAGAGGGCCTCGCTTGAAGCTTCAGGAGCTTGCTTGAACATGTTGAGATGCACTCAGGACTTACCTATCCTGGATACTGCCAAGGACACGGGAATACATCAAGAACAGTTGTCTGTGCGCAGAAGTGTGGCTGAGGGGAACGGGATATTTATTAGCGATGCTATTCCTATGGAAGGTGTGAATGAAAAGCAGAGTTGATATTCAAACAGCAGGAACTGAAACAAGAAAGACCCAACTATGGATCCGCTATGGATCCGCTATTGTATTGTCAAATCAAAGGTTGGCGCATCCGCTGTGACTTCCAAAATGGCCGGCCCAAACAGTACCTGACTGTCCCTGATGGCGCCTATCGCTGCTTCTTTGGTTACAAAGGCATACGTCTGCCCTTGTGTTTTTGCAGGTATTTGCGCCATCAACAATCCGTTTTCATTCTTGCCCGGCACACTGATAGTATCGATTCCAGAGACGAAGGTCATGAAGAATGGTTCTGCGACCGCACCGCCAACAGAGAATATTGCGGTGGCATTCGGGGCAATCGCACCTGTCTGCGGAGTAGTAAGAGTTGGGAATGCAGTGAATGGCAGCGCCATGTTGGTGGACGGGCAATTTCCGATGAATGCGGATGCTAGAGTGAAGATTGCAGTCGGGCTGGCTGGCGTACCAACAATGTTTGCCGATGGAACTTGCTGGAGCCCCTGGCGCTGGATGCCTTGATGAAGACCTTCGGCAACCAGGATCGCTGCAGCAGCGGTCAATAGGTCCTTCGACTCAATTGCCGGTGCGGATCCAGAATAAGCCGACACTCCAACTCCCTCCAAGACACTTCCGAGAGACACAAATGACTTTACATCGTCCAGCGCCTTTCCGAAATTGTACTCGCACGACTCTACTGGCTTTGCGCCCGCCGCAAGGATCTCCTGGGTAAGGACGACAACATGCGCCTCTTCGTCCTGGGCAATGAACCTGAGGTTGTTGAAGTAATTCTTGTCAAATCCCGCGTCAGCGAAATCCTTCTCGGTGAATTTCTGCAGCGCTTGTTTGTAGAAAACGTTCTCAAGATGCTCCAGCTGCGGAAGTCAGCTTTGCCTGCGGAGCAATTAGGCCTTTTGGTGATGGACTTACAGTGAGGGCGAATTGAAGGACTACCAGGTCCAAGTCTGCGAGTGCCCTTGAGGCCAATGGGGCAGAGAAAACTGTCGCTGTCATAGCGGCAAGTGCCGTGAGGAGAGATGAGAGCATCATGGTTGTAGATTGGTACTTGTTGCGGGAAAATAGATTGAGTAGGGTGTATATTAAAGATAGGATAGTTTTAATGAGTGCGACCAGCACAGTCAATGAATCAACCGGAAATATCTGCGATTACAGAAAAAGAGAGACAGGTTGTCAAGATGGGGATCTACAACTACTTGGGGGGAGGGGGGGATGTTGTTCTCTAGATATAAAACCGCCACACGGATCTGAAGCATTACAGGCACCATCATGGCTTTGACGTGGCGGTTAGGCCACATTGTAGGTACTTCCTTGCGCCCATGCAGGCATTGCTTTGAGACAGAATCTGGGCGAGTATCTTGTTTTAAGTGTGTGCCAGATGATCTGCAGCCAGTGTCACAGGGGGGGAGGTCAGGGGTTCGCTTGGCGATCCTGCTGCTTACTACTACTGCACCTCAAGCATGTCAGCTTTTTGCAACAATCTCCCATATTGACGGGGTGGATCATCTCCGGGATGACTACTAGTAGTACTTCGCATGACGGCCTCTGTGCCTTCCGGTATCAAATGGGAAGATGGCCTTTGGCACTTCAATCTGGTCGGGTTTCGAAGATGGACATGCTGAGTTGCAGTAAAGTTGCTAATGTCAGCAGGACGAGACCATGGTGCTGGGAGGTGGGCGCTTCTATCTGTAGGAAGACAGATGTTGCCCCTTCATCTAGAACGCCATTCTCTCCTAGATCATTACTCTCGACTGATTAGTCGGGCGTATGTTCTACAAGCGTGCTTCTTGACGCTGTGGCCACCCCGCGTTCCAGGATGGCGCGCTTTAGGATGGTGATTGTGAGAGGTTTGTTTCAACACCCAAACTCGGCGCGAAGCTCGACCGAGCTTATATTTGTGCTGTAATTCGAAAAATGCGACGCTTACAAACGCTTTATCATAGCTGGCTATACAATGAGATCTAGCAATCGGCGAAGACGGAACCTATGGTTCGTTGGAGATGATACCCAATCAGAGACCGTCATGGACCGCTGAGTCATTATATCACGATTGATCGAGAATGCCCTTGACCCCCTCACTGACTGCTTTACTAGTCTTCAGCGATTTGACGGCTGCTTGCTGGGCCATCATCAACGCGTCTTCTATGCGAGCCCCTGCCCCATTCTTGACTAGAGCAGCTACCAACACCCCAAGCAGAGTGTCGCCAACACCATTCACACTGACCACGTCCTCTGACTTCACAAGCTCCGCTGGTGGGAACAGTCTCATATAGACTCCTCCCACTGTCCTTTCCTCTTCACAAGCTCGCCCCAAAATATATGGCGCATAGTCTGGATCTCGTAATCTTGGGTCTCCTGGCGGCAACAGTTGCGACAGCAGACATCCTTGAGCACCCAGTTTCGTGACAATGGTCCACATGTACGGAAGAAGCTGCAAGCACTGTTGCGGTATTCCTTGATCTACCAGCTGCGAATCAGTCAATTGGATGAACAGCTCCCTCGAACCACCACTTGGAAGATTTAGGGCATTGATGATTGACCACCAGGATTCAGACTCAAAGAGCAAAGCATCCCGTGCGGTGTGGTACATTGTCTGGAGCTCGAGGACGTTTGGCGTTACGAGGTCAACGAAGTGATCTGGGATCACGTCATCTGGTTTGATCAGCTTGCTCAGTCGGGACGATTTTTGCGCAGATACGGGCTCGAATGCGATGCAAGCGTCAATGGACCTTGCGGCCGCACGGATATGCGAGATGATTGAGCTAGACCAATTTCCGTCAATAATAACCCATCGCGGTCGATGCCGAGTCATGATCTGTTCCCAATGGGCCTTCGAGTCGAGAAGCGGACAAGACAATATGGACATGTCTGCCATTGCTATCACAAGCTCCTTGTTGGTATCGTTCACTGCAACATACTGTGCCGTCCGGGCGTCTGGGGCCAGGTGAAGCACTTGTATCCCCACGGATGGGAGATCACTCGTCCTTACCTGCTCAACAAGCGCACGACCTGTGATATCATCTCCCACCGCACTGCAAAGCAATGTCGAAGCGCCTGCGTAGTGTGCTGCGAGAGCAACATTGTGGCCGACGCCACCAACGCTTCGTAAGAAAATTGCTGGGTTGGACGTGTGAGGCAGAGGTTTCACCGAGTTTGCAAAGCCTTCCAGCGGAGCATAATCACAACTCAGGTCAGCAGCTAAAGCTCCTGCTACAAGCACATCGTATTGACTGCTGTCAGGGAAAGCAACGGCCGTTGGAGAGTGTACACGGGGTCTTTCGAATTTTGCTGGTTCAGGAATGAACGAAGAAGCAGTATCAATGCCAATAGCACGTCTACATGCCAGAATTAGCTATATTTAATGTCCCTTGCAGAAGTTTCCTCACCGCTCGAGGACACCTTTTTCTCTGAGCTCCAGCTTCGCCAGTTCAACCGCAACTTTCGTCCCTCTAACCACATTCGCCGAAATGCCTGCCCTATTTGCAGTAACAGATCTGCCACCACTGAGTTGTTTGATCTTGTCCAGTATATAAGGTGTATTTGCTGCTCCGTATATCCCTTTACTGGCTGCCTCATCCACCGCTACTTTGACCCAAGCATCCACTTCCTTCTTCGTCAAGGAGTCTTTCGCAGACACTGGGCCAGCAAACCAGAGACCTGATTGTACCGGAAATCTTGACTGCGTATAGACAATTGCAGCCGCTTCTTTTTCATCCTTGATGGTTCTTGGGCTCTTGATACCACTATCTCTGACGTAGAACGCGGGCAAGTCAACTGATCCGGCGCGGCCATCTGCAAATGTACTAATTCCGACTCCCTGCGTCTCTAAATACTCCAGTGTTCGTGGAAGGTCCAGAAAGCTTTTGCAGCCAGCACTAATCACAGCAATAGGTGTTCGTCCCAGCTCGGTCAAATCAGCAGATATGTCCAGCGAGTTCTCGCCGCCTTGATGGACACCTCCAAGACCACCCGTAGCAAAGATCTTTATGCCCGCGAGATGCGCCAAAATCATCGTAGCCGCGATCGTTGTCCCTCCGTTGAGCTTTGTGCCTGCAAGGCCCTAGAGAGTATAAGCCAACGCAGCACCAATCGATCCTCATAGCATTACCAACCCAGTAACATATCCCAAGTCTCTTCGTGAGACTTTCAACGTATCTGCCCTTCCTGCGCTGGAAACCAGCTCGATCAATTCTTCCGCCTGCATGCCAACCCGAGCGACGCCGTTAAGGACTCCAATCGTGGCGGGTACTCCGCCATTGACACGGACCAAAGATTCGAGATGGGAGGATAGCGCAACGTTCTCTGGATAAGGAAAGCCTGGATATCATTGGCAATACGCACACAGGATGAGAAGGGGCCATACCATGTGTGTAGATCGTCGTTTCGAGCGCTACCACTGGCTTGCCATGCTGAAGAGCATCTTGCACTTCTTCGGATACCCTGAAGAAGTCACTGCGCGAGCCGAACTTTTGACGTGGTGACCTGAGGGATAAGCTGGCAGCTCTACGCAGCCCTCTTGACAGTGGAGGCATGACGGCCGTGGAGCTGTGAAACAGTCACGTTCTCCTCGGAACTTCAAATTGCACCAAGCCCGAATGGTCCGATTCCGCTTTTCTTGGCAGGTTGTGCGGAATGTCCGCCAAGACATTGTGACTCCAATCCTAAATCTTGTTAATGGGATGCCATGAGAGATCGTATGTTGACGAGAGAACCTGCTGGAGATACACAGTAGTCGATCACCTTCTCTCTTTCTCTTCCAACGAACTTTTTCATGCTCTTGCCCCGCTTTCTCATTTTCCCACCAATTTCCTATCTCAGGTCTCCAGTCCCCGGACATAATTAGTAGTTACGTGAAGAATTGATACAGACGGGGATCACGTCTCCCCATGGTAAGCTTAATATAGAGCTATCTCATCCCTCTGGAGGGTCCGCGCGAAGCCATCGCTCTTGCTTCCCCACGGCACCGCCATGGCCACCTCAAGCCCTGCCGCCGACATCAACCTCATCGCCCGCTTCCTAGCGCACGAGCAGATCCAAGATCTCTCCCAAGCCCCGCCAACAGACTGCATCGTCCTTTGCGGATCCGCAATCCTCCACTGCGCAGAGACCGTATTCTCTGCCTTGGAAAAGAATCCCAACCTGGCCAGGACACTCGTTATCTGCGGCGGCATCGGGCACTCGACCAAACACCTCTACACCACCGTCGCCCAGAGCCCAAGATACGCCGCCCTTCTGCCAGAGATCCAGGCTCGGCCCGAATCACGCGTCCTCGATACCATCTTCGAACGCGTCTACGACAGAGCCAGCATCGCGCGAGCAGGTTGCACCATCCTCATCGAGGACCAATCAACCAACTGCGGAGCCAACGCCATGGAAACGCGCAAGATCTTAGAAGCGCACAGTATCCCCACGCCGGAATCATTCATCATCGTACAAGATCCTACGATGTCGATACGAACGCTCGCCGCTTTCAGGAAGACTTATGAGGATATATCTCCTCCTCCGACATTCACGGCCTGTCCGACCTTTATGCCCGAGATGAGGATGCTTGAAGGTAAGCTTGAGTATGTAACAGCGAGAGGGGTTGATCCAAGTGGATTGTGGGAGTTGGGTCGCTTTTGTGATTTAGTGGTAGGTGAGATTCCGAGGCTGAGAGATGATCCCCAGGGGTACGGTCCCAAGGGTAGGGGGTTCATTGAGCATGTTGAGATACCTGGTGAGGTGGAGGAAGCTTGGACAAGGCTGGAGAGTGGCATGGCTGGGGGGAGAGTCAGACTCGCGAGTTGATGTTGTAGTTAAGCAAAATGCCTTTTTCTATGCACCCGTAGCATACCAAAGTGATGTAGTAGAGCTTACTAGCAGTATATGCATTTCTGGTTCTACCGACGCTCTAGGTGTGGGATTGAGATAGTAATAACAACCAATCTCCTACTACTACAAGTATCTGGAACCCAATTAGAAACAGTTAATCGACAGTGTCATCCAGTAGTTGTCATTCTAAAGACGGGAACACCGAAACGAGCCGCAATTATAATATTTCATGCCAGAAAGTCGCAAGCCGCCTTCACATAGTATGGAGCGAGCCAATAAGCTACACGAAAGTACAGATCCCTACCAACTACAGTACGGCGTGTATCGTCTCAAGTCTCATACAGAGAAAGGGAGAGGGGCCATAGAATATGGACCAACGCGCGGTAATGTGCATGCATTTCATGGTCTAAATGGGTATCGTATCTAGAACTCGTTTTCGTCACTTCCAGCAATGATGACATTGTTGACCTTTAAAACCATGCGGCAGAGCTGGGTCGCTAGGAGCAGCTGTTGTCGCTTGCCAATGAGCGGATCAATGACAAAGTGCTGTCGCATATCTGTGGAAAAAGGTCAGTCTCGGGTATTTGACTATCCTCAATTCGTACATACCGTTACTTCCTGTCTGCATGCAGTCGACACCCAGTCTTGAGTTCTCCTCCTTCACTTGCCTCGACTTGATAGATGCTAATGTCTCTATAGGACTTAGACCTGAGTTCTCGGCCAATGCCATCGGCACGGAGTCGAGTGCTTCTGCGAATGCACGCATGGCATACTGCTCCAGACCGGGGCTCTTGACAGCGGCATCTTCGACGGCAAGCGAACATGAGATCTCTGCTGCACCTCCGCCATACACGATCCTGTTGTCTTTGACCAGGTTACGCACAACGCACAGAGCATCATGTAGTGATCGCTTAGCCTCATCGATGATCATCTTATTACTTCCTCTCACGAAGACAGTCACGGCTCTGGTGTTGGCACAGTCCTCAATAACAAGCATTTTCTCTCTGGTCGTCCCAAAGCTCATCTCACGGACAATGCCGGCCTTTCCGAGTTTTTCTGCGCTCAAGTCTTCAAATCTAGGCACAATCCTGCCATTGGTTGCAATTGCGATCAATTCAATCTCTGGTCCTCCCACCCATCGTACGGCTGGAAGCTTGTTCTGGAGGAGCAGATGGTTGGCCTCGTCATCAAAACCCCACTGGCAGATAACAAGATTGGCTCCAGTGTCTTTGATTTGCTGAATCATCTCTGTGAACTTGTGCTTCTCATACTGCTGTAGTTTCTTGAATTCCTCCACAGAAGTGATATCGAGCTTATGCTTCGTCTTTGGTTTTGGAGGTTCGAAAGCACATGTTAGAATGGCCAGCTTGGCCTCTTTGACTTGATCTGGCATTTGGGGATGGGAGAAGTCCTTGTCCACAATCACGCCTTTCACAAGTAAGGTGTCCTCTAACGAACCACCAACCTTTCCATCTACCTTGATCAATTCAAAGTCGACGTCTTTCCTCTCCAGATCTGCAACAGACATGACCGCGTCCACTGCAATTTGTGCGAACTGATCATGCGCCTTGCTGACTATCTTGCTGCCCAGACTTGTTTTAGCCACTTTAACCAGATTTTCTTGTCTATCCTTTGAAAATGGTATTGTATCACTGATGCTGTCCAGATGTGCCACAGCAACCTCACAAGCTTCATCATAGCCGTCAGCTATTCGTATCGGATGTATGCCCTTGTCTATCAGATCGGCAGCTTGCTCCAATAGTGCAGAGGCCAGCACCACGACTCCGGTTGTTCCGTCCCCTATCTCTTCATCCTGTGACTTGGAGAGCTCTACCAGCAACTTGGCCACATGATTTGATATCTCCATTTGGCCTAGGATAGTAGCTCCGTCGTTCGTCACTGTAATGTCACCATCGGGAGATATGAGGATTTTGTCGAGGCCACGCGGCCCGAGAGAGGTTTTGACGATGTTGGCAACTGTTCTCGCGGCAACGATGTGGGACTTGACGGCGTCGATTCCATGTGTTCTTTTTCTCTTTCCTTGATCTCGCACTATGATGAAAGGACGCCCAGATTCATCCTTCATCACCTGTGCATTCGACATGTCGAGTTGCATAGCCATGGTGATATTGATTCCGCGAAAGCGCGACGGGGGTTGTCGAGAGCCCTTACACAAGTGTCTCAGCGCAAGAGCCTGCTGTAGTTGTCGAACCCTGCTGTGTAACTCAGTCTTGATCACTGTTGGCTACCACAACATGCGATGCTTTTAATTTTGAAATTTGGAGAAGTGGTATACTGCCAAGATTCTCTCCACGTTGCCAAGATTGAGCTCTCTTTGGATTCCCAGCCATCGCGTCCAGCATTATTGTACGGGTGTACGATCGGGCCGTCGCTCTTAAACATCCCTTTGGTTGACCATCCGCCCGCCATACATCTTTCGCGTCGCATAGCAGAGCTGGTCATAGCTACCTCTTTCCGCATAACTTTACTTAATACATCTTGTCGCAGCATTTCGCCAACATCATGCCTCGTGAGCCAGAACCGATTATCACATCAGAATGGAGGGATGGCTAATGGTCACCAGCATTGACAACTGAACCCAGCGATGACGAATCAGTCGGTAGTGACATACCTGCGAAAGCAGTAGAAGACACGAAAGCGGCTGAGGAACAAGTCAATGGAGAGCTACAAGAAAAAGTCGAAGAAGAGAATGATGCGAAAGATGACGAAACAGAAGCCTCAATAGAAGAAGATGGAGTGTGAGAACTGCTCAATGTCATCACCAATGCGATGGAGACTGATTATTTGATGGCAGATATGAGGTGGAAGCTATCAGGTCTCATCGATTCGTGAAGACAGTGAGCTTAGCCAGCACCATCGACTACCCTTGAAGACGGATTCTGATCCTTTAGAAACTCTTTATGATAGTGAAATGGAAAGGCTATCCTGAGGATCAGAACACAGAAGAATCTGAAGAGATGCTCAGAGAGTAAGTAATGGATTAGGCGTCCTTCTTCTCCCAACGTCTAACAGCTCCCACAGAGGTGCATCTCTGGTCCTCTACAATTATTTCGAATCGATTGGTGGCCGACCTCAGCCACAGTCTAAGCTAGGAAAACGAAAATCATCATCACAGCTTAAGCCGTCCTCAGCCTCACCTGCCCCCAAAAAATCAAAACGAACAAACGGCAACACCGACGACGACTCAATGGAAGACATCTCTTCCCAGGGCATTCAAAAGACAGGGTCATGGACGCCGAAGAAGGAGAACTGGGAAAGCGAAATAGCATCAATCGATACGGTGGAGCGAGATCGCGATTCTGGCAAACTATGGGCCTTCATCTATTTTAACAACAACAAGAGGTCGAAGGTCGGAATGGAGATGGTATACAAACACTGCCCGATTGCAATGCTGAAATTCTATGAGAGACATCTGTCAGTATTTATCATCTTCCCTCAGAGATCTCCTGGTTTTTGTTCTGGGTCTTGCGGGAGAGGTCTCCGAATGTTGTTTTCGTATTGAGGCTGACCAGATGTGGAGAAAAATAGGAAATTCTATGCCTGAGGATGAAGTCAGCGAGGAGAAGTGATTTGCATATTAGCGGTGAGCTACCGAATATGCCAGACACCTCATGTGACCAAAGCTACTCCTACGTTGAGCTTCAAAGTCGCTTCTCGATGCTTCTGGGGTATGACATTCCCGGGCAAAGGAAAGGATGGGATCGATTTGCTTTCAAACATTGACGCAGGATAGCGAGGCAATTGACTAAGGCTTGAGCTTTTAAATCTTCGCTAGCAAGACCAACCTCAGGCCAAATGCTACCTACTGTATTCTACTGTCACCTAATATGCCTTTTACTGCTTTCACCCGTTTATACAGAGCACGTTCTCTTCTTCGACAGGCGGTGCCATGTCAACCCTGCATGTTCTGTTGTATCGCTATACGAATGCAATGCTGCAATATATGTGCTTCGCTGGTATCAATCCGATATCTCAGCCCGAGTACTCGATACATTTCTGCCCAGCTACTTCAAGCGACCTTGTTCCTCTTCGCATCCTCACCCTCATCTCCTTTCTCCTTCCCTCTCCCATCCTCAGCCAACAACCTCTCGACCACGGTTACCTTATCCGCCATCGATTGCGACTTATCGGTCCTACCGGACCAATTCTCCCGGTCAGCTATCTCAGCTCAATCCTTGATCTCTTTGTCCCCATGTTTACCAGACCAGGCAGCCAGCAAAAAGAAGCCGAGCAAAGGGGGAAAGCGAGCTCACCTCGTCCCCACCCTGATATCCGTCTGCACCCTTACCACCCCCTTCTCATGCAGCATCGTATGTGCTTGGCCGATGAGGCGCATCACTTCGTCCCAGGGTCCTTCTACGGTGGAGACAAAACCACGTTAGTCACAAGCGTAGGCGTAAAGTGCAGGAGAAACCCCATGAATCCGAGTATCAGCACTCCTTTCCAACCCTGACATAGACACAGCTGTTGCGCTCGCGGGCTGAACCCATGACATCAAAGGTTAACAAAACGCTTCGAAGAGCCTACGCACGGCGAAGCCACGAAGAGACGTAACCTGTCACATTGACCGCGTAGCCCCGTTGAGGCATTGATGATACTTAAAGCAACAGGTCTAGATGTCAAGACAGAAAGAACACCCCTCTCAGCGACCTAGAATGCAGTAAAGACACAGTCGAAAAGAGCGAAATCACAAACACCCTCCCAGCAAAATTCTCCGCAAGCTCATCACCACCACCACCACCACCACCACCACCACCACCGTTCAAAATCTAACCCCCCCTCTCCCCCAAGAGTGAAAAGGTAGTGGACATACCAACAGTACTCCCCGCACTATGCATACTAAACACCAACCCACTCTTCTGCAGTAGGCGCTGCACATCGGCGATCTCGCCCGAGACGCTGGCACTCGAGGTGCCGATCGGGATGAGGCAGAAGTCTGCTATGCATTTCGGCGGAGTCGGTAGGGCTACAGGGTCTTTCTGGGAGCTGGTGGGGAATGTTTGGGTTTGAGACGTCATGATCGTCGGACTAAGAGGAGCGGCTGGGTCTTTGTTGGGGCAGCGAGGTTCATGCAGTACTTGGAGTAATAGGAGCGGTCTGGTGGTTGGGTGTGGGGAAGGTTTGAAAGCGGCAGTTGGAATGGATGCATCTAAATTGTGGAGAGGTATGCGTGTAAAGACGGCTTGTCCGGAGGAATGGGTAGATATCCATCTTGCGCGGGAAGGTGTTGCCTTTGGTTTTCTTTCATAGAATCCAGGTCCTAATGCGGTTGTGACTACACGAACGAGATATCAGAACTTTTCATACGTAGTAATCTAGGGCGCGATCTAAGGACTTTTAAGGCAGATGGATGCTGCTTTGTAAACCATCTCAGGCGTATATCCGCACGCCGAGATTACTTTTCATTCTACCGCCTGATCCTCGGCGACAATAGTAAAGAGACTTATCTGAATCCATGAGTGAAAAAACCCATATTCCATCAAAGCCCTTTCTCTGCGAAACCTCAACCTCGACATCCGCATCCGGCTCTATAACCACGGCGACGACGTTTGTGTTGGTTGTCTGTGGTATTGACCATGTACCCGCTGTTGGAACCATATCGAAGAGCATCACAAACATTGAGACCAAAGCCAAAATCTCGTTGGTGGCGAAATGACGGCCTGGACATAGCGTAGTGCCTCGCCCAAAGGCACGAAACGCCACTGCGTTTTGGCGCTTACCGTGCTCCATCTTGTGCTTCTGGTCTTTCTTAAAACGTCCGGGATTGAACTCATCCACGTCAGAGCCCCATATCGAAGCATCCTTATGAATCACTCGGCTAGGCATTTGGATCATGGCGTCCTTCAACAGTGATCGCTCGTCAAGCACGGTGTCTTGCATGACTTGACGAATGGAAGTGCCCATTGAACGATGGCGTAGAACCTCCTGGAATGTGGATGTCAGTAAATAAAGGACAACTGGTTTTGACACTGGTGATGTCCAGGCTGTAAACTTTGACGCCTTTCTCATCAGTTTTCGATGTCAATATTGAGCCAATCTCGCCTCGAATGTTCTCCAAGACGTCAGGATAGGAGAAGACGTAGAGAAGCATCCAGAGAGCTGCTGCAGCGGTATAGACAAAGACCGCACGTGGCCCTCCGACCTGGTACCAGGCAATATCTTCGTTTGATATGCTGTTTCTCGAGCTTGTATCGTATCGATTGCGCGTTAGTATGAGGCATTCTCATGACCCCCGGTATTGAAGTAATCTTCGAATGCCTTAACGACTCTGCTTCGGCCTACGATTCCTTTGCGTGCTAGAATAGATGGAAGTACTCCGATCAAATTGGTGATAAGGTCACCCTCGAAATCCCTGGACTTAGGTTTAGCACTTCGACTGTGCAAAAAAAACTATGGTCGACCTTACCAAAAGTTATCCTGTATAGATTGGTCTTTGTAAGGGTTCTGAAGTCCATACACAGATTTAGTCGTTGCTATTGTGATCGTATTGCGTAGCCACCGGGCAAGACCTCTCTTTACAGGTCTGTCAGAGGTACCTAGCTCGTCAACTGACGCGGCAATGGTCTGAATCAGTACACGGTTCATCTCATCGAGGTCCGCGCCCGGCGCAAGGGCAGGGCGGATAGCTGCGTAATTTTCCATCGACAGGCCCCAATCTCCCTCGTTCTTCATGAGCACACCTAGCCTAGCTCCCTCACCGATTCGTCGTAACAACCCATCCGCCAAGGGCTTTTAACAGCGAAGTCGAATCCATACCACCTTTGACCTCCTCAGGGATGTTGTCAGGGGCAAACGATGATGACTAGTCAATTGTACTAGTAAGTATAGGCAAGTATATACTAGTCTTAAAGGTAACTTAGTAAGTAAGTAGATGAGGGCTGTACTCTTGTGGCAATTTGCTAAGCTATTTACTTACTGCAGCGAGATGCGGGTGCCATTTCTCCTGTATAGAAAATCGAAGCATGCCCTAGCTAAATCGGGAAGACGACAATTAGTGCTAACTACTTACTCGCCCGGGCGGGAGGAGGCTCAAGAGGTCATGGGGGTCCTCGCTGTGGAGCGCTATGACTCAAAATCTCGATTGGTGGTGTGTAGCTGACTAGAAATCTAAGATGCAAAGGTTCGGACGAATAGCTCTCTAGGCGCCAAGGCTCTACATCGCCTCTATAGACCTGTGAACCTTGATCCATCAAAGTAAATGACCAGGCTTAGAATTAGTCCTTGTTTCGAACGTTGGAGAAATGGTCTTGCATTTGCCGAAAATTGACCTAACTCAGCTTTGATTAGCTGGAAGTGCTCCGCAGCGACACATACTACGATGGTCAGTCTAGGAACTCAGCTCGATCAAGATTGGCCCTGGAAGATCTCATTGCTCGAATCCATTGATTAGGCAGTTATATCGTTAAAGAATCGACCGTCGGGTTATGACACTGCGATCAAGACTCGACGAGTTCAAGAACAAGCTTTAAACAAGCAAGCAAGATGAATCGGCTCTGAGATCATCGATCTGGATAATGCTAGTGGAGAGCTTCGCAAAACAAAAGGATAGGTATAACTGGCTGCATAATCCGTTGAGGCTTTTTTGTTGGTCGGCCCGAAGCCGGCATCGCCAATAAAGTAGTATAGCAATCAAAAGTCAACCGCTAGGACAGTCAAACTATCTCAGCCTCCAGCTCCTTTGATACTAACCTTGCACCAATACACGACAGGTCCCTTTGAAGCTTCACCCACTCACGATCAGCGTTATTGAGCGACCCCTCCCATTGCTCGCCCAGTAAGCTTCGCAACCAAGCATCGCGCCGCGGATGAGGCGTCATAATGCTATCAATCCAATTTGTCACCTTTGTCTTGCTATAGAGCTGGATAGCACCAATCATAGAGGAACGCGAAGTAAAGAGGAAGGTTTTGTATACAACCTCAACGCCCTCACGCTCTAACCAATTACGTGCGAGGTTCCTACCTCGAAAGCGCCAGCGAACGGCACCATCAATCGCCATTAACACGATAAGGGAAACCCCATCCCACCCTTTCTGGGCCGCAACAAATGTAACCGCTGCTAACTGAATGGTGTTCGCAATATTCAACCAGTGCCCTATTAGCATCGTCCGAGAGTCAGCAATAATCTGAAGCATCGGCTTGTTAAGAAGCGTGTCGACTATGGACCGGTCTCCAATGTTTAGATACCACTCCATTGCATTTGGATGCGAAGCCAGAAGCATACACGCATCGTGATTCTCATTGTTCACGAGATAGCCGGGAGGTCTATCGATGGAGATGCCCGGGGACACTACCCGAGACACTGCGCCGAAGAACAGGATGGCGGCACTGCCGAACAAACCGCCAATTGAGAGGATTATCGCAACGTTGACAAGAATCAAGAATGTCATTATATGGCTCGCAACCACAAACCAATTCAACGAAAAAATGGTCGGCCTGGGCTGGGGACCCTTTCTGAAGTAAAGAATATGCAGGGTTTGGTACCTACGGGATGGGCCAACGATCGATGGTTGCTGGTCTGGCAGGACAGGCCTCAGCCTTGGATTGGTCACTTTTGCTGGCGCCCTTATGTTTTGATTATTTGTCTCAGCCAACTCCGAAGGAGCTTCCTGCTTAGCCTCGGCAGTGGTAGGAACCTTGTCGGGCATCTTGACAGGAGTCTTCTGAGTCCTACTCAAGACATAATCGATGATGGCAATGCTGGCGGCACCATTAGCTGCAGGAAATACAGAGCCCCAGCGCACGTCCCAGACCGTTCGGCTTTCGCCACCTCGGATGCTGGCCTGATCCAGGAACCCTGGCCCGCACTGCAACAATCTTGCCAGGCTGGAGAGCGCCCCAAGCTTCGGGAAGATCTCAAGGGAGATTCGACCGAGAAGTGCCACTTCACCAGTGGTGATGTAGTCGTTCCGATTTGTCGCGAGATGAATCACTAGTGGGATGACACTAGCCCATTCGGCCACAATCTTAGGAAGTGTTGGAGGACAAATGACTGGAACGATGTTCAAAGACCCCAGCCGTGAGTCATCGGCTGCGCCGCAGGACCTCATGTCTGGGAAGATATCGCGGGCAAATGTGTAATATGTCTGTTTTGACGACGAGTTTCGAATCAAAGGCAGAAAGCAGGGGTTTTTATGTATATTCGATATTTGACGTTCAGACAGGGGACACTGGCCTGGTGCTGTGTAATCATCCAACATCCAACATCCAACCTCAAGGCTGATTTTGCCTGGGGCTTTCTTCACCATCGACGCCTAACCGACGCCTGACCGACGCCTGACCTACCACATCATTACAGGCAGAAACCCCTTCTGCCTATGTACAAGCGCTGTTGGCTTTATCTACGTACGAAATGATAACTCACTGTTGGGTATGAATATGCTCCCTTTTTCCCTATCCTGGCCCTGAAAGTTGGTAGGATGGCTGAATGCAAACTCTACCTAAAGAAGAAATTGTTAGGCTAATTATCAACCGTGCAGTGCTAAGACAATGAGGGAACAGTTGCTCTTCATCTCCAACCCATAGAGCGAAGGAGCGAAGGACTGTACTCATATAGCTGACAAAGTGCCGCCTCAGGCATCTCACTGTCCTCGCTGTTGCCTAGAAATAGAAGGCATGGGCCGCAGACAAGCGTATGAGGCTGCCCGACTGTGCAGATGTGTGCCTTGAACGAAACATTTACTTTTTCATTCCTCTTAAAATGAAAAACCAAAAGAGTTCACGCGCAGGGTAGATGGACATTAAGCGTAGAGTAGTGTAGGCTGACAGCAAACGAGGAAAAGCTTGCCTCAGTCCCTCAGACGTGGCTTTAGTGGGCACAGCCACACACGCCATGCTCGAAATGGGCTAGCTGTTGACTAAGCAGACATTGTCTCACACACATTGACTTAGTCATCGTCCAAGCCACGAAGCACGGCTGAGAACTGAGGCAACGAAAAGCAGCGGTGGTAACAAGGACTGCCTGAGTGCGGTCGGACACTAAGTGGCGAGCGAATTGCCGAAGATGAGCCGACATACGGCTAACACTAGTTAATGTTCCTCAAACACCTGGCAGCTGCCCTATGGCTATGAAGTGACCGCTGAGGCCCAAGGCTAGATATCGAATATATATCCAATACATACCTATGTATGCATCTGCCTCCCACCACCCCAGGCAACTGGATGTACTTCAGCCATGTAAGCCCACCACCTATGTCTCTGCCGCATAAGGCGTATTGCTTACTATCCTGCCTGCTGTTGGTTGTCTTGGCTGGTTGAAATTCTCTTCCGCAGAATACTGTCTTCTTGAGCGAATATCTTCAAGATCAAGCTGTCATCATTGGTAGCAATCGCGTTGAGTCAGGTCAGCCCTTGGGCATTACGATTTCAGACTGAGGCCATGGACGCATTAAAGCCATCTCCGCTTACTTTCACAGCGGAAAGAGTCCGCCAAATATTGAGAGATCATTACAGTAGCGACCCAAGGACAATACCCTATTTCAACATTAGAGGGACTGCTGCTTCTGCCAGGGGCCGTTTGGCTGGCACGGATTTGTATCACGCCGATGAAGCAACTCGTGTGCAGGCCAGGCAGCTCAGCGCTCAACATACCTGTCAACAATACCATTCAGCTGGCCGTGACTTGCGCAACCATAATGTTAGGTTGGATCTTGAATCCTCTCATCTATTGCAATGCCATTTCCCCCAATACAAGACAGAAGCCTATCCTGAGTACCGTAGTCTCACAGAGGATGATATCGTCGAGAAGACCTGCAAGCTTCTCTGTAGACTACCATCAATCCCCCTGCCGCTGGGGAACGTGACATCTTCACTTATCTTTCGAAGTATATCACCGGAGTATCTTGTTCAGCCCGATACGCCAGCGAGATGGAGCAACCTGAAAGCCGTCCCCTATATTAGCACAATGGTCATTCTATTGGCCCTTCTGATCATCTCGGCTCGTACTTACCATGAGAGCTGGGAGTTGATCTCTTACGAAGCGTTACGCGAAATTCCGAATACTTTCATTGAATTGTTGGAGACCTCAGCAAGCCTATCGACATGCGCAACTTCTGCAGCTGATGCCCAAGCCTGGATGGTTGTGCAGTCTTTTCTTTGGGCCTCATGGCAACGATACATCATGCTATTTCGATGGTACGTTTTGGGTCTGCATCTTCAAAAAGGCTTCGACCCCCAAATTATGACAGCTTTCTCCTTGCGACAATACAGTGACTTCAAGGAGCCGGGAGAGGAAATTGAACAAGGCTTAGACTCTGCACATGAGTGCCCGCAGTACATGTGCAAATGGGCATTCCGATTATTGCAATCCGATCGTTCTGCAGTCTGCCAGGATTTCCGAAGATTGTGCGCTGTATTCGAGGAGGCTTTCCCTGGGCGTCGGCCTCGTTGTATACTGAACTCAACAACTGTTGCTCTTCAATGTGACGGCCTGTCCGTTGATAACTGCCAAAGGTTCAAGGGACTCAAAATAACCGATCAATCAGCACATGCACATGCACCCCAGCTTCCAGCTCGCTTATGTCGGCCACTATTCTGGGATGAAACATCATACAGACGTGTGAATGGCGCGCGGGCGGTATGCATCGACGACGATCCTGCGGACAACCGTTTGAAATACTGTGCAGCATCTCGAGATACTTTGACTATTTCGCATGTCTGGAGCCACGGACAAGGTGGAAGACCGGAGATAAACGGCACAGGGCTGAATGACTGCCTCCACATCCGTTATTGCCGTATTGCTCGTCAATTTGAATGCACATCGTACTGGATGGATACGCCTTGCATTCCGCAAGATCACCATTTGAGGGCCGAGGCAATATCTTATATCAACGAAGTCTTTGCGAGAAGCAAAATGACACTCATATGCGATCGCGACTTGATGGAACTGGAAGTCGAGGCTGGACCAAATGAAGTGCAGAGTTATGAAAGTATCGTCGCTACCATGCTCGTTTGTGATTGGAACGTGCGTGCTTGGACTCTTCTGGAGTCGATGCGCGGTAGGAGGCATATTTATGTCTTATGCAAGAACGATACGGTCATATCCGTAAAAAAAGCGCTCGACGTGGTCCATCAACGTGGTCACATTGACCTTGCCACTCTCGCGCTGACCGCGCAGCACATGTTGCCATGGCTAGATCGATTGTCGTCTAGCGTACCAGGCTATGATCCAGACTTGCTTCCGTTAGGAATTCCGGAAGCGACTCTCCTGCTCGTCAATCGACACGCTTCACGGAGTGGTGACGATGTCGTTATATGGACACTGCTTACCGGATCCCAGCCATTCTTCGATCCGAAAGACTTTTGGGTCCACATATGGAGGACGCTGAGAGAAGTTCCAACTGGGTATCTGTTTTCGGATGTTCCTAGGTTGCAACATATCCCGGGCCTTCGCTGGGCTCCGAGCCAACCTCGCCGTGCCAACTCTGTTCGAGCTTTCCGATCATCCATACCACAACATCGGCCAATTCCTTCTTTGGGGCAATTCTATGACGGAGAGGGCACTCGACACGGTCGTGTTGAACGCGGTGGGGCTTTCGCAGCAGTTTGGCAAGCATTCGAGCTCGTGGTATGCAGTATAGTGCATACTGCCCCATCTGGAGACTGTTCAAAAAGTCAGCAGGTTCTTCAAGACATCAGCCAACAGTCCAGGCTGGCAGATTCGCGCATTCTTCTTCTTCGACCTGCTTCATACTATCCCTTTAGTGAAAACCATTCCGTGTTATACAATGGCAATGGTGGCGGGCCACTCATTGCTGTTCTCTCGTATAAGACGGAAGGAGTCTGGATATGGCGTGGATTATATGAATGGCCGTTGGACGTAGAGTTACCGACATTTCGTGAGCAGCATCTGCGCATCGTCTAGGACTCTGACTTGAAGAACGCGTTACCTTCTTTGGCACGTCTCCGAAGTATGACTCAAAACTAAGATCACGCCTGAACACAGCGCGTTGACCACCGCATCGCTTGAGAGACACGGGATATTTCGCAACTGGTGAAAGGGGCATATTATTTTCAAATCCGAGTGTCAAACCTGGTGGTGGTGGTAATCACGACGAGGGTAGGCGACGACGAGGTCTACCAGTTCTGCAACACAACAGAGATTTTAATAGTTGCGCAACTGTCAGGCCTGCAATAGGACTGAGGGCTCAGGGACGCAATGCCTAGCAACTGTTCGTATTGGTCATCTAACTGGTGGATCTAGTTGAGGATAGGCCTCGAAGAAAGAGAAGAAGAAATAGCAGGGTAACAGCGCTATGCCCAATCAGGACTAGCCCTAATGGCTAGATCCCTCCTGCCTATGACAGCAACTGTGTAGCATTGACCACAGCGGGCGTGTCAGCATCTCGTGATGTGGATTACAAATCAGCACATACGTTTTATCATGAAGAGACATCCCGGCAGAACACACCACAATCATTATCAGAGGTTTGCATGACATCGGCCAAACGACTAGGGTATGTGCTGCTGCGATGCGGAAACATCAAAGATAAAAGGATACGGAAGTCGAGGCTCCTTATTTCGAAGGATAACCATCATGGGCTGCACTGGGCATGCAAAATCGATACTACGACCGACTTGGTATGCAGTGATAGTCTGATCCACGCTTTACTGTGGTTTACATTGAGCCCAAGGCCCCGTAATAGAACATTTGGCCAGATTAGTGCTTGTGATTTGTTTGCCGACTGCTCACAAGAATCACCCCTAAAGGCCGCCCGAACATTTGCGACTCTGGCCAATCAAACCCCAAATATGACTTATGAAGGGTACCTGAGACTCGATTGACTGCCTTGAGGCGTCGAGCACCAACGCAGCCATGTGTTGTGGAGAGATACCTCTGCTCGGCTGTTAAGACATTGAGAGGGTCTTCCTAAAAGAGCGCTAAGAAGGCCTTGAGGTGGTACCACTTCAGTTAATCCAGACCAATGAACTTTCCCTGAACTCCGGCATCGGGAGGTTTCGTGGCCACGCATGGACGCCACGCCATTTCCACCGGTATGATGCGAGATTTGTCCAGCCAGGAATCGTGCATTTTCTCTCACTCAAGGCACGAGTGTCGCATACAGCAAGCAAAATGTCATCATTATCGTTACCAGGAGCTGTGAGAATTCTTAGTTTGCATACTGACCAGAAGGATTTCACCTAGGGCATTGCGGCTTCCTCACCTGTTAAAAGCCCATTCTCATTGTGCGCAAAAGTTTCGTTAACGGGATGCAAGAGACAACCATAACGGCCAACGCGGACAAATTTCCGTAGGATCGTGGTAAGTTCAATTTGTGTAGCGGTCATTTTAGAGTCATTGAATCCGAGCCTCCTCCATAAAGTGGTCTCTGGTTCTTGGAAGTAGTACTGGTACCATTCCGCGGTGATGCCTTGCTCGTCAATACTGGCAAAACACGTCTCTTGTGACGATAAAGCACGGTAAAAGACCTGCGACTTACCCTTTCTATTTGCAGTAGACATTGCATAGGGGGTCTTGGGAGCCCAAGTCAGCCCGCGTTGCTTGAGCCTTTCAGCAGAAGAAAGCAGGAAGCCCGTGTGGACCCTGCATTGTTGCCGCCAGAAGTCAACAGCGTTCTGCAACGCTTTGGTCCCATGGCCAGGAAGTAGGCTCCAAATGACAATATCATCGCCTTTTCGGCTAGCAGGCCGATGGCTCAGCCATGAACCACCCACCTCCAAGACTACTTGGCCTGCCCTCAATTCTCTTGCAGAAGGGCTGTAGTTCCTGTCATACGAGTCACAAGGTACAATATGCACAAGCTGGGACATGAACGCGAGGATGTTCAGATGACCTGTATCACAGAGACTCTGCACAAGAGTCTTGAATTCGAGCACCTGGTTGTTCATGCATAAGATGTAGATATTTTTTCGGCCTTTCAATCCTTCAAGAACAGTCCAAGCGCGGCTGTTCCAATCACAAAAAAGGACCGCGCAAACAATCGATTCGTAGAGTTCCACGTTGGGCTTCGAGACGTCAATATTCATGAGGTCTTTGTCACAAACAAGTACAGCATGACTTTTATAGAACACTTCGTTGATGTAACCGATGGCTTCCTTTCGGAGCTTGTGATCCTCTGGGATGCATACTGTGTCTATCCAGTATGAATCGCAGTCAAACTCTTGAGCTATCCGGGCGTACCTCTGATGGAGACAGAGATTGATCCCATGGTGCGGCCTACCGCCCTGACCGTGGCTCCAGACGTGAGAAATTGCTATGGTTCGGCCAGAAGCTTTGCAATACTTAACCTTCTCGGAACATGCATCTGTTGCAGCCACCGAGACAGCCCTTGGGCCATCGACTGACGTATAAGATGCTTTATCCCAAGTCAATTTCCGTTCCGCTGCATTTTGATCCGAGCAAGTGTGATCGTGCATAGATTGATCTTTAACCTTTAGACCTCTATATCGCAGGCAAGCGTTTGGGTGAAGGCCACTGCAGGATCTTGTACCATCCGCAGAACATCGATTCAGCGCGCTACCGGAAACGTTGCGATACCTCTCATGCACAAGATCAAAGTCCAGTCCCAGGCATTGAGGATCACTGTGGAGGAGCGCCAGAGTCCAAAGGCACAAGCTAGCCGCCTTGTGCTTGCTGGCTGACAGCTTTGTGAGTTCCTTCAATGTTGTGCCTGTAGAGACATCGAAGTTGCGAAACCATTGATAAAACAAGTTTTGGCTATACTGTTGATTGTGCTTAAAGTTACTCTTGAAATTTAATGCCGCGTAAAGTGTCCGACATGTTTGCCAAAAATTCCAAAGGTACGCTCTTACAATGAACCAACGTTGCTTGTCTCGTTCGCACACTGCAGCTCTGGACTGTCTCACCGTAGCGTCAATAAGCTCCCCGACACAATTTTTCACAGTTTGAGCGAAGTGGTCGGTCCACTCGCATATTTTGTGGTCATACAGAACGCGAAGAGTGATGCAGCGAACAATATTCTTGGAATGCTGTGATGCAACAAGTAACTTGTCCCAGGCCTTTTCTTGGCCTGAAAACAACTCACTCGGGAGGTCGCCACGGTCGCCTGGGAGGGCCGTTGGCACTCGAGGTAATCGGGAGATATAGTCACAGACTTCGTCCGCAATCGTCTGGCGCAGTTGCATCACAACAGTCGACCACTTGCATATGAGCAGGGAAGAGAAACAACGATCGAGATCGGTGAGGTGACTGGCTGGGTTGGTGGTCGCATTACAAAGTTCTTCGCATTTTGCGTCAACCAGCAGCTGATGCTCCTGCTGAGTGTAGCGACGTATCACTATAACTTGTTGCGAGAGATCTTGGTGGTGAGTAAACTCGTCCCAGTCGTAATGGCATCTTTGTGGGTGCAGATCAGAAGTTTCAGAGACATCGCCAGCAAGGATCTGTACGACCCACTGTCTCATGCTACCCGCTTTTGCCACCTCACCACTTTCGACGCTCAACTCGTGTATTGTGTCGAGTTTCTGCATTCAACAGCTGACGACAGCTTTATATGAGTCTGACCTTGAAAGAAGCACGTATTCTACACAAGGATGCCGTATCTGACACGCAGATGAATATGGGCCCAAGACTCCGCAGTCTTTGCACCTTTTATTTGGGTTCCTAGTAAGAGTTCAACTGCGTTGAGAAACTTAGTTGGTAGGTTGACGAACGCCTTGTAATTACTGTGCGTTCCATAAGTGTTGTGAATCCTTGGCGATACTTACTATTCCGTATAAGTATTGGTCGAACTCTAGTGCAAATTTGGGGCCAATTTCTTTCGCTGTTCCGTACAGCCAATTTGTACACATAGTTACGCTCCCTACCTACGTAGAGAACAACTTACTATTCTACACGTTCTACGCAGTGTTAGAAGTATGCCATGAAGCAGTGCAGATTAGATTAGTAAGCAAGAGAAAGTAGATGGAATGGATTGATTGACTTGCTATCTCAACTCCTGAGGAGTAGGATGACCGCTATATATACGCATAGAAGAGGCAAGCTATAGAATCACCTAGAAGGAGATCATAAACCAGCGTTGCAATGCTAACTGCAGCATTTTGTGAGTGTATGCGTTTCTGAGTAATAGCGCGTGGCGAACAGTTGCGGTGGTCGGAGAACTCCGTCTTCCGCTGACACGCAGCACCTCAACAGGAAAGGTCTCCGCTAGCTGATGCAAAACAATATTTCTTAGCCTTTGACAGGGTCTGACTACTTCCAGGGACCACAAGAACGGCGACTACTTGTACAGTAAGATGTCACATCACACTGGCGGAGACATTTCTGCTGCACGGAATAGCTTTTGGAGTGGAGCTTCTTCTCTGTTCTATCGAATAAGAGGAACTCAGAAGGGGCTTTAACTAGTGCGCAAAAAGAAGCTCCGCTTTTGTTCAGGGAACAATCTTTCAATGGGGCTGATTGACTCATCATTGTTCATATGCATGAAAGCATCATTTTCTCCCAAATTGTTTCATGGAGCTCCAGAGCGAATCCCTGCTTACCAGTAGAGTCTTTTCAAGCATCGGGGATGGCATCCATAACCTAGGGGAAGTAGCTGGGTTTTAACTCCAACCTAACTAGTATATAGATAATACTTCAGAGCGGTGGGGGCCCGGAGGGGGGGGTTGCAATTAAGAGATATCATGTCCAGTCTTCAGCTCGTCTATCACTGAGATTCGATCACAACAGCATTCTGCTGCTGCTCGCCCGCCAGCTTACTTAACAGCCTCGTCTCATCTCGGCTGCGTCAGCCGAACCTCTTAACGGAGAAGTTGTCATAGTAAATATAGCCAACTCGGTCCGAAGCCCAGTAATCCTGACTGCCTCCGCGGAAGTTGTGGAACACGAGGTTTGTTATCGACCTCTTTGCATTGTTGTCTGTCCACTGGACCGGAGTGTCTAGCAGAGTGACTCCATTGACCTTGATTACCGCCCAACCGTCTTTGTTTTGGCCGGTATTGCTTCTCACATACATGTAGATGACGTAGTTAGTGGATACCTTCAGACTTTCTTCCATCGGAGGATAGCGCAGGCCAAAAGAGTCGCCGCAGCGGCCTGGCATCGCCGCATAGTACAGATAGGGCCTGAAGTATGTCCTTGCATTGTCGTCTGTGTACCACATGAGCCGCAGACTGGCCCCGTCGCCGTCCGCTTTGGTACAACCACCCGCACCATCACCAATTCCAAACCCCCAGCCTAGTTTTCCGCCACGGCTCCACTGAAATTGGCTGTGGAAGTTGACCGTGTACTGCATCTCGTACTCGGTGCCTCTGACGACGTTAATACGCGCCAATGTGCCACCAGCGCCGCCGATCTTTCCCGGCTCAAGCTCCCCCCTTAATCGTCCGCCGCTGATGATGGTCCTGTCCGCGTCCCACCCGGAAACGTCGCCGAAGTCTGCCGAAGCGGCCTCAGACGAGTACCGCCCGTACGGCCAGCGGTCGAAATCGACGCTGTAGGCCTTACCAAGAACGCTACCGATCCGACCCTGGGGCTCATGCTGTCGTGCCGATAATACTGGTCCGGCCGTGGCTGACGAGGTGATCAGGGCTGCGAGGGTGACGAACAAGACAAAGTCCATTCTGAATGGTCGGTGCTGTAATATGCGGGTCATTGAGAATTGTAGGTATTACAGTCGTGTGTTGGGGAGATGGTGCAGACTCGGTAAACTTGGCGACGAGAATTGGCCCTCCCAGCAAGCTGCTGTGCTCCTTGATTTTAGCGCTTGAAGATGGTGCCGACCGACACCTGACTGAGGCGGAAGCCAATGTTGGGTTTGATAACACGTCGTCTGTGGATGCTTGACGGCTTTTACGTCAACTCTGCAACCACGGTCGTTATTGATGATGGGATAGTTGTGTTTGATGTGCGCAAGGGCTTTCAGGTGTTGCTATTGAGGACCTCCAGCGAGAATTTCATTGAGTGACAATCAACGAAGCAGTTCGAAAGGCTTTGTGTTTCTTCAGCACGAAGAGATATGCCATAAACAGCAATACTTCTTCTTTCACCAGTTCATCGTCAATGGGGCACTTCTCCCTCCCAGGTTGAGTAAGAGTGGTAGACGCCTTAATCAGTGCTGTTGATCATTATAATGAGGATCAGAACGTTGACGAGCGCCATCTCAGAACCAATCGAGATTGTATTATCTCGCGCTTTTTTGCACCGCTTTCGGTTCCGAAGTTCCGCGTTTAGGTATTGTGAACGAGTGAGGACATCCCTTCCCTACCTGAACAGGGGGGTACATGGCTTCGATGAGCGTCCTTGATCGTCTTTATTTGAGGTTGCCATAGATCTTGCTCAGCCAGACTTTTCGAGTAGAGATTCAAGGATGATTATAAAGAACAGAGGACTTTCTTTCTTATTGAATGATCTATCTCCTGTATGTGGTTTTTCTTTGATGGTGAGAAAAGACATCCTAAGGGCAAAATGAGCTAAAATTCTATGAAACGCGCTGATTGAGGCATTAGGGAATGGCTCGTAAGTTATTGGGCGAGCCATTTTTAAGCGCCAAAAAGTTCAGAGGAAATCATTCTGACCTTGGCACACAATGGGGAGTGCGTGTGACTGCATTGGTATTGATGTTGAAATGCTGGGTGTGTGGGTTCTTGTTGCTATATCCGCGGCCTAGATAGCCTCTACAGACTGCCCTGCCTTGTTGCAGACAAATATATGACCTCAACGTGCCAGAGGGCCTAATTCGAACCGAAGGACTGTAAGGTTCTAGAGATAGATCCTGCAGGTAGATAGAATTCCATTCATCCACTTCATCATAGCATGCGTGGAATCTTGAGGAGGTCAGGGCTGCCAAAGAGGGTAGGGCGCCCTCTGGGGTGCAAATTACGCACTGTGGAGAGGGTTTGCTACGCATAAGAATTCTCTCAGATAGGCTTAAATAGGAAGTATTGCTAGCTTCATTATTTCCTTAATTGAACGTGGATGTTAGGCCATTTGAGTGATAGAATTACTACGTAAAGTGTGTGCAAATTGTCTCGCCAAGTGGGGTATCTCGCCAAGTGGTAGTGTACGTTAGATTACTACGGTAGGAGGCATAATGATTGTCACCTGCGTACTAGTAACTGTTTGTAACGCCAAGATAGAACGCCACAAAATTGCTCGATTAGAAACTAGTCTATTTTTCTCAGTATCAAAGTGTGCATTTCTTTAGCATCAACAAATGTCTTGTATCTTGTTAGCATTGAGAATTTGTAGATGGCGCAGAATGAGATAGAATCAGTAGAATAATGCGTAAAATCAACAAAACGCGCGTAGAATGGCGACAGTAAGCATTCGTACAGATCAACAGGGTATCTGTATGAGCGCTGTTAATGACGTTACTTACTAGTGCGCAGATGACAATCATTATGCCTCCTACCGTAGTAGTAGATGATTTAAGGAGATACATCTTACGCTTATATTACATAAATACAGATGACTAAGCTTAGTTATTGAAACGTGCTCACAAAGTTTTACCTTTCCGGACATAACCTAGAACTTAAATTTTTTTACATCCCTTGTAATACACAAGTAGTTGGTAGCCTAGGGATAGTCCATCCTTTTCAGGCCAGTGCGATACGAGAGGACATGGGTGGCTGGGACATACTTTCCATCCAAGCAAAGAGAAAACGCTCCGAGTGGCGTAACTGCAAGTGCCGTGGATCAGCCGATGCTGTCACCTGATTTCTTCCTGTCAGGTGTGTGATTTGTTGTTGCTGTCAACGCAAAATAGCAAGATATTATTGGGAGAGGGTCATTAGTACAACCTCCAAAGCGCTTGTCACATACTATTTCGAGAGCAGGGTCACCTGGTAAAGTACTCACGCAAGTATCCAAGCTGCAATTAAGCTCACAGATAGGAAAATTTGGATAGTCTACAAAGACATCGCGGCCGAAGAAAATGGTTGATAGCAGTTTACACTCCTTCCATCGGGAAAGAATCGATAAGTTGGACTGCATTCTCCAGTGCAATTACACCTCTCCAGACTGTGGAGCAAAGATTGTGGCAAAAGTCGGATTGACGTATCTGGCTGAAGGTGCAGCGCATGTTGTCTATCGAGTCTCTCTTCCAGGTGCATCTCCAACCACACATCCTCATCTTGTTGGAAAGCTGTTTCGCTTTCGGAAGTCGATCCCATCCGCAGTACCATGTGCTCAAACGGTCGCGAACTACCAGAACATAATTGCTCCGCTATTCCCAGTCAACAATCTTGTCCACCTGGAGCTGCACCATGTGTCGAACCAGAACGCATTGATAGCAAAGCTAAACGCAGCACTCGAGCAGAGAGAGTTGAATGGAACCAGACCCGCCCATAGACATGGTGTTTATCTGACGCCTTCAGCCGAGGAGCCGAACGCCATCCTGGTAACAGATATGAGTGCATGTGGACCGGATGAAAGGCTGATAGAATTCAAACCAAAGTGGCTGGTTCAAAGTCCGAGTGCGCCCCAAGGAGCGAAGCGGTGTCGGACCTGCGCGTTGAGAGAAATGAGGACAGAGGATGAACGACGCTCTGGTCAAAGCCATTCTGGACGGGGGCATGCAGGGTTTTGCCCCTTGGATTTGGTCTCCAACAATGACGATGTCCTTGGAGAGACGATACGGCGGCTCTCCTTGACTGATGAGCTCTCTAGAACATATGAGTCTCCATTCAAGGAACAGATACAGCCCTTACTTTTAAGGCTAAGACGTCTGCAAGCCGAGTACAACAATGTGGGCCTGAATGACTTCGAGAACGGCCAGAGTCAGGGCTTTTTTGTCTCGATGGCTCTGAGAGATTGCAGTGTCTTTGTCAAGACAAAAAGAGGCGAACTCGGATTCCAAGAAGTCAGATTGGCTGATCTTGATCTTAAATCTAGCGGAGGCGGTAAGCTTGAACTGTGGGCAAGAACTGAGCAACGCTTGATCGAAGAAGGATGGTATATGGGGAGTGAAAACGCTGAGAGCCTGGGAAACAGGTTATGCAGAGCATTGCAGCAGTCGTGACACTTCTTGTTAAGTTCAACCGTGTTTGACCGAAAAAATCTTTTGAAGCATTTTCTTCAAGTTGTCGTCTTCTATTCTTTTCACTTCATCCTGTATCCTTTCCCACAAGACCTCCGAGAGTCCTTCGTTAATTCTTGAATACACATCCACACCCGCTGGTGGGAACAATATCTTTGCAAAGTAAGTTACAGCCCATCCACCTTCCTTAGGACCATAGCATAGGACTTCCCAACGACTGCTCGCAATCTTTAGCCATTCTTTCCCTCTCCAATCATATGAGCCAGGGAAAGTCTGATTGAGCGTGTCAATGCCACGAACTGACTTGAGCTTCTCACCGTGCAAAGTTTGATATTCAACTAGATCATCAAGCTTTTCTGGATTATTGGGAAGAGGCGTGTAAGTGATGCGAACATTCCTGCTTGACTTCCACATAGGGAAGAGTTGAATGCGTGACGTACCATGTTCCGTTGAGGAAGTCTACCGGGTGGGATTCTGAACTCTGGATTGGCTGGTACGTGAGACACTGAAGGAGCACGAAAGAGAAGCGGTAGAGTAGAGTCAGTCATGGTGAGCATGAACAGCACCAAAGTGAGATGTCCTGAGGTGAATAAGAAAGGAAGACATCCGATGACATCCGATAATAAATAATGATAACAATGGGTCTAGGCATTGCTGGGGTGTTGAACTTGAGGCCATGGGGAGGAGGAGGGGGGAAGCTGTTTGCTTTGGGAGAATCCCCGCACCCTAACAAAATGTCCCCAGGACGCGTCGTTGAGATCCAAATTTCATTGTGATATGATTTCGCTGAAGTTCTAGCCAATTGAGCGCATTCTCGAGGACATGCAGCCCTAGTAATGGACATCGATGATATCCTCGCCGAGCTTGACCGCAGCGAGCCCACTGCCAAAGCATCCACCGCTCTTGATCATCAACAACTGACGCGCTTCTGGATCTCGGAGCGTGCTGCTCCAGATGTTCTGAAATGGCCTACAGATTTGATGGACCGAGTGATAGCGCGAGTTCGTCAGCAGATAGAATTGGTTGAGGATTTGACAGCTGGTGCCGGCATGACCGGGTCCGGAACCAGCAGCTCTAACTCGAACCTGACATTGTCCATTTTGCAGACAGATCTGTCTAGGACGCAATACATTATTCGATCATTGTTAAGACAGCGTTTGGCCAAATTGACAAAGTATGCTATGCATTACTTGACCCTGGACGACAAATCGGCACTTCTATCGCCTCAAGAGGAGTCTTTCCTACGGAATCATCAATCTCTGTTGTCAGATTTATACAGCGCCAGCTTTTTATCGGCATTCCCGGCACAGCTTCAAAGGTTAGATGACAATGCAGGAGGGCTAAACATGGTTGAGGGTCCGGACGGCAAGAAAGCTGTCTTTATTAGGTGTCTAGCCAAGAGATGGAGCAGCGATCCCTTATTCGAGGACTACGATGCTGATGACGATGAAGAAGCTGGAGAAAGCGGTGCTTTGGCAATGCGAAGAGGCCAAGTCTGGGTTGTGCGGTGGGAGGACGTCAAGAAAGGAGTTGAAAAGGGAGCACTTGAATTGCTCTGAAGAATTCTAGTCACCCTGGTCATTACTCGGAGCATGACGACAATAGCTAAGCCAGATCTGAGTTGTCCGACAAGATGGATCATCCGGGCAGTTCGGACATCCTGTTCCACTTCCAATTCCACTCTAGGTCAATATCTTGAAGGTCTGGAAGGTCAAAATGTCAGAATGTTATATACAGATACCCTGGAGGGGACAACTAGGAATTTATTGGGTGACGTGACAAACCCGCTTGCGACAATACAACACGTCCGTTGACGCTTGCCAAACGTTGTGTAAGTGGACGGAGCTAACCTATATCTGCTCATTCTGGACCAGAGCCCTTGGATATGCCAGAAGATATTGAGTTGTTCACTGTGATGGTGGGGGAACTGAGTCAGCAGATCCGTTCCGATGAAGGCCGGGCTCCAACTTCCAGCCGCTGCAAAATACATCATCATGAATACGACAACACATCTACTGCATTGGAAATTTGGGTAAAGTGAGCGTCTTGCTAAATTAAGACCAGGCGCAACTAGTTGCTCAGTCTGGCCATCTAGTTGCAGTTCACTATGCTCACTGATTCTGCGTCTTGACCTCATGTGCTACTACACTAATTCTGCAACATGCGTTCTGAGGGCAATGTCTATAATCCGGTGCCGGAGAGGATTCCGAAGGTGCGCGACGCCGATGAGTTCCAGCGTATGAGAGCAAAGTAATGAGAAGCTGTATCGAATCATGTGGTGTCTGCTGACCTGTCTAACTTAGAGCTACAGAGCTTGCTTGCGATATCAGACTGCACAGGTCATTTCGATTACCTCCAAACCCCAGCATCGGAAGAAACCGCACTATCAGGGTGAGCTACTCGGATGTTGGTTACTTGGGTTCTTCGTCCACTACGGCTGAAATTGAGGATCCCGAGAGTTACCATGTTCCTGTTGTTTTGTGGGCTGGCGGTATGTTTGGGGGCCGATATCAAGCCTTTGCAAACGACGACCTCTGCAAGAAGTATCGTGTGCGTTTTCTTGCAATCGATCGTAATGGCATCGGAGGAAGTGACTCGGTCAGCCTCGATCAAAGAGTTGCCACTTGGCTGGACATAGTTCCTGCATTGTTGGATCATATCGGAATCCAGCATGTTCATCTTGCAGCACACAGTGCAGGGACAATCTTCGTCCTCAACACGATTTTGCACCAGAGACATCTACTTCACCCTACCAAGCCTTTTGCTGCTTTCTTTGGACCTTGGGTGCACCCGTCGAAGTCGGGTAAATGGCGACTCGCGGCTGTTGGTCTTCTCCCCGAACTTGCTATTGGCACCTGGCATCATTGGGCCAAGATGATTAACCAGAGCATAGCACCAGTGCTTACAGCAAGCGGTGTTTCGGTGACCAAGGCAGCTAGAACATCAGTCAATGGCATCTCAGGGAGTAAGGTCACTGAAGACCCGACAGTAGGAGACGGGGCCGAGGCCGCCTGGCGCAAAGCCTCAGAGGCAGTCATCACGAACTATGTGTTTGCGGAAAGTGTTGAGGGCGCAAGCCAAGAAGCGTTGCTCTGCTTGAGGAAGGGTAGCACGGCGTGGGGTGATTGGCAAGACATTGACGAAGCAGTTTCCAGAATAGCAGAAAATGAGCGGAAATCGCAAGGCCCTTCAAGAATGGGGGCGAAAGAGAAGCTCAAGATCCAGATCTTCTTTGCTGAGGATGATGAAATGATAGGAAAAGGCGGTCAAGCATGGCTTGAGTCGTGCTTCACGCAGGATGGCGTGACAGAGTACATCAGTCTAGAGAGCGAGGTGGTGGCCGGGACGGATCACAACGACGTGCTTGCATTGCAGAACGGAGCTATAGAAAAGATGGTCAGGGCAATTGGACAGGTTCCAAGCAGGACAAGAGATGCTGAGGACAGGAGCAGAGAAAGATAAACGACAAGACATCATATCGCAGCAAACCTTAGCGGATATCCACGTAGTTCACCACATGCAGTGTAATGCTGGCGCGGAAAGACTTGTTCCGTGGCGATCGTCCTATGCACCATGATGCCACAAGGGACACGGGCGAGTAAATAAACTTTCAACGCTCTTGCAGGAGAACTGTCGACGGGAGTAATTACCACGCTCCTTGCAATGATCATAGGTGGGTATCATACATCACAAACTCTAGATGACGGTCTCTCATGACGATTGATGTCCTCGTGCACCCTCCAAGCCATTCGCCAATGATTTTCAGCCATGGTCGAGAGCCCCAAGTCCGAAGCATCGCATGAGTCGAGCCCAGCGGCAGGGAGACATCACGCCGCCAAAGACAAAGAATGCCAATACTGTCACCAGCACTTCACCTCGTCTTCGCTGGGCCGCCATCTTGACCAGTTCATCTTCCGGAAGAAGCCAGATGGCGTACACAATGTGGAGGAAATCCGGAGACTCCGCGGCGGTATCACCAGACGAACAACAAAAGGCGGAGCAAACAGCAAACATGATCGAGAAGGATCCCTCTCGACGTCCCATATCACCTCTCCTCTTCATCGAGACTCTCCGGCAGAGGATGTTCGCGAAGATCTCAATGCGACACCAGTGGAGGGCTACCGGATCCGAGTCAATGGGCCCAATTGGCAGTCTACGGGCGTGATCAATGGCCTACCAGGCTCGAGCACGGTGAGCCCTGCGTTGGAACATATGACATCCACGACCGGCAAGCGAAGTTATTCGAGCATTGAGACTGCTGCTGCCAAGGACATACTCGGGTTGAGAGGCGATCTTGGATCGGAGAAGGACACGGCGAGGGCGTTGGAGCTGGCATTGCGAGAAGTGCTTGATACCATTCAAGCTGCACAGTACGTCTTCTTCTCACACCATGCCCCTCTCAAATCCTCTCTAATAGAACCTGCGCAGCGTGCAAACAAAGCCTGCTCCCTCCCCCTTTCCCATCGACGTCCAATCTTACACCTTCCCCTCCCTGGTCTTACACCTGCTCCCACCACCTCCCACCCTCCTCACGTCTGCCACACCCTTCGCCTCGCCAAACTCCTTTCCCATCTCCTCTCCACCAGATCACACGCACCTTAACCTTCTCTGCTCCACTATTACATCGCTAATCACAACCTGGAAATCCAACCTCCTTAATTCACCCCTTCCGCCTAACTACCCAGACACAGCCACTTACACTACGCACATCCATAATACCGCCTCAACTCACACAGGCACCGCCCTAAATCACCTGGACCTCGCCTACAAGCACTACACCTCCCTCCCCCAGCACCAACAACATGAGATCTGGCAAATCGAGCTGGCACGAGCCTACGTGTCCGAGAAACAAAAAAGAAAAGAGGTGGAAGAGAGTCTCGAAGCCGTCATGGTTGAAGCGCGGCAGCTGAGCGGCCAAGTCGAGTGTCTCAGCCGGTGTCAGTGGCCGAGGGAGATGGCGTTGTGGCCGCCGGAGAGAAGACCAATCCGGAGCAATGTTATCAGAGAGATTGACAGTGGTACGATCAGATACGGTAAGAGGAGGAGCATGCCAACACCGGGCCAAGGAAGCGCCGCAGAAGCCGACGCGCAGCAGCCGCTCGACGATTCGGACGCCGAAGACAAACGATGGGACTACGACCGCCTTGTCAGCAAATGGAAAAAGGTAGTCCGCGAAGACGCAATCCGGAAACGAAGCCTAACCCTCCCCGCGCCAGCATACACGCCACCTGTCCCGACCACCAAAAGCGGCAATAAGACCATAGAAACCCCCACTTCTCACCCAAACAACGCCAATACACCCGCCTCATCAACCGCCCACGCAGCAGCAGCAGCAGCACCACCCACCACGACAGGTACCAAACCAACAAAGAAAGAAGACTCCAATCCGCACTTCGAGCCCTGGTGCAAGAAACCGCGTCTCGTGATGGAAGAGAGCAATGACTGCATCATGGACTCCCCGCGTTCCAATACTCATCACCAACCTCAGCCTCAACAGCAGCACCAGCAGCAGCAGCGGACACAATCGAATTTGGGGGATTTAATTGCGGAGGCTTCCGGCCAGAGGAATGGCCTTCTTGGTCATCAGAAGCAGCAGCAGCAGCAGCAGCAGCAGCAGCAGGGGCAGGGGCATTATGACGGTAATGGTGGTGGTGGGTTTGCATTCGGGAACGGGACCGGGAACGGAAATAGGGATGGTGAAGGGGCTGTTGGTGGTCGGAATGGAGACGGGTAACTAACTTAGTAACTAACAAACAGGCGGACGACGGACGTGTGGATAGGTGCTGCGTGTATATATAAAAATCATGTTGGTGACGTCGATGTCGATATGGATTGGATATGGATACGTGAAGGAAAGTCATGGAATGATTACCTCGGGGGGTACGTAACTCCTCATCGTGATGTGTACAGGAAGTGTAGGAATAGATGTGCAAAGAGGCACGAATAAATCTCTAATGATTTGATAAATAAATGTGAGCATGCTCATCGAGTACCTACTTAGTTTCATCTGAGAGAGAAAAAGAAAGAAGGCGGAATAATTCTAATAGACTTTGCATTTCACTGACGAATCCCCGACGCCAGCCATGTTGCTCCAGCTAATTTGCTAAGTTAAACCAAACCAATCCAAGTATGCCCACTCCTTCATTACCAAGATCACCCTACTCACCCACCACGCGACCAGCTACATAAATCACCAGCTATTCCAAACACTCCTCCTTCAACCCGTTGGCCACCATCGCCACCTCCCCATTCCGCGGACACAGCAACGTGCCATCGCGCCTCATCACCGCCAGCTCCAACCAATCCATGTTGATCCAGTCGCGCGGCAGGAAATGATGTCTCCTCACCCTTCCGGGCCGGCCCTCCGCCAACACATACGTGCACACCCAGTACTCGTGATCTAGGAAGGCTAGGACATGCTCATCCCCTGTTGAGAGGGTTGGGTCTCCCACGGCCAGGAATGTGGAGGAGGATGCACGCCAGGAGTTGGTGTTGCTTACGGTGAGACCTGTGGAGGGGTTGAGGAAGGACTTTCTGCTTGGGTCGGCCGAGTTGGGGTGCGAGGTCGTGCTCGGGGCGAAGGATTTGCGCCGCACGGATTGGATCGAGTCGGACATGACGAAGCCGAGTGGTAAGCCAAGACGGGAAATAAGCTCGGAGGGGAGGAGGGTGGGTTCAATGACCATGGTTCTTGATCCGAGAGCTTCGATGATGGATTCTGGGTCGATGGACACGAGCATGAATTGTTTTTCACGTGAGTGATGGGCGGAGCATTTCGAGGTCTCGAGGAGGGCCATAGAGCCGTCTAGAGTGAAGAGAACTTTGTCCACAGCATTCTCGGTCTCGTTTTCGCTGGTGGTGAATTTGGTGGTTGGTTTTGGGAACATCGCATGTACTCCATATCGGCTGGCGAACCCATCTACTGTGCTCCGGTCAATGTCAAGCTGCCAGGTTGTGCCTAGGCCCTCCCACACGGATATCTGGAGTTCCGAGTAGCCAAAGCCAATCAACTGATCAGGATCGGAGGGTGAATTTGTCCAATAGTAGCGTGCTGTTTGCGGGCGAGAAGACACAACTTTCCTTTGCTGGATTGACCAGATAGTGAGACATTGATCTGTCGATACGAGCAGATAGTCCCCCATGGGACTCAGCAGCAGCTGTTTGATAGGTTCTTCTTCCTTCACGGTAAGTAGAGACTTTGGTGTAGCGTTGACTTTCGTATGGTCGATACCCTTGACGGTCACTCGCCGACTTAAATCCGATGAGGCAACAAAGGCACCATTATCACTCCAACAGATGTGGTCGACCGTCATAAAGGTCTGCGACAGCTGGCTAATGACCTCGCCTTCCCGGCTAAAATAAGTTACCACGCCTTCATCGTCGCCAGCTGAGTAATTGAGGGTATTCTTGTCTACAGCAAGGGCGGTCAGTGGCTGGGAGCTCTCGCCTGACGCCTCAGAATACACAGAGACTTGCGTCGAGCTCTCACGAGTACTCGTCGTATCGCTTGCCTTATCATCAGTCTCCCAAAGGCGAAGAAGGGCATTCGGCTCCCAGATATTGCAAAAGCTTTCTCTGATATCGTAAATGCGTCGTTCAACAGGATCTATGGCAAGATCTGTAACGGAGGAAGAGCAGGAGAGCTGGTACACAGGTGAGAAGTGAAGAAAATCCCACACACGTAGAGTGCCGTCAACGCTGCTCGTAACGAAGAATTTTCCGTCTGGGCTGCATTTCACATCTGACCCAGACACTTTGGATTCTTGGTATTCTCCGTCAAATGGATGCCACTTAAACACACAGCCGTCATTATAGACACCGAGTACATGCCCGGTCACCGTATTCCAGCAGATAGCTTGGGTGTCGACAAAGCTGCCGCTGGCTAGTTGGCCTGTAGAACCTTGCCGTTCACACCTGCCAATCAAACATGGGCGAGGTTCATCAACCGACCACACAGAAAGGGCGAATCCTCTATAGCCGACAGCCAATTGAGAGCCGAGAGCGTTGAACGCCGCACAACGAGGTGAGTTATGCTGGTCTGCATCCAGCACATCCGAGCCAAATACGTTTTCGAGAACCTGCCAGCCTGCTTCTATAGCGTCAAGAGAGACACATCGAACGTTGCGGTCGTCAGAGCATGTTACGATAGAGTCGTCACTGCCACTAAAGGCAATAGTGATCGCTTTGGCAGTGCCTGGATTCGTGATGGAGAACAATTGTAAACCCGACGTGACGTTCCAAACCATCGTCTTCACGAAACCGTAGGTGACCAGCTTCTCCCCTGTCTGATTGAAGCACCACGCCAGCACTCGCTCGGCGTGCTTGAAACGCCTCCCTTCTTCGAGTGTGCTTGAATTGTACAGATGAACAGTGCCATCGGAGGTGAGGATCGCAAAATGCTTGTTCACAGATGTGACGGCAATGGGTAAACAACTGTTTGCCACGGCAAACTTAGCTAGACAGTCATCCCAGGTCTGGTTGGAGATTCCAGTGATTGTGAGAGATGATTGCGCTGCCTTCGAACAGAAAGTCTTATGGATCGCCGAGGCAGGGGGACAAAACGCGGGAACCAGTTTATAGATGCATTTCGGCTGCGATTTGAGATGCAACCCAAATTTCCCTACCAGCCTCACCAAGTCAACTGTCCACAGCGACAGCATATCCTTCTCCTGCAAGCGATGAGTTAAGGGGCTTCGATCTGAGTCTAGGCGATCGACTTGTTTCAGGAATGTCGCTAGGATTTTTGAGGCTTGAACCAAGGTCCCCAATTGATTCGAGAAAGACAGCAAATGAATCCAGCTCAAAACAGCTGGACCACGGAAAAATTGTGCGAGCAAGAGGAGGCTTTCCTGGTCAAGGCATGCCGAGGTTAGACTCAAATGGTATGCCCAGGAAGTTGCGGCATACAACAAAAAGGACTTGGGCTTGATCTGGCCCATTTGAATTCTGGAGCTGGCCGTGATCAATTCTGACAAACACTTCGTGAAGATCTTTTGATGGGAACCGGCCACTGGGATATAGAAGTTCAGGTCTCTTTTCTCAGTAAGGAAGTCCCTTGCTGTAGCATGGACCATGGAGATGGTCCCTTTTGTGTCGATGACAATGAACTCCCCACAAACTTGGTTAATGGTAAGTCTGAGATCGAGTACCTCGGCATACTCGGGTTTCAAAGCATCTCCGAGCTGGTCGAGATTGAGGAGGTGCCGAGAACATACCACCCACATCAATATAGTACGTGCCATGGCTTGATCTGATGGTCGCGAGGTACGTGACAAAGCTGCGTCCATCCGTCCGTAAAGATGCTCCAAATCTTCAGGCACGTCATTGAGTGCGTCTTCTATCTCTGTCTCCGTGTGACACTGTAGGACCTCTTTCACAACAAGATTCGCCCACAGAAAATTGCCATCAGCCTTCGCTAATATCCTTTCTGCGATTCGGTCCTTGAAATTCTGATCTCCACGCATGAGTTGCATTTCGTCCTCGACGTACATCCGAAGGTCTTCATCAATATCTTCAAGGGAGAACGTTTCGATGGGGATTGTTTTGATGAGTTTGTCGATGCCTGTGTTCAACAACTGTGTCTTGCGGCTGACCAGCATGACGCAGAACTTCGCTTTCGAACTCGATATATCCCCAAGCAACTTTAACAATAACGCAGACGCATCGCACTCATCCAAGCCATCAATCACCAGATGGATTGGCTTCCTGATGTCTATTTTGAACAGTGTCGACAAGAATAGCTTCTGCCAGATAAGTCTTGGGGCAGACTTCTGCAGGCTAAGACCTTGATCAAACATCTTGACTAGGCGGGCTCGGTACGGCGGGATACACTCCGCGAACTGATACGCCACAGAGACTAGAAACGAACTCAGACTGTTCTGAGCTTCATTCCCAAACCGGAAGAAGTGAAAGGCGCATTTCGCCTTCTTTTCTCGAAGGAGGTTAACAACAGAGGATGCAAACACAGACTTGCCGGACCCTGGACGTCCTGTGCACCACAGAGCGTGGGACTGCTGGGGTCTCCGCAGAAAGCCTGCTAATACTGGTTCATCAAGTATCCACTCGCACGATCCAAGCATCCGCTTTTCAGCAAAGAAATCGAGGTCATCGTTTTCCTGTAATAACCCGCCCAGGTGAGAAGCAAGCTGACCAAGTTCTTCTGTACTATCTATCGCTTCTTCAATAGGAGCATTTTCGGTGTCAGTCTTATCTTTGCGTTCGTCGTCCCTTGGTGGAATCTCAGACTTGCGAGTTATAGCTTTCTTCATGGTCTCCCGAAACCTCCCCCTTGACCGCTCCTCAATTTCAGGAGCACAACTCTGTGACTGTGACCTTTCCCTGACGCTTCTTCTGCTAGCTGCCAATTTTTGCAAATTGGATGAACTATGAGGAGCCCGACGTGGAGCGCCATTTGGTGCTTGTGGTGTTTGCGAATGCCTATTTTGTGATTGTGACCTTTCGCTGACAATTTTCCTGCTTGCCGGCCGTTTGCTCGGGGTTGGGGAGCCACTGGGGCTTTCACCATCAAGTTCTTGTCGTATTTCTAGGTTTTTGCTCCTGGATTGAGATCGTTCCTTTACACTTTCGTCACTTGTACATCTTCTGGCAGGATGGGTGGGATAGGTTGCGTCCCGAACCTCACTGTTTGGTTCTTGCAATGGCGCAGTATGTCTCTTCTGTGGCCGCGATCTTTCTTTGAGGCCCTCCTTGCTTGTAGACCTTTTGCTGGGATTTGAAGAATCACTGAGGGCCTGACTCTCACCAATCTGTACTCTGGATGGTTCTAGGTTTCTGCTTTGTGATTGTACTTTTTCCGTGGCGCTTTCACTGCTTCCGGATCGTTTGGGAGGATCGGCGGAATTATTGGAGGGTCGAGCCTCGCCATCTGGTGCTTGTGGTGATTCCAAGCTTCTGCTCTGTGAATTTGATCTTCCTCGGACGCCGTCCTTGCATGTGGATTGTTTGCTCCCGGCAGAGACATTGCTTGGAGCTTGACTGTGAGCATCATTTGGTACTTGTGGTTTTTCTACAGCTTGGTTCTTCGGCTCCTCACGTGCATTCGGAGGGACAGATGAAGGCTGAAATGTACAGTCAGTCGTTTCTTCATTTTCAGTATTTCAATATTGGTTTTCATCTTACCATGCTGGCTTACGAGGAGGGTCATGTGAAGTATCTAGTTTGGCTCTCAATGTTATAAACGGAGTCCTGCTCACGTAAATGACGGCATTGGTGGTAGAGCAAAGCAAATACTGTTCATTGCCCTAGAGTAACTCAAAAACATTAAGAGCCATACTGATGAGGTCCGAGACAGCGCGGCCATAGTAAACCGGTTATGGAACATCAGGGGCCAACTCTGAGGCATGGAACCTCATCCTGTCGGGGCCAATTTTCTGACAGCCGCGTCTCGAGAACGTAGCCGCGGTACGACTGAACCTGAGACCGTTCTGACGCTTCATTGTGCCGCAAGGCTTGATAGAGACTGGATAGACTGTGAAACACGAGGTCATTAATTGACGAAGCAAGTGTGACAGATCAAATGAAAGGAGTGACGAATCCCTAAGATGGATTCTCCAAAACACCCTTGGCACTGGATTCTGGGACATCAGTTTCGTCTCATGTCAAAATTCAACTGACGCCGCACAGTATTAAAAGGCAGTTATGGAGTATTTACTCGATCGAAGCTGCTCGAGCAAGAGCGTACTTCAGTCAAGAAGTCGTTCGTATCGAGTATTGAGGGGAAAAAATGGCTGTTCTCGATACCAAAGAGGCCTTGGCTGATTATGGAACAAGTTACCATGTTGATGACAGCGTATTAAAAGGTAGGATACTTCGCGGGCTTCTTGAAATATCAAACTGATTTGAGCAGAATTTCCTGAGGGTTCAAAAGTGTTGGAAGCCAAACGGTACAGTACTGCAGCATGGACGACCGCAATGCGAGTCATCGTCGAGCTGCGAAATGGAAATACACAGTCCTATTTTCTGAAGGTCGCCACTAACCCCAATCCCATGCCATGATATTGCTGACTGGGCAATACAGTCTGCTCCGAATGAGATGGGCAAGTCCATGATGGAGGCCGAATTTCGTTCAATGGAGGAACTATACTATTACATGCCTACCATGGTGCCGAGACCAATTGCATGGGGTCAACTCACCCAGTCCTCGCCCGATACCTACTTTTTGTTACTTGAATTCATCGAACTTTGCATGGACATGGTAGACCCTGTCGCATTCTGCGACCAGATTGCAACATTACATAAGATCAGCAAATCTCCTACAGGCAAATTCGGCTTTCACCTTGACACTTTTCAAGGTCCGAGCAGGCAGATCACCGAATGGGAGAGTGACTGGTGCAGATATTTTACGAGGCTGCTCGATGAGCACTTTGTGGCTGAAGTTGACCAGAACGGCCCAAACGAGGACTACGAAAAGTTATATTCAACACTGAAGAATAGGATCATCCCACTACTTCTCAAGCCGCTGCAAGAGGAAGGAAGATCCATCAAACCATGTCTCATACATGGTGACTTATGGGAAGAGAACACAGGCACTGACCTCATTACCGGCAGGACTGTGATCTTCGATGCCTCTGTTCACTACGCTCACAATGAGATGGAGTTGGGCATGTGGCGTCGAGATGTCATCCGCTTTGGCAAAGCTTACTTTCGTCAATACCTTCGAAACTTTCCTCCGAGTGAGCCCGTCGAACAATGGGACGATCGGAATCGTTTATACTCTCTGAAATACAATCTATGCCAAGCATTGGCCTGGCCAGCCTCTGCTGAGATGACACGAGAAATGTGAGATTATTGGTGATCCTCCTTGATTCTTGCTGACCTGGAGATAGTATGATTCGGGACATGCACTTCCTGATTGACAAGTATCTTGCTCCTAGTGGATCGAATTCATAATACATGACGGCTACTTTGAATCTCAGCGAATGGTGTTCAGCTTTCGCCGCCTTTCACATCGATTTTGGCATATTGCGTCTGGGCAGGACCTCAGACGAAAAAATCCGAATTGAATCTTTCACGCCGTAAACCAAAGATTCTTGATTGCATTCTCATGAACACCGTTTCGTTGCTAAAGGAGACTTGAGCTGCGTCCTATTGAAGTGGCCATTATCTCGCCAAGCAAGCTGTAACATTCCATATTCTTGATCTGACGTTTTGCGGCTCAGTGGATACAAGTTGCAGTTGAAGACTTGGATCAACCTATTAACTTCCCTGAAATGAATCATCGAACCTGTATAATCCACAATATGGACTGCGTTAGGACGCACGTTCAGATGCGGCCACTATCCATAGCAGGATTAGGCGCTGTTTCGGAGTTATGTCTGATAGAGAATCTATAGATCTCACGTTGCTCCCATGGCCTTCAGTTATTAATGCCACTGCTGCTTCCTAAGTGTCTTGTATCGCTTCTTCTTGTCTCTCTGTGGCTTGTGTCCGATGGCTGCAGCTGAAAATAACAGTAGCGATGCCGAAAAGCAGCATCGTCGCCGGCAATACCACGCGTTCGTCAAACGGAGCTTTTAGCTCCATACTCAATCTTCACCAAGAACCAAAAGCGAGGAATAGTCCTACTGTTTGCTTTCGAGGAACATGTTATGGATTCACGTTTCAGGACAGCGGAGTTGGGGTTGAATGGGCAGAGGAGGACGATGATGGTACTGATGAGAAGAACTTGCTTATGCAGAACAGTAGAAATCTAGAGAGCATTCTCATTCCGAATCAGCGGACTAGGCAAATGGATCACTTTTTCACTTCACCAGACAATCCGATCATGGTCATATCCAAGCACATCGTTCCAGGGCTCAACAGAGAATGATGCAAAAGGTTAAGAGGGTATACTATGTAAGCATAGTAAAATGTATCTGGAGAGAGATGCGGTCGAGGCAGAGGGGCATCATCCTTGCCAAGAATTATTCATCACAGATCCGCCGCATGTCGTTCCTACCCCTCTCCCCTATTCCTATTCCTATTTCTATTCCACTCCTTCCCCTCATCTTTCACCAGTCTGCTTGATGTTGACTAGTCCTTCGCTGCCCGAGGTATCACGATACCTGCCTCAGTCGGGTTGGGTCATAGCTGGTAACGCTACGCTATGCGAGTTCGGCCCTTCTAGACGCATTTTTAAGAATCATCACAGGACGCAACACTTTCGACATGAACGAGAAGAGCTGACACCTTCAGCGGTCGGCACAGCAGAGCCCAGAAGGTCTTCTTGCTGCATAGAGGGTTGCAGAGCATCTTTTGCGCATGAATGAGCCTTGATTATCTGTTTCCTTGCCAGAGGTCGCCCTGAAGGAGTAATAACTGGCCACGATGTCTGAACTCAAGGATTTTATTGGCCAAATGCCAAAAGCCAAACTCCATATGCACCTTGAAGGAGCTCTCGAACCATCTTTAGTCCGCCTTATTGCCACGCGCAACAACCTACCTGTACCTTCATCCATACAAGAGCAGGACTCTGGTTATAGCTTCAATGATTTAAGCTCGTTTCTAGCACTTTACTATCCTAATATGGCGGTATTACAGACCACCCAAGACTTTCACGACTTAGCATGGAGCTATCTTACCAAGGCCCATGAGCAGAAGATTGTTCATGCCGAAATATTCTTCGATCCCCAAGCACACACCAGTCGCGGTGTTAAGTTTGCTACTGTGATATCTGGGTATCATTCCGCGACCATTGAAGCACAGGAACAGTTCGGCATGTCAGCATCGTTGATAATGTGCTTTCTAAGGGACATGGATGCACAATCTGCAATGAACACCCTGACAGAAGCTTTGCCTTATAAGGATAAGATCATCGGCGTTGGTCTGGATTCTGATGAACGAGACAACCCTCCAAGCAAGTTCGCGACTGTTTTTGCCAGAGCGCGAGAAGAAGGGTTCCTCCTGACAATGCACTGTGACATTGACCAGAAGAACAGTATTGAGCACATCAGGCAGGTCAGTGAAGAGATTGGTGTGGACCGCATTGATCATGGAACAAACATCGTGGAGAATGCCCGACTGCTGAATTTGGTAATCGAGAGGGGTATCGGACTGACTTGCTGTCCCATTTCCAATTCCGTCGTGACGGAGGACCTCAAAGGAGCGGAAATCAAACGGCTTCTCCATGATGGTGTCAAGGTCACCATAAACTCCGACGATCCTGCCTACTTTCGCGGCTATCTCAATGAGAATCTGGAATTCATCGGCGAGAAATTGTCCTTAACAAGAACAGATCTCGTGCAGTTACAGAGGAATGCGTTTGATATTGCTTGGATCTCCCATGATGACAAGTCCAAGTACATTGCTATGCTTGAAGAATATGCCGCGAGGCATTGATCAAGAAATCGTAAAAGGTGTCGAATACACGATGTTTTGCAATACGAACGCTGCACAAAGGCGGATGTTGAAGCCAGAGAAGCTATATCACCTGTTTTGCATCCGGCAAGGGGCGGAATGTCTCCAACGAACAAACTGTGTCCAGCTGAGCGTAAGAACAATACCTCACGAGTACTATACCTTTGATGACTCAGGTCAGTATCCCTTGCTTCACGTATTTGAGATCATGGTATCGGGGGAACGCCTGATGGACAGAACATGGAACAAACCCGGATCAAGGAGCTATATCTCCATTATCATGTCTTACACTGTTTCATCCTATGTGCATGATATTATCCTCTGGTTCTTCACATAAAATAGTAACTTTACCTGTATGGAGCAGTCTCTCTCTACTTGCAATGTCAAATGACCTGGGATCTATGATACAAAGATCAGAGGATATACCTTTGCAAACACCATTGTCTCTATACTTATATATGGTCAAAAAAGACGTAGCGGCTAGAGAGCCAATACAAGAGCACTTATACACATTAAAAACGGTTCGTGAGCTGTGGCAACCTCAACGATGATGTGCTGATGTCAACAAGCACCAGATAATAGAAGTTACTGATTTCCACTCATGACAGTAAATGTACATCTCCCTGTAGTATTTAGCGGCTAGGTTACTTGGTATCCCACCCCGAATCTGGACAGCACCTTGACACCTAATTTAGCTGGTTATTTTTGCAGCCTGACTCAGGAGTCAGTCACCCGGCTCAACTTCAGCTCAAACTCAGCTTAGGTGCAGAGGTCTCCTCTACTTCGTTGCTTGGCGTGACAATATACTTATCACGGCTCATGGATATCATGTTAATCATGATTGATGAATACGACACACCTGGTTTAATTTGGACTTGAAAAAAATATGTAGAATATTAATATTAGTTATAGTCGTAGAAGGTGGGATATCATCAAGGGAATATGGAAATATATGGCGGGTATTGAACTCGCAGCCAAAAATGTTTTACATTCTTTAGTGCATTGAGTTACTCATAGCTCGACCAACGCCGGTACTATGTTTGTCTAGTACTCACCCATCACTGCCTTGCGGGGGGGGGTCAAGAAAATCTGATGTAACAAATTGTTAGAAGTATGCCATGAAGCAGTGCAGATTAGATTAGTAAGCAAGAGAAAGTAGATGGAATGGATTGATTGACTTGCTATCTCAACTCCTGAGGAGTAGGATGACCGCTATATATACGCATAGAAGAGGCAAGCTATAGAATCACCTAGAAGGAGATCATAAATCAGCGTTGCAATGCTAACTGCAGCATTTGTGAGTGTATGCGTTTCTGAGTGATAGCGCGTGGCGAACAGTTGCGGTGGTCGGAGAACTCCGTCTTCCGCTGACACAAATAATATATAATCTTTTTCTCAAGAGCTAAAGCATAAACACAGATACAGCTTAAAATCAAATCTATCATAAAGTGTCATTCATCTCCATATATTCTGCCATCTTTACCTCCCACCACCCTATCTATCCCTGTGTCACTAAATTGCCTCCCTTCCTTGTTGAGAATAGTATTCCCGCGAGTTAGCGCAATAATCTTGCTGCAGCTTTGGCAAAAGGAACCCCAAAATCTTTGGCAGCGGGAGCATTCCTTGAGACACCTTACATAGCAGTAAAGTCATTGAAACGTGTATTATTCCTCCGCCTTCGATGCTTTCTTTGACGAATCTAAGGCTTTTCCACAATATAGGATTTCTGAAAGCCAATATAGACCACCAAGGCAAGATATATCGCCAAGTCCAGGTTTTCTCTTTCTGAGGAACCAGTAATAGGTGAGACTGGGGATGAGCTCAGGCGGCATCTCTTAAGACCTAGCTAGACCGGCTTGCGCCCGGGCAGATTTTCGTGCCTGGGCAGAAGTCCTCCTCGCCACGCTCCAAGGTTCAAATCAATTGCCTTGCACAGCCACAGCTCAGGGCCGCTTATTCATCGCTCAGGTTACAGTCACCGGCGCTCAGGTCTCGAAGTGGAAATGGAATTTAGAGAGGTCAGGATTCGGGTAGGAGTCTTGTGGTAATAGCGATTAATGGCTGGCGAAAAAAGGATGGCTGAGCCAACATCTGTGGGCTGGGTACGCAAGGCAGTTGACAAGGCTGTGAATAGCGTCCATCTTCCAATTTCCAGTCTCTTGGTCTCCCCTCAAAAATTAGTGTCCACCTCTTCCTCCCTTGTTGAATTCGGAGCCGTTTCTGTTAGTTCGCCAAAATGGAGGGTGTTGGAGTTGCCGCCTCATTCATCACCGTAGTTCTCGTCGGCTTACAGTCCAGCAAATTCATCTATGAGATCGCCAGTGAGATTTCGGGCGGCCCAACGACAGTTCAGAAACTGACCAAGGCTACCCGAAATTTGTCGAAACTCCTTGAACAAGTTCGAGGGCTTGCGCAACAGGCAAATGACTTACTTGGCGAACATGATGCCAGATTCTTCGAAGACTTCAGACCATTGCTCTGTGAATGTGTTCGAGAGTTGCAACTTATTCAGAGAAAACTAGACAAGTTCGACAGAACCCCGGGCCACAAGTTCTGGAACAATGTGAAAATGCATCTGCATGAAAAAGACTTTGATAAGATGTGGAACACTATCCACCACTACGTGCAGGTATTAGGGTCGCATTTAGTCCATGCTGGAATGTGAGGGCTGCGTCTTCTTGGTCTTATGTTAATGGAGGCTGATAACTAAATCCACAGAGATCTAAACCTTCTTAGCACAGAATATCTGCAGCTTGTTGGTGACGAGGTTACAGCGGGTTTTGGTGACACAAAGCAGTGTCTTGATACTCTGCAAATGGTTTCGAGAAAAGGCACGGACCAGGCCGATATGCACCATCAAGAAATCAAATCAGCTTTGTGGCATGGTTTTGGTACTGCGGAAGCTTCAATTGGTCATCAGTCTGCAAAGCTTGACGATTTACAGTCCAGCTTGGCTCAAATCAGCAGTGTGACCAATGATTCGATGACCAAGTGGGATCGATTAGAGATGAATCTCGAGGGAAAAGATAAAAGATTACTGCACACTCTTGATGAGGTATCCGATCGCCTCAGAGGTGTATCCAGTATGTCTCTGGAACAATCATCAACTATACAACAACTCGCGAGAATGATTGAAGGCTTGCAGCTTGACCTACAAGGCATGCGTCACGATCTGCAACAAGCGAAGCATGACACAAGCGCGAACAGCGATTCTTCAAACCTCGACCCTTCTAAAGAGGAGGCATTGGACAGTAATGGCGTCTATGGAAGTGTCAGCAGACTTTGCAGTCTTGCTGCAGTGAAAGATCAAGAATTCTTTTCAGTAGAAGCACAGTCGATCATCCAAGACCTGAGCAAGATTACTGCTTCCGTCCTAGATGACACAATATCGGCTGCAGTTGCTGAAAGTCATCTGGAAACACTAGACAAGAAGCCAGTCTATTTCTCTGACATGCAAGGAGAGATCAAACGGCGAAAGAACGACACACTTAAGCAGATCGAAAACATTTTAAGAGTCTCTCAAAGATTGTGTATAGGTAAACAAGGTAATATGCAACACCATTTCTGATCCACCAGAAACCCACATCTTTGCTGATTGTAAATTGCCACCAGAATGTCCGAATGTTCAAAAACGTTCTCTACCAATGGATCAGCCGGCTGCTCCCAGAAGAAGGCGCTTATCTAATAATGCGACGACCTCCACCGTAGGAATTGATGAGAATCTGTTGCCACGATTCTCCCCTTCTTCCATCTTGCAGAGCAAATCAATAGACGACACAGCAGAGTATCAAGGAGCCATTTTGCGGAGGCGTCATGGCAGAAATCACTGCTCGAAAATGGATTCAAAACCTGTCTTCAGCCGTCATTGTGTCTCTACAGCGCCGATTGAAGCAGGGAATCATGTCACATTAACAAAAGTTGTCCCCTTTGAGCCCCTGTATACCTTTAAAAGTGGCTGTTTCTCCCTGCAAATGACTGCTGCGAGAGTTGACGTCCGTTTCAAGAAGCAATGTGTGCTTGGACGTCACCATATTTCTAATGATTCCAGTACCGGTGATCCCACACCAGAAGAGACGTTCTCAGCTGAAATGGTTCTTACCCCTGCGTCTAGGACCAATCTAAGAACGAAAATCATCTTGGGCGTTTCCCAGCAATGGACCAACACAAGTAGTATTCTATCAACACCTATCCTCTCATTCAGATCAATAGTGCCAGAAAGTTCAGAGATATTTGATATTGTCAGATATGGGACAGTTTGTGACCTTCATCAGGCCCTTAGTAGAGGCTCTGCTTCACTGACAGATTGTGATCCGGATGGCAGATCGTTGCTAAACGTCAGTCTCCTTTATGGTTTTAAGTTGGTCAAGTCCAGCTAATCCATGTGAAGTACGCCGTGACGGCTTTAAGGCCTAAGATGGTCCGGTTTCTCACCGAAGCAGGAGCAGATGTCAACTCGGTTGAGAGAGACTTGTTTGGGGATTCCTGGTGAGTACTTGGATGGAGAATCCGAGATCAGGCACACAATCAATACACTTCTCTGCTCTGTACTGATGCTGATCGTCCTAGTCCGGCATTGCTTTGGTCAATTTACAATGATTTTCAGTCTGGCGCAGAAGAGCTATACCTGAGAGCAGAATGTATTAAGCTTCTCCTAGCACGTGGTGCAGATCCGTCAATGATGTTCGAGGATCCTGGTCTAAATCTTTCAGTGTTTCGGCTGGGACTGTGGAGGAGCTCCTTAGTACGCTTTTCTTTCCAGCTCTGAGACGACTCAGCTTGACATCATAACTTTAGGCTATCCTACGAGCCTATCTAAATTCAGAGTCCCCTTTCATCGGCCCCAATTCGCTCGGGACGGATAATTCTGACTCATTTCCGCTCGGAGAATTAGCCTATATACATACTCTCAATTGTGTTGAGGATTTTGAGACCCCCAATAAAATAGCTCTTCTACTTGCACGAGGAGCCGATGTCAATCGAAGAGACTCCTTAGGGAACAACTGCCTTCACGCTGTCCTAAATTATCCAGACCATTCCTGGAGGCGCAAAGAAGATCCCGAGGGCCAGGCCGAATTAAGAGATATTCTCATGCTCATGATCACAGCAGGAGCTGATGTATACGCCGTGAACGATGATGAGGAGACTGTGTCACGCGTTGCACGTGATTCTGGCCATTGCCGAATATGGGTAGAAGTTCTTGAGGCCTGTGGATTCAGTAGTTACAAAGTCACTCGAGGAGATGATGCGGAGTATGGATGGTCCTCTGCGCTCGACAATTCATTTAGCAGACTCCCAGCCAGACCGACTTCTAAACTCTCGTTTGCGGAATATCTCGAGCAGCGAGAGGAGAAGCGAAAGGCGTCTGGGCGAGCCACGGAGATTATTGATGAAGAGACTGTTGAAGAAGACTGGGTTGAGGAAATGAAAATACAAGATGGGATTGGTATAAGCGATTCGGACAGCGACGTCGACGGAGAAGACGAGGAGAAAATGAAGCGGAGTTTGGCCGAGGATGAAGATCATATCAGTGAGGGGGAAGACAGCGAAGACATTTGTGATGATGAAATCAAATGGGACTAAACATGGGAATGGATATAGCCAGGGATTGAGATGGGAGAAACTGTGCAGCTCATACAAAACAACGGAGTTCACGGTGGATTTTATAGCCATAAGATAAACATAGAACATGGTATCTGAAATATAGTGGTGGATATGCCCTCGCTTCTATCAAACGATTTAATCAGGAGCCGTGAACTTCTACAATCCGTGAACTACACCGGATCTCCTTTCTTAGAAACGGCAAAGATCATGCCGCAAGACGGTATCCCGCCAGCTGCAAAGGAGCTGACAAACACAATACTTCCAACTCAAGAAATGACATCTAGATCATAGCAACATGAACTCAAGACATTAGTATCCATGGACTCAACACTCAAGCCACACTCGAAATCAGACTGCAAAGCGCTGGATATAAGTACCACAAGCTCTACCATAGCAGCAAGTGCCATACGACGAAATGCCTGATCTCCGCAGTCCGAAGCCCTACAGCCCGCCACTGCACATACTTATGGTAATAATTACAGTAACCGAAACTCATCCGCGGCGATCTCCTCATCCCTCATCAAAAGCCCATCAGATACCACTACTTCAGCTCGATCCCTATGCATCGCCACTTCAGGATTTTAATTAACTAAGTACCTAGCGCCATCTATCCCTCTCTCTCTCACTCTCAACCATCAAAGCATGACCGTGCGCCTCATCCTCGTATTTATAGCTCATTCTCCTCCCACCAGCAGCAGCAGCGCCGCTCTTACCACTGCTCTCCCTTCTATTCTCCCTCCGCTGCTGCTCCTTGAGCAGCCGTTCTCGGTTCCTTGCCTCGCGCTCTTGGGTGTGGATATCTACATCCTTATCCTTATCCTTGTCTCTGTTCCTATCTTTTGCTGGTTCTGTGGGCACTGCTGGGGCGGGGGCTGAGGCTGGGGTAATCTGCGAGGAGGTCCTTCTGCTGGGTTCTCGTTCTCGGTCTCGGTCTCGATGGCTACTTGTGCCGTTGTTGCGCGCGGATTCAGACTCATGCAGATGTTCGCGTTTGTGGCGGCGGGAGCGGTGGCGGTGAGACTCTTCTGCTTCGGCGTCTGAGGCTTCATCGGCGTCGCGGTCACGACGGGAGCGTTTGCGGTGGCGGTGTCTGTCTTCTCTGTCTCGATCTCGATCGCGGTCTCGGTCTTTTTCGTCGCGGCGGCTGGAGCGGCTGCTTCGATGGTGATGTTCCCGGTCACGATGGCTGCTGCTTCTGCTTTCGGTCTCGGTCGGGAGGTCGCTGTTACTGGGTTTGCTTCGGCGGCTGGAGGAGTATTCGTCTTCGTGGTGTTGTTCGGAGTCTGGTTCTTCGTCACGAGAGCGATGGGAGCGGTGGGATGAGCGGTGCTTAGTGCTTGAGGAGTGGCGGTCCTTGTCTCGGTGACGGTGCGATGACTTGCGCCTCGAGTCTGGTGTTGAGGAGCGTGAGTAGTCATGACCGGCATCATCGCGCATTTCTTCATCCTCGTGGTCATCGCGCTTTGATCGCCGATGTCTTCGTTCGCGGCGTCGGCGGCGTTCCTCGTCTGACTCAGCTTCATGATTCGATGAAGCACGATGCCTGCTACCTCTCTCATCCTGGTATGAGAGTGAATTCGATCGAGACCTTTCTTCATGTCTGTAATCAGTATTCCTGTTTACGTCTATTAGTAGATAAACAACATAGCCAGATGAGCACAATATAGAAGAGCGCGCACGTACCGTGCCTCAGATTCTCCGCTCACTGAACGATTCTCTTTATTCATCATAGCAGCTCTACCAACGATCTGAAAGCCACCACCCCGGCCTCGAGGACCACTAGGTGGAACCGGTGCTGCCCTCATGGCTTTTGGTCCGGTGGGAGCACCTACTATTCCGGCTCCTTTAGGCTCTGTAGGGGCCTTGAAAAACATTTCTGGTGCTGGTTTACTGGGAGAATGCATGCCATTTTGCAGATGGAGAGCGCCACGACCGCGGGTTGCAAATCTACCTGGACCTCTACCACGAAAAGCATGTTCTCTTGAGGTTTCCGAAAAGTGCGCGGCAGGTCCTATGGGGGCACTAGGTGGTGGCATAGACTGTACAGCAAGATCTTCCTTGTATGCTTCTGGAAGAACCTCATTTGGTGGCGTTTGCTCCTTTGTAGGTGACACAGTAGCAATAGGCTGCACGGGTTCAACGTGAATATCGATCTCGATGGGCTCAGCGGGCTGTGGATCACTTGCATCCTGAGCCGTATCTTTGCGGTCTTCATGGTCTTTATTGTCTTCATTGTCTTCTTCCTTGCGAACATGCTCTTCATCTTCATTGGGCAGTCTGACTTCCAAATCAGGTTTAGGGTCATCAACGCCAAGAGCCTCATCAACCTCTTCTTGGCCTCCAGGGGCAAGTTCATCATGGAAGGCTTTGAGCTGTGCTTCTGTCGTTCCATGTGATGGCGTTGCTGACTGCTCATTCGGTTGATTCCCTAGCTGTGCTTGCAACTGCTGGATCTGGGCCTGTTGCTGTTCATATGGTTGCTGGTAATTGGCGGACGAGTTACCTTGAAAGCCTGGATTAAAGCCTCCACGGCCACGGAAGCCACCACGACCTCGACCGCGGCCTCGGAAAGAGCCTCGGCCATGATACCCAGACTGAAAATCACCGTTAGGGTACTGTTGTTGATGGAAATTGCCTTGTTGAGACATATTGTAGCCAAAGCCTGCATTGGGACCAAAATCACCTCCCAAGCCATTCGAGAATGCATTTGGATTGTTATTCTGCGGACCATTCCACATGTTTTGACCATTATTCCATCCTCCATATGCTCCTTGATTGGGGTTGAAATTCATATTCATACCCATACTCATGCCGTTCACTCCGGCCATGCCCATCCCGGAGTTACCCATGTTCCCAAACATCCCTAGCATCGGACCCATTCCCATATTTGGCATTCCTGCATGGCAAAATTAGAACCATTTTACACAGTGGAGTTGGTGTCAACATACCCAACATAGGGTTGAAATTGCCCATTCCGCTGGCCATATTGCCAGACATGAATTGCATCATTTGCGTGTAATCCATGCCAGGGCTCATGCCGGGGCTAATGCCAGCGTTGAACCCGGTGTTCACGTTCGGTGTACTGGAAAAGTCGTTGCTGTTCGTGACAACGCTCAGGGCATGCCCATTCGTCTTGCCCGATTTTTCACTATCTCCCAGGCCGGCAGGCTCGTGCTGCTGTTTCTCTGGTTGCTCTATATCCTGTTTGGCCATAGCTTCCTCCAACAACTCCACGGATTCACCTTTGGAATCTTCTTGAGTAGCAGGATCATCTCTTCCAACGGATAAAACTTCATTCTGTGAAGGGGTCTGCCGCCAGTCAGCTATGTGAAACCTGAAATGGCGATCCCCATCCTACCTCGATCGATGGATGAGGTTGATCAGCAAGCTTTTGCTGGACCTCATTTTGTTTCACATGTGGCTCAGCTACAGATATGGACGGAGCTCTAGCCTCTTCGTTCTGCCTATCCTGAACAGGAGTTGGAGGCTCTGGGGGTGCGAATGATGCAGCCGGAGCAGCAGCCGCGGCAGCCTTTATACGTTCATCTGCAAGCTTCTTCTCTGCTGTCTTCAGGTATGCCTTCGCTGTAGTCCTAACAGCTTTGCTAGGCTTACAGAGGTCGGGTGTGAGGGGTGAATGGTCGCATACAGGGCATTGACCTTGGATGGAGGATTGGCCTAAGCTTATAAGCAGCTGCTTCCGCTATGCACGACGATGGGCACTTACAGGTCTCGCATATAGCTTGGTCACAGCAGGGTGTTTTGAAAGCATTTGCTAGGAAGTTATGACAACCGGGACAATGTAATTTGTCTGGGACCTTGCTCATGTCGAGGGAGCTTTTGAACGTCAGAGAAGCACCCATTGTCTCAGAAGGGATGACTTTACTTGATGAGCTCGTTAAGAGCTGCATTAGCATCTGCAGCAGCCATGCTGAACAGTTTGCTATGTGACGATGGCCCAGTATTCCTGTTTGGAGGTTGGAGAGGTTTGCAAACTCGAAAGCGGCAGCTGTGGTAGCTGGCTACTTAGGCTGCAGTAATTCATCAAGTTGGTTTGTTCGAAGGAAGAGTGTGACATCGAGTCGCTGAGGACATTTGATGAAGTGCTCCCAGACGCTTATATAAGGTACATAAGTCAAATGCAGTTTTTGTGAGCTCTCGTCGCGTGCATTTTGGAGCTAAAAAGTTTAACTCGGAGGCTCAACTAAGACGAGAAAAGAATCATCATTCATCAATCCTGACCACCATTATTACCACTCTACATGCTTGCAGTTCTGCGATTGATACCCATAGACCTTGTTATCCAGGCTGTTGCCTTCTGACTACCGCCTGTCTCTCGGCTTCCTGCAGACACAACCCTTGCTATCCTCTTTTGTCCCACTCGATAACCAATTTCACGATCCTAAGATCTGCCCGTACTGCGTCCTACTAGCCCTACGTATTGAGCACCGGAAGGAAACCGGAAGGAAACGCCTGGATATGGATCACTCGAGGGACCCATGTCCTTGGGTGGCACTGTCCGATTTTGGTGGCGCATTCTGCATGGGAGTGGGTGTTTCTTCTTAGCCTACTCTTCTTAACCTAGACGTCGAGTACAGTCACTGACAGAGGTACCAAATCTTTAGGCAATAGGGGGTTCTCTGTGGCACGGTATCAAAGGTTTCAGAAACAGCCCATATGGCGAGAGAAGGATAGGTGCTCTCACGGCCATCAAAGCACGGGCGCCAGTACTGGGGGGAAATTTTGGCGTTTGGGGTGGGCTGTTTTCGACATACGATTGTGCTGTGAAGGGAATCAGAAAGAAGGAAGATCCATATAATGCTAGTGAGTCTGCTGTCTTGACATCCCTCATGCCATGCCCTCCGCAGGCATCAGGCCTGTGAATGACAAAGGCTGATCACCATGCCCATAGTCATTGCAGGATTTTTCACAGGTGGCTCCTTAGCCATCCGGGGAGGTCTAAAGGCAGCGAGAAATGGTGCGATCATGTGCGCAATATTCCTGGCCGTGATAGAAGGAGTAGGCATTGGGTTTCAGAGAATGATGGCAGAGCAGACACGATTAGACGTATGTTATATCCTAGGTTGCGCAAAATACGGTACACTGACGTTTGCTTCATAGGTTCCTCCACCTCCTCCTCCACCAGCAGCAGACTCAGGGAAGATGATAGCGTGACTAGAGATGGCCACTGTTCCGCATTTCATTTAGTGGCCTCTGTACGGATCTCAGCTTTGGTGTTCTCCACTCTACTCAGAATTTTTTTTGGCATGCATGTCAGGCGCTTGGGCTTAATCAGGGAATATCGCACTATGATGACGGGCAAATGGCCCGGTCTCAATGACCAGAGGCCCCTTGATGCCCTCAATCACATCAACAGGATCTTTGTTCAGAACGGCAGATCCGTTGTCATGAAGGAAGGCGGGCGATGTACAAGAAAGATGGACATGTCGTTCGTCAGGCGAACCACAACCACTGTAATAGTGATATTCTATGTCCTTGCCCTGATCTACCAGGCAAGAACAAAACTACCATAGAGCACTTCCATCTCAGTCATCAGTGCTAATGATGTTCCCAAGCATGCCAAAGGGGCCCAAGAGTGAAGAAGTGTTTGCGTGACCCGAACCTCGCTAAGATGTACAAATATGATATGGAGTACACGTGAAGGTCCCAGCAAAGGAGACGTATTGAATTACAGGCTTGAAGTTGTGTGCCGGAAAGGTGGAGGGAGACGGTGGATTAGAAGAGTGCTTTTCGAGTGACCTGGACAAAATCATCAGTATATATCCATTGCAGCAGAGGAAATTCAGCTTACCACCCATCCACCGGCAATGCCCGCTACTATCCCCCCAGAAATCAACATCGGCCGAACCCCTCTTGTGCTCTTAAACAGCATTCCACTCAGCGCCCCAGCCATGATGCTGTTTGCAGCATCGTGTTTGCCCCTGTAATATCCTATTGTCGAGTTGACTCCATTGTATACCATCGCCACCACACCCGCTGAATTTCCTAAGAACGGTCCTCTCCTGGTCATGCTGTTGAGAACACTGTTTAAACGTAGTTTCGGTGGCGCTGAGGCGGGCGCCCGATTCAAACCCTCTACCAACCCCCAAGCCCCTCCCGTAGTCAACGCTGTCAGGTAGGTGACACCTGTGCCATAACAGAGATCGTCAGACCAGCCCCGTGATGGCAGTGCGGATCGCGAGCCTGGGAGGTCTGAGAGAGTGGATTCATCGAGGGAAAGGTAATCTAATGTTTGCTGGTTAAGACCCGCAAGAGGATGTAGTTGTGATGCGTCTGGTAATGATGCGCTTCCAAGGAATGAAGAGACGTCTTGAGCTGAAGTTGGATCGAATGGCGCAGGAGCGAATGCTGAGGTTGACTGAGAGGAGGGGGTGGTAGAAGGTATGGTAGCGGAAGCGGACGAGGTCGAAGAAGTTTTACGACCAGTGAATGCATCCCAGATAGACATTGTGAAATGATTGTGAAATGGAGTATTTTGTATAATAATGCACCTGGAAAGGACGACGATGCCACAAGGCAAGCAGCGAAATGCGGAGATGGGATGCTTGCCGACATCTTTCAGAAAAAAGTTCTAACGTAGTTCTACCGCGATAGACGCCCAGGCGCTATTAGAAAATCAACTTTAGCTCCAACTTGAAATAGATCCATCATACAGTATCCATGTATCCATGTGTCCCTCAACAAAGAATGATTAGCAAGCTCATTTTTCCACTTGTTCCAGTGGAAATTGATTGATTCACAAGAAAAGGAACATAGCAAGACCTTTGTACCCGCTTCAGTGAATTTCATCATCTTGTCCCAGGAACTTTCAACATCAACTATGGCCCGAAGTCTCCTACAACATGGTCTCAGGCGATACGTTGGCTCCTCGAGCCTCAGTCAACCACGGAGAGCCACGCCTCGATGGTTACGTGCAAGGCTCGGGGTCTATCTCAAGAGAAGCACTCCAGGCCATGTCCAGAGGCAGTCTCAAGCGGTATTTGACTTACAGCTCCGATGACCATAATACCCGCGTTCTCCATGTTCAAGAACTGTGGTTCGCACTCCTCGCGACGTTGCGAGACTCCTCTCTCATCGATGGTCATATGACCGCAGTATGCAATGCTGTGTGTGTTTTCCTTCAGTCTGCAAGCTCATCACCAATTGAACCAGTCCGGAGATTTGCATTGTCAATTGAGATATGGGTGGCAGTTTTTGATGCCCTACTCGACAAGTTTAATACCAGCAAGCCGAAGCCAATACGGCAGGTTCTGAATACACTAATAAAGATTTTGATGAATCATGAAGATCGAGCCAAAGCGCAACTCGTGCAGGATGGTGTGCTCTCCAGAATGGCGAGTATAGTATTTCTAGGCAAGCCTGTCTCCCAATTCAAGGCGAGTATGGTCATTTTCGAGGCTTTTGTGAGAACAGATATACCAGTACCGAGGGTTTTGTTTGCCATTGGAAGAAGTCATGGTTCGAATTCTGACCAGTGGCATTACCGCTTGAGGCGACAGAGGATTACTCCTGTCAAAGTACGCTCGCCGTTGAATAGCGATATCATTGACGAGAGCATCTCAGACTTCAGTTTCTCCATCATCCTCGCTGTTGCGGATAGTAATGCACAAGCTACTGCCGGAACCTTCTTCGCCAGTTTAATGTCAATATTGACTAGCTACGGCATTTCCATGGATTCCCTATGGGTTGAGTGCATCGTACTCATCTTGAACCGCTATCCGCAAGCTATAGACGCATTCAAGAACTATCTTTTGCCATCGCTTCTTAGGCTATACCCGAACCAGTATCTGGACCTACTCAATAAGATGGCCAGTAATATGGTTGGTCCAGCAATGTTTGAGAATATTTTGACCGTCCTTCTTCTAGGCTGTGATGCGGGCTTGTTGTCAGAAGAAGGTACGTTGTTCCGCCTAAGAATATTTGTCAAGCTGCGTCTGGGTAGCCTCATAAAATCAGGATGAATCTATGTAGCGTACATATCAATGGCAACATGGCTGTGTCTCAAATGAAGCAGCTTTCAAGTTGGTCATTCCGAAATGTTCTAAATATTTGAAATCGATCCGAGTGATCATGGTGATGCAGGCTAACACGACATTTCCACAGAAACCATGAGCTTCTTGTACAAAAGTCTGACGAAGAGTCAAAAGCCGCGATTGAAGCAACTCAGAGACAACAGAGTCATAACAGATGGAGGTATTGTTTTACTAACGCATGCGTCCATTAATGTTCGGATACGAACGTTTGAGTTTCTCATATGTTGCACCACACCAATTCGGAGCTCTGCTCTTCGACTTTTGTCGAAGCATTTCGAGTTCTTGTATGGTGATGCGGACCCGGGTAATCGCGGAGAGCTGAGCAGCATCACAAAGGTCATGATCCATCGGCTGAGAATGGGGAGCGCGTCCCTCGTGAGAAATATTGCAAAGCCCGATATCTCAAATCAACAACGCACTGAGTACGTGGATGAGCTTAAGGAGCACGAGGACTTTCTTGATTGCTTTCTTGCCTTTCTTGAACGCGAATTAGGTCCTAACTGCTCTTTCCCGCGGCACATCTCTGCTTTGAAAGCACTACAAATGCTAGCCGAATCAGGACTTGACCCATTAATCCCGCTAACAGTCGTGTCGAGGTCCACTCAAGATCTTCCGCATTGGCCTATAAAGAAGTCTCTACATTCTCGAAGTATGGAGTTAGCTCTATGGCCCCTAATGCTTAACCCGTTTGAAGAGGTTAGGCATACAACCGCTCTTGTTCTTAAGCTGGTCATCAGTCATGCTGAACCTGCGGTACGATCTCATGAGCACAGCTCGAACAATCGAGAATTTAAAATACCTGCCGATAGTGCATCCTCGGCGCTGACCACAATCAAGGGGCAAGATCAGTCGCCCCTATGTGAAGAGCTTACCAAACTAGTCGGACAAGCGAGCAAATTAGCAGCTTCAACCAACCGCGCCGACCATGCTGATGGCGTGGGCCGGTCGCTAGCACTTCAATACCACTTTGCACAAAATCGTTCAGCCATGGTATGTGCCTTGGTAGAAAGCTTAGAGGAAGCCTTGGACATGTCTCGCGGTTATGATTCGCTTCCAGAAACAGACTTCTCCGTCCATGGCTACCTGCTAGGACTGAAATACATAATTGAAAACTCTGGCTTTCACAAGAGATCTGCATCTGATCTAATGTTGAAGGAGACCGACATTGCTTTGTCTCGTCTACTTCAATTGTGCCGTAGCATCTGGCACGCAGTTCGTACCGGCCTCTGCGTCGATTCTCCAGGAACGCGTCGTGAGGCGGACACGACAGGCCCATTTGACGGGCCAAAAGACTTCCTCTCATACTCCTGGAGAGTGCTTCGAGACAGTAATTTCCTCATCCAAGCAATACTGTCGCACCTTGGCCCGCAAGTGGACCAGACTGATGCAGATGATGGACCCCTGGAACAGCTTCGGCGGATTCATACACTTTGCTCCGAGCAGCTTACTTCCCTTCGACACCGGGGCGCTTTCTCAACTGTAGCGCAAACGTTCGCTCTTTGCTGTGAGCAATTTCCTTCTGTACCCGGCCTAAGAGCTGAGTTTAATAAGTGGTCTCAGGTACGTCAAAATTGAAATCGAGAGCCATGAGTGCAGTCAAATTTGCATAGAGTTTTAACTGACCGCTTGTAGGACGCTTTCCACATCCTGGAAGACCAGTCGTCAAAACTGACGCGACGGTCGGCTGGAATACCTGCTATCATGGCCTGTATTCTGCTTCCGAGCACTTTGTACGAATTCAATGGCGTAACAGAGACATTAGCTTCTCTTGCCCGGTCAAAAAAGTCTCTCCCCAATTCTTCTACAGATGAACAACAAACCCGCTTGCCACAAGTCCATGCTCTGAATTGTCTTCGGGAAATATTTACAAACTCCAGGTTCAGGGAATGGACAATCTGTTGGCTGGTCGATGTGCTGGATCTTGCTGCGTCGAGCCTGAATAGTGACATCTGGGCTATCCGTAACTGTGGGCTGATGCTATTCCGAGCTTGTGCAAGTCGCATCGGAACGACAGATGATGTGGGTGATGTTTCCTTTTGTGGAACAGCCTCACAAAGTCAATCAGAAGCCGTGCTTAGCATTTCTTTGAAGCTTTTACGGTCAGGGCGGCAGACTAGTATCGATTCTCCTGAGCTAGTTTTTGCTGGGCTCGACCTTATGAGCCGCATCATTGTTTCTGGAAATGTTCGATCTCAAGCAAGGGAGCACATCCTTCTACAGCTGGGAAGCCCCATCTGGATGGTTCGAGAACATGCTGCACGTCTGTATGCATCCCAATTGCCGGAAGCAGAAGTGTTGGAGGCTGTTACACACTTCATTCACGCAATGGATATGAGCGACCAGAACAAGTGTCACGGTATCCTTCTCTGTTCACGCGAGCTTCTCAGAAAGCATCTGACTGCCTCACTGCCATTCCAGGAGACCAACTACCTTGCGCTGAAGCAGTCTCTAGAAGACCATATGTCCAAACTTGAGCAATATGCTGCACCAGCCGTACAGTCCGCATTTTTCGACTTAGTCAACGACTACATTAGTTTACGAGGCCGCGTAGCAAGTCAGCCTCAGACATGGCCCGAGTATTTCAACTGGACACACCAATGCCAGCCATATTATCAAGGCAAATCACAGGTTGTGGCTGGAAGACCATTCGAGTCTCAGCTTACTTCTTCGTCAGCGTTGAACTCTTGTCTCATGGTCTTTACTGAGGTCAAAGGGCGTGCTCAGACTTTGAGCCAAACTTTTCAAGAAGTGGCCGCCTATGATCCTGACGCCGCTGCATCTCTTCTGCGGGCCATTAAAGACCAAGATCTATCTGATTGGCCTAGTTTGCAGATGCTGGTTGACTTGTACATCGCAATCGTTCGAGATCAGTGGGATGAAGTCATCACAGCAGCAGCCATGTCCGGACTCTCTTTCTGCCTCGAAAACGTTCATGAGAACAAGCCGTTGTTCATCGACAAGGACGATCTAGAGAGGCTGTTCGAATGCTTCGTAAGTTTGCCACGTACTGGAGGGAGGAATCTATTCAACGCCAAAATCAGATGTTTAGGCAGCGTCCTCGAATATAAATCAAGAGAAATGCTGTCACTCTGGGAGCAGCATTCGGTTGTACCACTTAGCCTGTGGACCAGAATGTTGAGCGATGCCGCCAAGGATTACACAGAAGCACCAACGAGATTAAACGCTGCGAAGTCCCTCCATTCGTTCAGGCGCTGTTTCCTACAAGACTGCGACAGAACCGGGGCACGCAAGAAGCACACATTGTACTCAATTATGTATAACTTGCTCATCGACGATGATGAGGAAATTCGAGACATAGCAGCTTCTACGGTTTCATTCATCCTCGGGTCGGGTGCTGCTGGCGATCAGTTGCAGCTGTGTCCACTTGTGGCTTGCCATAAGTTTTCTAGCTTCATAGAGGAAGCTTTCACAAGCCACAAAGAATTTCACATAGCAGCTTTGAGTCGGATTATGTTTCCCATTTTAATGGAGCTTGACGGTCTGGAAGATGCATTTGCGAACCTTGCCTTCCGTTACTCTGTCAAAAGCCAACTGGATCTCGCCTGTCACGAGTCTCATGATCTGTTTGAAGAAGAAAGGCAGAACCTGTATGTGGACGAGATTCGCGAAATCGACATCTGGTATTCAGCTCTTGGCAAGGTCTCACATACATGGCTTGATGAGGATGTAAGACTTCTGGTGGGAGATTGGGCACTTGAAGGGCTTCGTGAGCTTACGTCTGCTTTGCCGAGCCTCCGTTTTGGACCACTTGGGATCTTGTCAAAGCTCGAGTTTATTGCCTTGTTCTGGCGCGTTATCAGACTTGCTGAGCTGTCACTTCAGTGGGACTATAATTGCAGCTGGAGTATGGAATCTCCCAAGGAATCGCCCTATCTCATGGAGATGGCACGTTTGCTATCAGCTACAATGGAGTATCAGGTACATCCGCAGGCGCAAAAAGCACTTGAAGACAGCTTTCGGCGAGGCCAAATTGAATCTGAGCGGTTGCAAAAAATTTGAAAAGACTCTTCCACCTTGCAGGATGATTGATTGATTATACAACTGCGCTTCTCCGCTGGGGAGTTGATGCGGCATTCAGTCCATCTGGTGGAAATTCCTACTTGTGTTTTGTTGTTGTTTTGGTGAACACCGCACAAGTGAGAGCGGCGCATCTTGATCTCATGTTTTCCACGCTGAGCAAGAGATAATACATAACCTCCCTTCGAGCGACTGGACCGAGCTATCAGCATTGATTCTTGAACCGTCTATATTGACCAGATTACTCCACATGGATCGGCGAGTAAAACACCATTGCCGCAAAACTCTTTCAGCATTTCTGACCATATCAATAGTGGATCCTGTCACCTACACCACTAAAACCCCTCTATCGATAGTCAAAACGGCGTCTGCTCCAACGCATCCGGCACTCCGCTCCCAAAGCCATTCATAACGAACACAGACAATCCACAGCAACATGAAGCGAAGCCTGGTCATCGCTGTCCTCTTATTCACCCTCCTACCCGGCTGTACATTCCTTGGCTGGTGGTTAGCAAGGAAATTCTTTCAAGAAGAATTCGACCGGTATGATCGTGGGAGGCTGGTAGCAGATATTCTCAATGCGCGGGCAGCAGCAGCACCTAATGGAGGAGGAGGAGCAGGTGGTAATGGTGGTGGTGGAGAAGGAGGAAACGGTGCAGCTGCGGCTGCGGCCCCTCCAGCTCCAGCTCCAGAGCCAGCTCCAGAGCCAGAGCCAGCTCCACCTCCAGCGGCAGCTTAGTCCTTGCATATGAATAGATGCTTCTGCGGCCAGACAGACAAAAGATAGATGGCATTGGGTGCTCCGCCCATCCTGTTGAATATGCTTAGGAACGGTAGCGGAATAGCGAGCTTGGTTTCACCCATGGCTCGGGCTTTTGAATACTGAAAGTCTAATACTCCCATCGAAGTATTGGATGGGCAGCATCTCACGAGATGATGGATTGTGAGAATTTCCCAGCCAATATATCTATCTACTCGAATCAGACCAAGGACCAAGTCTTACAATTTATCTCCCGTGCACATCAAGACACCACCAAACCCGACTGCGGCAGAAAAGAAATGTTCCTCGGAGAGCCGACTTGATACCCACCATCTATCTACTCCTTGCCCTGTCTCCATGTCCCCTCAGAATTTCCTCACTCCTACCTCACTCATAACCAGGATCTGATCTCCAGCATAAACACCAGCCAAGATTCACCGATCCCACCTTTTCTTCTTCTTTTTAATTAAAAAAAAGACCAACTGAAGAGCGCATCCTCCTCTGCTTCTGCTGCAAAAAGCCCAACTCACAAACCTAGAAGCACCCACCACACCACACGCATCATACCACCCAGAGTCCAGTCCCTCTTCCAATAAAAAAAAATGTCACTCCTCATCTTCACATCCGCAACCAGCACCACCTTCCCACCCCCAC